AGATGAATGAGAATGCAAATACAACATACCAAAATTTAAGGGACAGCAAAAGTAGTACTGAGAGGGAAATTTATAGGTATAAACACTTAAATTAAAAAACAAGAAAAATCTCAAGTCAACAACCTAATGTTACAACTTAAGGAATTAGAAAAAAGAATGAACTAAACCCAAAGCTAGCAGAAAGAAGGAAATAATAAAGATTAGAGGAAAGATAAATGAAATAGACACTAGAAAAATAGAGAAAAATCAATGAAACCAAAAGTTAGTTCTTTGAAAAGATAAATAAAATTGACAAACCTTTAGCTAGATGGACTAAACGAAAGTGATGACTCAAATTACTAAAATCAGAACTGAAAGTGGGGACATTACTACTGATTCTACAAAAATAAAAAGGACTATGCAAGTACTACAGACAATTGTATGCCCATAAATTGGATAACCTACATGAAAGGGCCAAATTCCTAGAAACACAAAACTTGCTAAGACCTAATCATGAAGAAATAGAAAATCTGAATAGACCTATAACTAGTAAAGACACTGAATCAATAATCTAAAATCTCCCAACAAAGAAAAGCCCTGGACCTGATGGCTTCACAGGTGAATTCTACCAAACACTTAATCAAGAACTAATACTAATCCTTCTCAGACTTTTCGAAAAAATTGAGGAGGAGGGAAGACTTCCTAACTCATTCTATTAGGCCAGCATTACTCAACATCAAAGCCAAAGACAAAACAAGAAAAGAAAACTAGAGACCAATATTACTTATGAACGTTGATGTACAAATCCTCAACAAGGGGCCAGCCCCACGGCACAGTGGTTAAATTCAGCACACTCTGCTTCAGCAGCCTGGGTTCACAGGTTTGGATCCCAGCCACAGACCTACATCACTCATCAGCCATGCTCTGTGGCAGCGACCCACATACAAAATAGAGGAAGAATGGCACAGATGTTAGCTGAGGGCTAATTTTCCTCAAGCAAAAAAAGAGGAAGATTAGCAACAGATGTTAGCTCAGGGTGAGTCTTCCTCAGCAAAAAAAAAAGAAAAAAGAAAAACTACCCTCAGCAAAACAGTAGCAAACCAAATTAAGCAGCATATTAAAAGGATTATACATCATGACCAAGGGGATTTATTCCTGGAATGCAAGGATGGTTCAACATATGAAAATTGATCAACGTAATACACCATATTAACAGAATGAAGGAAAAAAACACATGATCATTTCAACTGATGCAGAAAAAGCATTTGACAAAATTAACACCTTTTAATGATAAAATACTCAAAAAACTAGGAATAAAAGGAAACTATCTCAACATAATAAAAGCCAATATGAAAAACTCACACCAAACATCATAGTTAATGGTGAAAGACCAAAAACTTTTCCTCTAAGATCAGGAACAAGATAAGGGTGCCCACTTTTGTCACCAAGAGAAATCCCTAAAACAATTTCCATGTCTAATGCTTTGTTTTTAAGTTGTCCTTGCTTATAGGCACTAAGGCAGAACGTTGCCAGATGGCCAAACTGCAGAACTGGTTCAAACCAGAAAGGTCCAAGATGGTGATGGGGTGCCACGTGCAAAAGGAAACTTGTGCAAAAGGTGCCACGTGCAAGAAGGGAAGATCTGCACATGCCCCAAATGACTCCTCCTCCTTCACATCCCATAAGAACCCTGGTCATCTTTCCTTCAGAGAGAAGATGTTTGAGAGCATGAGCTCTGCCTCCTCTATTTGTCAATCAATGAATAGTTTCTGCTCTGCTATTTCAAATTCAGTCTCATTCTGGTGGCACAAGCGGCTCCAGGCAAAAGGACCCTCTTGAGTGTCACCAGTCCTTTAGGGCTTGGTAACACTTTTACCACTTCAATTCAACATAGTAGTAGAAATTTCAGGTAGAGCAATTAGGCAAGAAAAAGAAATAAAAGGCACCCAAATTGGAAAGGAAGAAGTGAAAACCGACCCCGTTTGCAGATGGTATGGTCTGACATGTACAAAACCATCAAGATTCCACAAAAAAACTGTTAGAGCTGATAAATGAAATCATCAGGATACAAAGTCATAACACAAAAATCAGATGTGTTTCTATATACCAACAATAAGCAATCTGAAAAGGAAATTACAAAAACAATTCCATGTATAACAGCATCAAAGAATATAATATTTAGGAATTAACCAAGAAGGTAAAAGACTTGCACAATGAAAACTACAAAACATCGCTGAAAGAAATTAAAGAAGACATAAATAAATGGAAACACTTCTCATGTTCATTGACTGGAAGACTTAACATTATTAAAACGTAAACATTACCCAAAGCGATCTACAGATTCAATGCAATGTCTATTAAAATCCCAATGAGGTTTTTTACAGGAATAGAAAAACTCATCCTGGAATCTCAAGGGATCCCAAACAGCCAAAACAATCTTGAAAAGGAAGGAAACTGGAAGAGTTACACTTCCTGTTTCAAAACTTATCTCAAAGCTATGGTCATCAAAACAGTGTGGTAGTGGCATAAAGACAGACATATAGATTAATGGAATAGAATAGAGAACCCAGAAATAAACCCTTGCTTATAAGGTCAAATGATTTTTGACATGCGTGCCAATACCATTTAAATGCTGCTGGGAAAAGCGGATGTCCAGGTGCAAAAGAATGAAGGTGGACCCTTACCTAACATCATACACCAAAATTAACTCAAATTGGATCAAATGTGTAAACGTAAAACCTAAAACAATAAAACTCTTGGAAGAAAACATAGGACAAAAGCATCACAACATTGGATTTGGCAATGATTTCTTGGATATGACACCAAAGGCACAGGTAACAAAAAAAAAATAGACAAACTGAACTTAACTTTAATTAAAATTTAAAAAATTTTAAAATTTTACACCAAGAGACACTATCAACAGAGTAAAAAGGTAGCGTGTAGATTGGGAGAAAATACTTGCTAATCATTTATCTTGTGAAATTAGTAAAAGAAATTTCAACTAAATTGAAGTGGGAAAGGCCTGGAGGGAGGGTGCTCAGACCCTATCACACCTCGTCAATTACTCCACCAGAAAGAGGTGCATTTGCATCTACAACAGGAAGGTGTCTTCTACTTTACTACCCAGCAGAAAGAAGATTTCTCTGATGGCCCAGCAACAACTCAGTCAATGAGAGACTGCAGCAACCCAACCGAGGAGAAGCCTCCACACTTTGGACTCCCAGTTTCCTCCAGTGGATTCTTTGTTGATTACAGCCCATGTCAACTCCCTTTTCCTCCATAAAAGCAAGCCCCTTCCTCGGCTTCTCTGGACTTGTGCACCACAGCTTGTATATCTTGAACTGCAATTCTTTTGGTTGTTCCTGAATAAACTCATTCCGCAGATAAAACAACCAGCCAATTTACTTTTTAGGTTGACAATCTGATAAGGGATTAATATCCAAAACATATAGAGAACTCCTAAAACTAAACCATAAACAACCAATATGATTCAAAAATGGGCAAAAAACTTGTGCAGACACTTCTCCAAAGAAGATATACAAATGGCCAATAAGCACATGACAAAATGCTCAACGTCACTAATCACCAGGAAAATGCAAAACAAAATTGCAATGAGATACCGCCTTACACTCATTAGGATGGCTACTATCAAAAAGGCAAAAAACAAGCACTGGTGGGGATGTGGAAAATCTGGAACCCTTGTGGACTGTGGGTGGGAATGTAAAATGGTGTGACCATTGTGGAAAACAGTATGGGGTTCCCCCCAAAATTAAAAATAGAATTAGCATATGACCCAGCAATTCCACTTCTTGATATATATCCAGAAGAATGGAAAGCAGAGTCTCAAAGAGATATTTGTACACTCATGTTCACAGCAGCATTATTCACAATAGCTAAAACGTGAAAGAAACTGAAGCATCCACCAAAAGATGAACAGATAAGCAAAATGCGGTACAGTCATCCCTCAGTATCCAAGGGGAGTTGCTTCCACAACCCCCACCCCCGGGGAACACCACAATCTATGGACGCTCAAGTCCCGACGTAGAAAACGGCGTGGCATTTGCATAAAACCCACACACACCCTGCCGAATACTTTAAATCATCTCTAGATTACTTATAATACCTAACAATGTAAATGCTATGTAAATAGCTGTTACACTGCATTGTTGAGAGAACAATGACAAGAAAAAAAAAGTCTGTACATGTTCAGTACAGATGCAACCCTTGCAGGCCTTTCAATCCATGGCTGGCTGAATCCCCGGATGCAGAACCCACGGATGCGGAGGGCCCACTGTAAATACACACAACGGAGTATTACTCAGCCTGAAAAAGGAAGGAAACTGCAATATGCTACAACATGGATGAACCTGAAAATACTATGCTAAGTGAAACAAGCTAGGCACAAAAAGACAAATATGCAGGGTTCCATTTATATGAGGTACCTAGAGAAGTCAATTCATCGAGGCAGAAAGTAGAATGCTGGTTGCCGGTGGCTAAGGGGGGTAGGGAAGGGGAAGTCATGGTTTCACCGGCACAGAGTCGCAGTTTTACAAGATGAAAGGAGTTACGGAGATGGATGGTGGCGATAGTTGCACAACATGAATGTACATAATAGCGATGACCTGTACACTTGAAACGGTTAAGACGGTAAATTCTCCGTTCCAGTCGCGTCCCGTATGACACAGCGGCCCCGTAGGGGCAGACCGCACAGCGGGGGTGTGCAGGCGCTAGCCCACCCGGGTCTGCTTAAGTGCCCTCCGCCACGTCCGCACGACGAGGCTCGCCGGGCCGCACAGCGCGCAGAACGTCTCCCCGCAGTGATGCGGCGCAAGTGAAACCCTGGCACGCGGTCCCACTCTTCCTTCTCCATCACGGTGGGAAGAAACCACGCTGAATCCGACACCTCGGACCAACGTCTGACGTCTGCCTTCTCCGACCACCCGAGGGCGAGGCCGAGGGCACACACCGTCCACGCGCAGTCCGGGCTGACGACGCCGCCTCGTGGCCGGAACAGGACCTACCTTCCCCACAGCGACATCCGCAGCTTCTCAAACCTTCTGAGGTGCACAAAACCATCTGGGGGTCTAGCTAACAGCGGGATTCTGGCTCGGCCGGGTCGGGCAGGAGCGGCGCACGCGACCCAGCGCTTCCGACGCGCGGGGCGGCCCGGCGCCTGCATCCCGGCCCCCAGCGCTCGGGCACGCCCTCTCCGCCCGGTCCGGGAAGCCGGGAACCTCCGTGTCCCGCGCCTGGTAGCCGAGCCCGGCCGGGGACAGGGAGGCGTCTCCGCTCCCGAGCAGCGGGCAGGTGGGGGACCGGACCCCTCGTTCGGCCGGGCGCGCGGGCTGAGGCCCGACGCCGCGCCCGCGCCGGCGCAGCCCGCTCGCGCTGCGGCCTCGGGAGCGCGCCCGAACTCCGAGCCCCGTCCGGAACCCCACGGGGCGCCGGCACCGAGCAGCGGCGCGGCCCGCCCTCCTCGGGGACGGGGCACCGAGCGGCCCTCGCGCGGCGGCCCCTCCCGCCTGCCAGCTCTCCCAGGTCTGCTGAGCGTGTTTCTATCAACCTCCGTCTTTACCTAAACTCTCTCTCAGAGGAGACTTCCTGTCGCTGCCGTAAACGAACAGTCACCGTCACCTGCCGCCGGCCGGCGGCCCCACAGACGGACGCCGCGAGCCCAGCGGGACGGGAGCCGACTCGCCCGGACGGCGTCAGCAGGGCGCGACCGTGAGGGACCTCCCGTGACCGCCCCGCGACGCCGACAGAGGGACCCGGGCCCCGCCTCACGGGAGGGTCCGTGCGGGGCGCCCCCGCCCCGACCCGCCTCACGGGAAGGTCCGTGCGGGGCGCCCCCGGCCTCACGGGAAGGTCCGTGCGGGGCGACCCCGCCCCCGGCCTCACGGGAAGGTCCGTGCGGAGCAACCCGCCCAGGCCCCGGCCTCACGGGAAGGTCCGTGCGGAGCGCCCCCTCCCCGGCCCGGGGGCACGTACTGGCCTCGGGTAGCGTTCTCCGCGGGCGCCGGCGTCTCCTCGCACGCCCGCCTCAGGGCCGCGATCTCGGCCTGCAAGGCGCTGAGCTCAACCCGCCGGGCGTCCATGGCGCCGCGCTAACGGGCGCCGCCCGGCACTTCAAGCCTCGCGCGCTCCTGGAGCGGACCATCGTGCGGCGCGGCGGGGGGGCGCGGAGCACGGCGGTCTGCGCACACACCCCGCGCTTGCACGGCGGCCCGCGCCCAACGCCGTCCCTGCGCACGTGGCCGCAGCTGTCCCCCCGCAGCCGTCACCGAAGCCCCCGCGCTTGGAGAGAGCAGGTCGGCGCCAGCCCGGTGCCCGAGCGCCGGCCGCGCCCCCCGCGCTGGTGGCGCCTTGGAGCAGCCCGGACGTGACGTCACGAAGAGGGCTCGGGACCACGCGAACCCGGGGCCTCTTTATTTTTCTTCCGCTGCCTCTCTTCCGCCGCCGTAGTCCCGGGTCCAGGAACGCCGTTTGATAACCGTCTGCGGTACGAATGCCGGAGTTTGGGCTTGAGATCTTTGGTGGACCTTGAGGGCAGAGTCGGGGAGGCATCGCAGGCTCCCAAAGGACGGGAGACAAGCTAAAGAGCCCTCGGAGCGGAGTGTGGGTACGGAACCGTAGGAGTCGGGGCTGAAAGTCAAGTAGGGAGGAAGAGAGGCGGTGCCTGGTGGGACACGTGACTGGAAGTTGGGGCGGAGGCGGCCTGGCTTTGGACGCGGCGTGGTGAGCAGCGGCGCCTCGCTCCCTCCTCGTCTCGGGTCTGCGGGAGGAACAAGGCTGTGGTGTGTAGATTGGGGGCGGCCACCAGGAGGATGTGGGCCGTGCTCTGGGCCTCCGGCTCGTTCTAGGGGCGCGTGCGGGAGGAGGCTGCAGGCCCTTGGGGACGCGCGGGGAGCGGCGTCGGCGCCTGCGGGTGCTGGAGAGCGCTTGGCGGGCCTCAGGTCCCGGGCCCCGGGGGACGTTTTCCTGCGTCTTCTCCATCCGATGATCTCCGTCGTGTAGCGTTGGGATCACAGTTCTGAAACTAAGTCCGGGTTAGAACCGTGGCTTCGCCGCTGACTCCCCGAAGGGCGCTACAAAAGTGACCGACCCCCTCTCTGAAAAGCGGGATGCGTCGCGCTGCCGCTTGCGGCGAGGCTGGCGCGCGGTGGGCCCGCTCCTCTGTCGTGACACTGGTGCACTTGTAACGCTGCCTGCTTCTCGCGTGTCCGAGGGGCTTCGGGATGGAGAGCTTTTGTCCTTGAGCATGTTAACCGGCCACATCGCGTTCCCGTCAGCCTTTGTTAAAGTGAGTAAGGGACAACGCCCAGCAACACGGATGAGTAGAGGAGGAGGGGTGAGTGCAGTACGTGGTCGTGTAAGGGGAGCGTCCGCGTGTCCCCGTGTCTGTGTGTAGAGGTGCGTTCCAAGGGGCGTTCTTGGAGAACGCGGAGGTGGGGCTTGACCAGGATCTCCAGAGATAAAATTTAGAAGCAGTACCATAGGAGGTGAAACACACAGGTCCAGGCGACAGATTTGGCGGAAGATTCAGGGAAAGGAGTTGGGGTTTTTTCAGATTTGAGAAAAACTAAGGGAAAGAAGTCTTCGCCGTACATAGAAAGTTATTTTTCCCAGCAGGACACACTGAGTGTGTGCCCCAGCCTTCATGAAAGCTGACAGAGAGACCAAGCGCCTCTTTGTGGGTGGCCTTGGCGCAAACATCTCCGAGGCAGACCTACGAAATCAGTTCAGCAGATTTGGAGAAGTGTCTGATGTGGAGATCATCGCACGGAAAGATGAGCAAGGTGAGTTTATAATCCTTCTGGGTAAAGGCGTGTATAACTCAGGTTAAGTGTCATGTAACAAAGAACCCCCCCAGAGGTGAATGTTAGTCCTGCACGCTGAAAGTGCCCTGTGTTTCCTTACAGGACACTGTTGTGTGTCCCCGGCCCCATGCCCCAGAGGTGTTAGGGATGATGTGGAGCTAGCTCAGAATTACATTTGTGAAATAAAAAAAAAATCTGAATTCCAAAATATCTGATTTCTAAAACTTGTAACTTTCAGTTTTCAGAGTTAACATTCTGATGTTCATTGTGTCATATGGAGTAAAATACCACTAACATCCGGACAGTCAAAATGTTTCCTTACCTGGCTGCTTGACGTTTTTTTGTTATCCCTTTTCTTTTGGAACACTTTGATTATCATGCTTAGAAAAGTGCAATCTTTATATCCACTGAAGACTAAATAAGGTTTTTCTTTGAAAGAGGAAGTTTCCAAGAGTTCATTTTTTAAACTTAGAAACTTAATAATTTTTTACATTATTCTCCGGATGAGACTTTAAATAAATTTATTCTTTTTTTTAGGAAACCTACAGAAAGTTTTTGCATATATCAACATCAGGGTAGCAGAAGCAGACCTGAAAAAATGTAAGATTGTCATGTATTTTTTGTACTCTTTGCCAATTCGTGTCACTGTGAAACTTGGAATAACTTCATTCTAAATCTAAACCTCAACAGCCACTTCAAATCTCCCAGAGGGTCAACCATGATCAAGGAAATTTCAGTATTCTACAACCTAGCAGGTTTAGGTTCATACCGTTTGGTGTCAACAGACATGTAGCACATTGCTCGTGGGTTTGCTCAAATATGGTATTCTCAAATATTTTGGAGAAGAGACCAAACTTTCATAGAAACTGACTGTTACACATATCCTACTAGATATTATGCCACACCCACCCTCCCCCACCATGTTCATTTCTTGGGCAGCTAATTCTAACCGCTAAATGCTGTTGGAAGGCTTTAGAGTGTACCCTTGGGAGACCCTATCCTTGAAGTTATGAACTCTGCATCGATAAGTTTAGTAAAGCTGAGGGCAAAATGAGGGTCTTCAGTGAAGAAGGAAAGGGAGATAATCCATACTGCCACTGATGCAGTAATATATCCTAGTTATTTAGAAGCTGAAAAGTCAAAAGATGCTGAGAAGGAAACATACTGAGAAATAGGGCCATCAGCCTTTTGCAATTTCATTTGCAAAAGAAATTGATTTAGTCTGTTGTTCAGTGAGAAAATAGATATGACAAACAAGTTATGGTTAAGAATACATCAGCTCTGATGTGTGACCTGTAACAAGTAATTTAAACTTCGAAGCCCCAGTTTGCTTATCTGATGTATGACACAGATGTTGCTTGCCTCATAATACTGCTGTGAAGATTAAATTGAGTAATACCTTCACACTCAGCATTGTATCTCCAATAGAAACGTCTGTCAGTTACTGGTTGTTATTAAGGAAGCCTATAGCAGGTACTGAGAAAAAGCGACTACTAGGGCGTAGCGGTTGGGACATAGTTTAGTTGCCTGCACCTAATTTGTTTGCAAGTTACACAGTGATAGTGTAGTGATAATTAGTATAAGGTAATAAAGTGAGGTGCTGCAAGATTCCAGTGTCCTCTGATTCACCCTAGAAAGATAACATTAATGTTTTATAGTTTGGGTATGGAAAATGACAGTGAAATATTAAGTAGATGTCAGCCATTCACCAGAGGTTCTTGATGTTACTTTATAAACAAATGATAGACAAATCTTGCTTTACGTTGTACGCATTTGCCTCATTCGAATCTTGCAGTAACACTGGGAGGTAGGGAGTGTAAGGACTCTGGTAAGTGGTCAAGATGAGACCAGTACCTGGGCCTCTCTCCAGGTCTCATTGTCTTCATTCTATTTCCTCTGTATTTCTTTGTGATAAAGAAGTCTACGTTTCTTGGTACTGAATAATTTTAAAGGCACATGCTGAAATGTGTTATTGTGTTGTCATGTACTTGGGTAATAATTCTTTACTTCATAGGTATGTCTGTCTTAAATAAAACAAAATGGAAGGGTGGCACACTACAAATTCAGCTAGCAAAAGAAAGTTTTTTGCACAGGTAAGATTTGCTTTATATGGATTTAAAACCTATTTCTTTATATTGAAGATGGTTTTATACAGTTAATTGATTTGGAACTATCAAGTTATATGCTGTTATAGTCTTAGCAAATTCAAACATTACAAGTAGAGCTAAAATTTCTCTTAACTGTGACCCCAGACCCCAACAAAAAAAGATAATGTGATGTATTTATGTATGTACGTTTTAAACTATAAAAATATGTACTATTTCCTCTTTTTTAACACAGCCATTTGTGGTGATGTAGATCTTCCGCCTTCTTTAGTACTATTTCAGAAAATTGCTGTACCATTGTGTAGTTGGTCATCCCCCACGAATGGACATTTAGACTGTTTCCACTTTTGCATGCTTTAATAGATGACCCTTGAGAATGGCTCCTGCATATGTGCAAGGGTTCCTCTGGGGTTTATGTTAGAAAAGGGAGTTTGTGTGTCATAGGGTTATGTACCTTTAAAATTTTAATAGACACTACCAAATGCTTATGTTGATTTTGACTATTAATGTGAGTGTCATACAAGGGTATAAAGATAATAGGAAATCCCTGTGTGAGAGGGATAAGATTAATTATGCAAGCAATTTAAGAGCAAGGCAGTGTCAGAGAGTATTAATATCTCTAAAGGTATTCTTAGGGGGAAAAGATTATGAGTTTGGGAGCTTTCAAAATAGGAAACATTGTAGGAATATATAGATGGAGTGACCAGGAGAGTTAGTAAGATTGTTCTAGACCAAGGAAATGGCACAATGAAAACTAAGGTCTAAAACAAGAGCCAGGCAGCCTACTGGAGGCATGTTTTGAGGGAGTGGTCTGGTAAGAAAGGTGAGAATTTGATTTTGTTCTTCGTCTGGGGGCCTCTGTGAACAGGTTAGTGATGGGACTTTCATTCGGCAGTGCTTCAGTACCTACTATGTACAGGGACTGAGGCCTCAGTCCTGAGCAGGGTGAGCATGCAGTGCTGCTGCCTTGAAGTGTCTGTGGAAGGTGGAACGTAAAGGAGACAGATGAGAGGTGAAGAAGCCAGTGAGGACTGGTGAGCGCAGTTGTCCAGGTCTGACTTATAAGGTGGGGGAGTTTGAATCAGAAGGTTGAGATTGCATTCTGCATTCTCTTCAATATGAGGGTAGAAGTAATCGGGACTTGGCAGATTGGGCTCTGAAAGACACCTCTTCCTCATGAAGAACAGTGAGGGGATTGAGGATAGATAAAATGCGAAAGTGCATAAGTTGAAAGGGAAAAACTGAGAGACCCTAAACGATCACTATAAAGTTAAACAGCTTTATAGTATCAAAAAAAAAAAAAAAACCCCGAATGCACTGTTAATAGCATGATTGGTTATTTTTACTCCTTTATTTATATTTTCTCTTTGATCCAGATTGGCCCAAGAGAGAGAAGAAGCAAAAGCAAAGAAGGAAAAATCAAGAACAGGCAACACCAGCTTGTTGGAGAAGATGGGAGTGGTGGATTTCCATGTGAAAGCTGTGCCTGGGACAGAAGTACCAGGTCACAAAGTGAGTCTTCTCTGGTGGCCTGACTAGCCCAGGAACTGACTCTTGAGACCCTGTAAGCCTGGGCAACAGGTCTAAAGCAGTTGTTTTTTTCCCTTGCTTTGAAGCAGTTAATGTACTGTGCTTATAGTCTTCAAAGTGCCTTACAGCCCTTGGGTAAGCACAGTTTTCCCCTTATTTACAAAGAGAAATCAGGAACTCAAATGGAGGCAGGTCTCCCAGGGGACAAAGGCGAGACATACAGGCAGATCCAAGTTTGCCTTCTTAACGGCGGGTGTTTTTGTGTGGCATCCTACATAGTTTATATGGGATTGATAGCTGCCCCAATTTTTTTTTTCTTTCTCTTTTCTTTCTTTATACACTTTTTTGAGGACTCATGTTTCATTTTCAGAAGATTAAACCCAAAAGTAATCATGGCCTACTGTGAGTTTAAATGTTTTTAAAGTTATATTTATGCAGAGTGGTTAATCTTTCAGATTTATGATATATATAGTAAATACATTCTTTTTTTTTCTTTTAGAATTGGGTTGTGAGTAAATTTGGAAGAGTCTTACCTGTCCTTCACCTAAAGAATCAACATAAACGTAAAATATCCTTCAAAATTGGCCTTTCAGAGTAACTGTTATTTAACAGTGATTGATACTTGGAGAAATTTACTTCCTACCTTTAGAATTTCCCTCCCTCTGTCAGTAAATGTTTAGGTGTTTAACAGTTTTAATGTTCCCAGTTTCTAGGCAAGGTAAGACCTACCCACCTACATGTATGAGACAGTTAGAGAATAATGAGAGAATGTGATAAGGTTTTGTGCAAGTAAGTGATAGAAACAATGGTTGTCAAAGAAGCATATCTTAAATTATATGTCCTTCCTTTCATTTGACATGATTCAGAGCCATTGGTAAAAGAGCTCAAGTAGGGCGAGGGAACACAGGGTCCTTGTTAAAGAAGGCTTTGGAGGAATTGGGGTAGGTTTTACATTCATAGACAAAATATAGGAAAGAGGAAAATGGTAGATTGAAGTATGTAGACGGGCAGGAGAATGGTGGGTAGAGAAATAGTATGGAATGCAGGATGAGTAAATTCAGATGCCCGTTCCCTTGAGGACATGAGTTCAGATTCCTAGCATCATGGACTTGTGGGCAGAGGGTGTGGCTTGGGTATCCTGTAGCTTCAACCATGTGTCAGTCGGAAGCAGAAGCAGTTCCAGGTACTTCGAACAGAGCAGATGTATACATGCAATAGGTTTAAAAGTGCTGGAGGAGCAAGAAGCTGATGATGGTCAGGTTGTCCAGAGATTAATAACTGCAGCAAACCACTAGCCTGGGGCTAGAGAAGCAGAAAGGGCATGTTCTTATGGCTTACAGCTACTGTGCCACTGCGGTCCCTGGAGCCCTGGCCAAAGCCGGTGTTTCTACTATCCTTGCCAGTGGCACTAAAATCAGGGAAACACTGACTTCTTTCTTCCTCTCCACGTGCCGGCTTCCCACTAGTGGCAGCCACTGAACAAAGAGGAGGGTATTGACAGACAGTGTGAAGCTGAGAGACAGTGGACACTGGCACACCTCACATATTTGGCATGTGTTCAGTAGATACTAAATGAACAGAGACTTTTCAGGAGTAATAGCTTGAAGCAACTTACACTTGCCTATTTACACGTTTTAGGAAATCAGCAAATGCCAACTGTCATCACAGCATGTTGACATCAACAAGAATCTTTCTGGATAACAGGCCTGGTAAAGAATTACTAACTTTCTGTTAAAGACCTAAAGAATGTACTACAGACAGTGAGTAGAATGTAAAATGGATGTTACTGAGCTAGGAGAATCAGAGTTAGGATGGGTCAGTATCAAGAAGGCAGGAATGGCCAAAAGAATTGGAGACTCAAGGGTGCGCAGTGTCTAGCTGTACTCCTGTGGATTCCCCTCTGTATTCTGCTTTAGAGTATCAGCTCAGTGGATGCATTTCTCGGATTTACAGAAAACATTCTTGGGGCCTCTGTATCTAGAATAAAATCTGAATCAGTTTGCTGTAATACTTATGTACAACCCAAGTAATTCCTTCTGATTAATACTAATGGTGCTTGGTTTTAACTCTGGACATGGCATAGAAAACTCAATTTCAAAGACCCTGTGGTCACCTAGTGAAGTCCTTGTTTTGTCTGACAGGAAACTGAGGGTTAAACAGTATTCCTGTTACTTCACCAGATTGATAGGTTTTCCTAAAACCTAGCATTTTTGTTTTGTTCCTTGACTTTTGGTAACATCATAAAGTATGATCCATCAAAATACTGCCACAACTTAAAGAAGATAGGGGAGGATTTCACAAATGCCACCCCTATATCCAACCTCACTTGGGAACTGGAAGGAGGAAATGATCCTATGAGTAAGAAACGGCGAGGAGAGTTCTCTGACTTTCACAGCCCTCCCAAGAAGATGATAACAGTGCGGAAGGATGAGAGTTCCACTGCATCTCTGGCTGTGAGACTAAGACCCAGTAGGGTAATGGAGAGTCTATCCTCAACACAGCAACAGGCAGCACAGAAAACACCCTGTGATCTCATTACTCTGCCTAAATCACCCCAGGTACCTGATTCTGAGAGCCAGAAACTTAAACATGTATTTTTTCAGACTTCTGGCTTGGAGACCACCAGGAACAGAAATAACTTGTCTGATGATGATATCGATTCTGAAGATGAATTAAGACTAATGATTGCAAGAGAGGAAAAAGAGAGAGCTATATGGTCCTCAGTAAATAAATCTGAAGATGATCACTTTGAAGTTGTTAGGGATGATTTCAAATCAGATGTTCACAAACTTCATTCTTTATCAGGTTTAGGCATCAAAAATAATGTCTCCTGCCTTGATAGTGAAGATGTTTTGAGAAATGATAGTGACTGTGATTCAGGAGATACAGATGAAATCATTGCAATGAAAAAAAATGTCAGGAAGGTCAAAAACAGTACAGAATTTTCACAAATGGAAAAGTCTATACACAAGAAATCTTTGAAAAATAGAAAAAACCATGAGCCTTCTGATGATCGTATTAAAGTACACAAAGGAAAAACCAACATAGAGCTAGCCATCAGTCAAGAAGTTAAGCCTCTTGGTTGTAAGTCTCCGTCCGACTTTAGTAGCAGTGAAAATGCTGATTCTATATCAGAATCACCTGAGTCTGAAGACGATGAGGAGTATAACGCCATGATGAGAAACTGTGCACGTGTGAATCTCACTTTAGGTGATTTGGAACAGTTGGCTGGCAGTGACCTGGAGGCTCCAAAAGAAGACACTGAGAGCGATGGCCAGGAAACCACCACCAAGTGTGACAGGGCCTCCAAAAGCTGCAGGACTCCCTGTAGCCTCCACACAGGTCGACAGTGTATTCATCCTGGGGAGATTGTGGCTTCCCTTTTAAAAGAAGACAACACCCATGGAAAACAGAAACCAAAGGCAAACAACTTAAAGCCAAAATTCCAGGCTTTCAAGGGAATAGGCTGTCTCTATGGAAAGGAATCAGTGAAAAAATCCATGAAAGAGATCGTTGCCTCTAACAATAATACTAAAGATCAGAATTGCTTGAAACCTGAGGATCCTGGTGGCATATTCATGGAACTGGGGCCCCCGTATGCTAATGGCTCATCAGGTGAACTGACTCCTTTCCAACATGCAAAGGCGGCAAATGATCCAACCCATATTCAACCTCAAAAGAGCCAGGATCACAAGGTGGTGTCCCCTAACAGTTCAGAAGAGAGAAGTGGAAATCCTGTTTCTAGTCTTTTGCCATTAACAGGTAAGAAATCTTTAAGTCTTGGTGCAAAGACTCCAAAGATAGGCTCTGAGGAAGACTGTTGCCACAGGACGGCAAAGACAGGAGAGGGCTCCAGAAAGAGGCCAGATCTGAGCAGCCGCACAGCCCCTGAGACATGGCCTGAGGCCGCCTCCAGGAGGGACACTCAAGGAAGCAAAACTGACCCCGCACTTTCTGTTAAAAGTCCATCCAGTGTTAATGCTAAGGATAAGCATGCTGAAGACAATCAAAAGCGTTTGGCAGCCTTAGCGGCGAGGCAGCAAGCAAGAGAAGCACAAAAGCAGCTGGTTCACGATGCTCTGGCAAACGTGGTGAGTGTGTGTTCAGTGTGGGTCTACCAAGCGCTCTCAATCCTCCCTTCTTACCATGAGCATAGCATGCCCCTGTAGAGCTCAGTGACTTGGCACCCACCAGTTTTGTGTTTTGTGTCCTTGAGTTAGAAGCCTTTATCACCCTATACCTTTAGTATATCCCAAAAGAAGTGAGACTGGATTCTGCTTACTAAAGATGTTTTTAATTTGTTTTTATCTAAAGTTTTTTCATAATTTCCTTTCCTTTAGAAGCTATAACTGGTATAGTTAAGTGATAGATCTTAGTATGTCTGAATTTACATAGAAATCACTTGCCAAATGATTTCTGTCTTACCAAGGTTTACTATAATGAGCCTTTATTCATTTTCTGAACAATCGTTAGGTACATGTGAGGTTCCAGGCCTTCACAGTAAGTGCTGGATTTATAGAATGAGGGTTGTGGTCTGTGCCTCAGGTGGTTATCGAGTCATAGTGTAGTGGGCAGAAGGTCGCAGTTTAGTTCCACAGGCAGAGAGCAGTATGCCTGTGTGCCCTGGCAGCACACGGAAGCACCAGCTCTGCAGGAGGATGTGGGGAGGGGCTTCCTCAGCCTGAACTGAGTGTGGTGTGAAAGGGTCAGTGGGAACTGGTTGGGCAGAAGTAAGAGGGTGGGAAGGGAGAAGAAAGGCATTCTTCTTTAAGGGAGCAGTTTGTCCAAAAGTGAGTATTTGTAGTCAGTGTTCCTAAAATGTATATAGCATGAGGTGGCAAGAAATGGGGCTAGAGAGATTAGTAGGGGCAAGTTGTGAAGAGGCTACCGAGGTTGGACTTTATTCTTAAGGCAGTGAAAACACTGAAGAATTTAACCAAGGGGAAGAGAAGTAGTTGGCTATACATTGGAACAGGAGTAGGCAAACTGCAGCTGGCAGGCCATCTGGCCTATGGCCTGTTTTGGTATAGCCTTCAAGCTAAGAATGGTTTTTACATTTTTAAAGGGTTTAAAAGAAGAATGGAGGGCTGAAACCATATGTGGCCTGCAAAGCCTAAAATATTTACTCTCTGGCCCTTGACAGAAACAGTTTGCCAGCATCTGTTTGGGAAAGGTTGTTCAGGCCGTGACGAGAACAGCAAATCGAATGGGGCAGATCTGGACCCGGGACAGCCTGTAGGAGGTCATGAACCAGAAGCAAGGCACTGACAGTGGGAACATATTTAAAAGATACCAAGAAGATCCAGTTGATGGAACTTGGTGATCAACTGGATATAGAGAGAGAAGTCATAAGTTTCCATCTTGGGAAACAAGTGGATGATGTTGGCATTCACTAGATAAGAAAATAGGATGGGCAGTAGATTTGGCAGGAGGAGGAGATGAAGGGTTGTGTTAAGGTGTAATGCTTTTGACAACTGCTCTAGGATGGTCATCCAGAGGACAAGCCAACACACATCATCTTTGGTTCAGACAGTGACAGTGAAACAGAGGAGGCATCCACTCAGGAGCAAAGCCATCTGGGGATGGAACCAGTGAAAGTAAGTTGTTCAGGATGCCCGTGTGGGCATTCTTCTACCTTTGCAGATTCATTTCTACCTGTTGCATACCAAGACCTCCACACAACTGCCAGGCTCAACATAAAATCCTCCAGCAACCACGATGAGACCCAGGACTCCCCAGACCACCACACATGGAGACTACAGGGACTTTGGAGATTTTCTCCCACATGAATCTCTCCCCACATCTGCAAAGTGAAACCCTGCAGAAGGTGTTCTCACACATAATAACTGTTCCCCACCCCCCATCCAGGCTGCTTTGGGAGCCTCTGGATTCATGACCCAAGAGGCCGAGTATATATCACAGAGTCAGGAGTTTCCATCCTAACCAGCATTCATCCTTTCCTGGAAGATGCTCCTTGGTTGTTGTTTCTTAAATACGAGGGGGAAGATTACATATTGAAGGAAATGTTGATTGCATCAGTTATTAATAAACATTTCTGTCTTGTCTTCATCTGAGTAACAGGAGTCCGTGGGTAGAGCATCTGGGAAGCTGTTTGACAGCAGCGACGATGAGGAATCTGGTTCCGAAGATGATAGTAACAGGTTCAGAATTAAACCTCAGTTTGAGGGCAGAGCTGGACAGAAGGTTAGTGAAGACTGAAAATAAAACCTGCATTGTGTCCTTACTTTTCGACAGCATCCTTAAATCTAGGTGAATGCAGACAGACCTTGACCTGCACTTTAGTGTTTAGGTGTCTATTTTGGGAGTGAGTCCTCTTTGACCCTCTCTCATTGGTTCAAGGGTAGTTGAGGTTATACAAACATTAATATAGTGAATTTCAGGGCATGGGATATCCACTTGTAGGGCCTTCTTTCAAAGTGACTTCTTGGGAATATGGTCATCAATTGTGTATGTGTTTTGTCTGTGCAGCTCATGCATTTGCAGTCTCACTTTGGCACTGATGACAGATTTCGCATGGACTCCCGATTTCTAGAAAGTGACAGTGAAGAGGAACAGGAAGGTAAATTGTCCAAACAATTCTGATGTCAGAGCTGGGGGACCCTGAGAAGTTACCAAATGTAGTTCCTTCACTTAAGATATACAGAAACTGGGGGCCAGCCCAGTGGCGCAGCGGTTAAGTGCGCACGTTCCGCTTTTCAGCGGCCTGGGGTTCGCCGGTTCGGATCCCAGGTGCAGACGTGGCACTGCTTGGCAAGCCATGCTGTGGTAGGTGTCCCACATATAAAGTAGAGGAAGATGGGCACGGATGTTAGCTCAGGGCTAATCTTCCTCAGGAAACAAAAAATATAGAGAGAGAAACTGTACCTCAAGACATTGAATTTTAGAGCTTACAATCCAATGTTTAGCTTACTTAATACTCCTTGAGTTTGTTCATACATATTAATTTATTTAGAAAATTTTAATTACTTGACACTGCCAGAAAGGACAGGAATAGATAATTTCCGCTAAAGGCACCACCTTCCTCTGTCCCTTCCCTGGCATAAGAGAGAAGGCGAGGTCCCTCCTTGGCAGTAGATTGGCAGGTCTGGGTGAGGCCATGGAAGATATTTAACTCTCACCTGGCTTTCTAAAAGGAAGAGTGTTCATCTTCCCTCCGCTCTATGTGCTAGGTGCAGGTTTTTAAAAGCCCTGTACCGTTGAAAGCCATTCTACTTGAATTCATCCTTATTTGAATGTATCTTATAGTAGTGATGCTATCAGAAGCATACTAATTCTGTTCCTTTTTACTTCCTAAAGCTTTTTTCACAGCCTTGGTTCCAAACTTCCTTATAAGACCTACTCTTATCCTTTTTGAAAGACCACACCTCCTACTTGACCAAGAGGACGGCCACCTCGAGTGAGCTCCCTCCTTCCCTCTCCAATCTCAGAACTTCTGTCCTTACTCCTTTTCCTGTCCTTCCTGAGTTCATCTAATCTGCATCTCACTCCCCCCATTCATACCTCCTGTTCTCCCCTTTCTCATGTGCATCTCTTCATCCTGCCCTTTCCTTCTAACTCCTTCCTGTTTCTACAGACATGGTTAGGTCTCAGGTCCCCAAAAAGCCATTTCTTCAACCCTGTCAGTTTTCAAGGTGCTACTCCAGTCTGTTTTTCAGTTCTAAACTTGAAAAATAAAAATAAACTCAGAAGCAGTTGGCTTTGTATTGAACACAATCTCTGATTTGACTCAATTCTTTGAGATGATTATTACGTGTATTACACTTTTCTGGAAACCAGGGTTGAGAGAGAAAATTCTCCAGGGTCCACACCCATAAGAAGCTTACGTTTCTGAGCTTCTCACTCAGAATTCCATGTTGAAAACAGGAATGGCAGAACCTTGGGAATAGCCCGCATTTAGAAGCCGCATTTAGAGGATACTTTCGTAGCTTCTGCCACTTTTGTCTGTCTCCTTACAACTCTTCTGGTATGTGTCCCCTCAAAGCTGTGAACAACCACTTCACCAAATGCAGTGGCATTTTCTTAAGCTTTGAGCTCTTCAGTCTGCTGGTAGCATTTGTCACTGTTAGCCACTTCCTCTTGAAAGGTTCTCTTCCCTTTGCTTCCATTGCACCATAACTTCCTTATTTTCTTCTTAATTCTTGGTTCCTCATTTTCCCTTTGCCTACAGATGTAGGCTCTCCCAAGTTTCTGTCAGTCCTTGTGGTTTTGGCTGTCTCTTGGACATGAGTGTTTTCCAGATTTGGGCCGTCTTTGCTCCTGACTGTTGTGCTGAGCTCCCACCTGTTCTTTTCTCAATGCCTGATCGTTATTTCTCAGAGACGTTCCTGTGAGAACAAGGAGGTCTCAGCAAGTCCCAAGCCGACCTCCTCAGCTCCTCTGGGCCCTTCTGTTTCTCTGGATGGCACTTCCATTCTCAGGGCAGACAGAGAACCTCTGCCTTGTTTTTTTCCTTTCCAGCTTTTCAGGCACAATCTTTTGTGAATTGAGGAGACTGTCCTGCAAAATAAGTGGTGTGGCCAGCCTACAAACACCTTGAGCCCTTTCCAGCATTGTGTTCTACTTCCTAATGGTCATTATGAAGTTGAAATTGAAATGCTGCTTTTCAGAGTCAAAAGTTGTTGAATATTAGCAGTTTCATGTGGTTCAACCTAATGCAGTGCAAACTCTTTGCACTTTCTTGCTTCAATATATCTGTTCATTTTGTTTCCTACACCTGGCATGCCCTCCTTCTACCCCTAGGCAGCCACTTTGTCTCTCCTGCCTTAGATTCTGCCTGTTTATAAAGCATTTCTTGATCCAGTTGAACATAATCTCTGCCTCCTTGGAACTTTTAGAAACTTTGGAGGCATCACTGTACAGAACTTACTCAAATCAGCGTCTTGTTCTAGTTTCTGTTACTTGGTTGTTTATATCCTCAAGGAGGTTGAAAGGGTCTTTAAGGATTAGACTTCTTTTGTATTTCTGTCTATAATCCAAAGTAGCTGTTTAACTTTGTTCTCTCATATTTGTCTGTTTCTAGTAGTTGAAGATAACAGCTTATACGGTTCCATGATGCCCCTGTGTGGAGGGCCTATGACTCTCTTCCTGATGTATTTATTACTGAATCAAAGGCTGAAACAACTATCTACTAACATATTAATAATCATTAAAATTACCATCTTTGACTATCTTTCATTTTTGGATTTACATGTAATTTAGATTACATTTTTAGAATTTAAAAAAATCGAAGAGTCTGTAATCACTTTAGCTTTGTAACTATCTTGCTCTATGTTTGCCAGTCTTTACCCTAAAAAACTTTTAGACTTTATGCTGAAAGCCGTTAAATCCAGATTTGATTTTCATAATTGCAAACAGAAGTGGAACTTTTTGTTTGCTGGTCATGCAATTTCTGAATTCACTGTGGCGTTGAGGGTCCTGAAAATAGGGAGGTTAGCAAAATTAGGCTTTACTTTTCATCTTCCTATCTTAGTGTGCTTTGCATATGTTTGGGTGATTGATAGATATTTGATGATTGAGACTTCTCAAGTTATGTTTGCCAAGAGATCACTAATTATCCTTTTCCCTCTAAGAGATAAATGAAAAGAAAACTGCCGAGGAAGAAGAGCTTGCTGCAGAGAAGTTGAAAGCCCTAAATGTTGTGCAGAGTGTTTTGCACATCAACTTCAGCAATTCTGTGAGCAAAGGATCGGGAGCTGCTAAGAAATTTAAGTATGGTTTATGTTCTATCCCATTCCATCTTGTTTTCCTTTGCTATAAATGCCTTCTTGAACTCAGTTTAAAATTAGGCCATTTTAAACTTCCTGGGGAGGGCAGTTGGCCATGTGTATCAGACTCTTAAAAATATATTTACCTTTGACCCAAAGATTTACTTCAAGAAATGAATCTTAAATTATTTCTGTCTTTATGTACTTAGATGTCATAGCAGCATTGCTTCCATTAGTGAAACAGTTTGACAGTGGCTTAAATTTAACTGTAAAACTACATAAATGTAACTGTTTCTTACGGAAAATTTTAAGCATAATTTAGGGAGACCAGTGTAGTGAAACCCCTGTACCGTCGCCCAGCTTCTACCATACCAGCATGTGACCAGTCTCCTCTTCTACACCTTTCCTCACTTGCCCTGCTTTCCCCACTGAAACATGTTATACAAATCCAAAAGTATATCATTTTATCTCTATATACTTTAGTATGCTTAAAATAACTTTTAGTATTAAAAAACTATGTAAGTATAAAAAAACCCAGGGAAACTTAATACTAGGTAATTTAAATACAGTGGTTTCTAACAAGCTCCTGATACTCTTTGATATTGTGTAGATTTATCTTGCTCAAAAATTGGAATCACCGTGGTGTTGAATTATAATTTGCTGTTAATTTTTTGTATTATTGTGCTGATTTATCTGTTTCAACTTATCACTCTCCTTTTTTTACATAGGGACATCATACGTTATGATCCAACACGGCATGACCATGCCACTTATGAAAGAAAGAGAGATGATAAACCAAAAGAAAGGTAAATCAAGCCACTTCTTTTAGTAGCAGGATCAGATGAATTAATCTCATTTCAGACAAGGAGAACAGTAGGTAGTAACCAATATCCCATCCATTGGTCGACACTGCATTTAGTTTAAGACCAAGGGAGGGAAAAGTCAGAGTGGAATTAGACGTGGCAGAGAGGGTCTTCCCTTTGACAAAGGAGCTCATGCATGTAAATGACGGTATGTGCTCTAGGATGGTGCCTCCTACCTGTATTAGTTTCTTGTGGCTGCTGTAACAAATTACCAGACTTGGTAGCTTAAAACCACAAAAATTCTCACAGTTCTGGAGGCTAGGAGTCTGAAATGAAGGTTTTTGAAAGGACTGTGTTCCCCTGGAGGTTCAGAGGGAAAATCCATTTCACGCCTCCCTCTTAGCTTCAGATGGCTGCTGGCAGTTCAAGGTACACCTTGGCTTGTGGCTGCATCACTCTAATCTCTGCCTCCATCTTCATAGGGCCTCCTCTTTTCTGTGTGTCTCTTTCTTTGTTTGTATTGTATAATCACAAACACTTGTGATTGCATTAGGGGCTACCTGGATCATCCTGGATAATTGGCTGTAAGGTCCTTAACTTAATTACTCTGCAAAGACCCTTTTTCCAAATACAAAAGGTACTATTCACAGGTTCCAGGAATTAGGGACCAGACATCTTTCTGGGGCAACCATTCAATCGCTACACCTCTAGTGTGTTGGGAGCTTCTATTTCCTATGTATAGATGTGCTGTCATTTTGATGAATATGGCGAATATATCAAGCAACGAGTAACTTGGCTGGTTTAATTCCTTCATTTTCCTACTGTTAAAATCACAAAGGCAGGGCTGGCTTGGTGGTATAGTGGTTAAGTTCATGTGCTCCACTTCAGTGGCCCAGGGTTCGCAGGTTCGGATCCCAGGCGCGGACCTAGTGCCACTTGTCAAGCCATACTGTGGCAGCATCCCACATAAAGTAGAGGAAGATTGGCACAGATATTAGCTCAGCAACAATCTTCCTCAAAAAAAAAAATCACAAAGGCAAGTATCATGAATTAGATCCTAGAACAAAAAAGACACTTTTGTAGAGAAACTGATGAAATGAGAATAAAGTTTGAGTTTAGTCAATAGTAACATACCGATGTTAATCTTTTAGTGTTTAGAATTGCATCATAGTTATATAAAATGCTACCGTTGGGGAAACTAGGTGAAGTTTGTTTGGGAATGCTGTACTATCTTTGCAACTCTTCTGTAAATCTAAAATTGTTCCAAAATTAAAGTTTTCTTTTAAAAAGAATCACATATCAGACCAAGGTAGACGTAACATAAATATTCCCCGCAGTGTAAAATTTTTATGTTGTTTCAGATAATGCACATTGAACACAGTACATAAGTGGGGGATATTTTATATATTAGATTTGTTTTTACTTATATCTAGGGTGTAGTGGCTGTCTGTTGCTGCATAGCAGATTATCCAAGACTTAGCCTCTTTAAAACCACAAACGTTTATTGTCTCAAAGTTTCTGTGAGTTAAGAATTTGGGAACAGCTTCTTTAAATGGTTCTGGCCAGGGTCTCTGGAGAGGTTGCAGTCAAAATGTTGCCAGGGGCTTAGTCTCTGAAAGGTTTGGCTGAGTCTGGGTGATGTCCTTCCAAGATGGGTCACTCACATGGCTGTTGGCTGGTCCCTCACTGTGTTGGCCTCTGTATTAGGCTACTTAAGTGCCCTTATAACCTGGCAGCCAGCTTCCCCCAGAGCAAGTGACCTAAAAGAGAAAGGAGGAGGAAGCCACAGTGTATTTTATGACCTAGTCTTAGAAGTCACACACTGACACATCTGCCTTATTTCATTTTCTTGAAACAAGTCGCTGAGTCCAACCCATATTTTGAAGGTGGGGTTAAGTGCCACCTCTTAAAGGGAGAAGTATTGAGGAATCTGGACATAGTAAAGCCACCACAATCTGGCCTCTGGCCACAAATTGTTCCTATTCCTGCCACATGCAGAATTTGCTCACGCCTTCCCTAGACTCCCCAGAAGTCTCACCTCTTTACAATATCAGTCCAAAACCCAGGATCTTGTCGTCCAGATCAGATCTAGGTACACATGAGGCTTGTCTGCTGTAGTTCCTTGAGTACAGCACCTGTGCAGGTTTTTTTGATCAGAAGACCTGTGAACTGAAGAGACTAGTTTTCATCCCCTCCTCCAACAAACAGTGTTGGAACAAGGATAGGATATCCACCGTAAGCACTGCTGTTCAGCAGAGGAAGACAAGAGGCACAGAGGAGTCCCTGCTCCGTAGTAGCTCTGAACTCTAGACAGGTAACTGCTGGGAGCTCTCTGTTTAGAACTGAGGGCCTAGAAATAATTCTCCATGATTCTTGACTCTGCCTTTTGGATCATCCTTCCTTTTCCACGAACGGTAGCATGTGTTTGCAGCTGAGTAATGTTCCTGCTTTTTGCTTGTAGGAATGTAGGAGTTCAAAAGCCTCTTCACTGTGCACTGTCTCATTATATCAGTTCAAACTAGTGGTGTTTCTGTTAATATAATTCTCTTAAAATCTTTGTGAGTCTTCTGTGAATCTTTTTGGGGTTCACTCCATTAGACAAAAGCCAAACCCACAAATCATTTTGAGATAAGCCATTTTTTACTGTGGGCTTCTATGAGACTGCTGAGAAAGAATATCTTTAAACTCCTTAGAAGCCCTATTTGAGCAATTGAAGTTTCTGAGCTATATCAAGGGTCTTGAAGGCTTTTGTTTTATATTTAGACTGGGGTCTATAAATTTTTCTGTTAAGGGTCAGATAATAAATACATTTGGCTTTGCAGGCCAGATGGAGTCTGCCGCAATGACTCCACTCTGCCTTTGTAGCAGAAAAGTAGCCATAGACAACGCGTAAATGAATGAGGGAGGCTGTGTTCCAGTAAAACTATTAGCAGGACGCTGAAATTGCATTTCCTATAATTTCTGCATGTCATGAAATCATCTTGTTATTTTCTCCAACCACTTCAAGCTATAAAAAATATTCTTAACTTGCAGTCTATACATAAATAGGCAGAAGCCTGGCTTCGGCCCGTGGGCCGTCGTTTGCCAATACCTGCTTTAGACCTTGTTTTCCTGAGAGTCTTAGATTTGATCTTTACTTAAAAACCATTTCTTAAATTTCATGTCATTTGCCTTATAGGCTTGGTTTCATAGGAGGCATATCTCTCTTAAATACTAACCAAGTTGGTTTATTTAATGAAGTGTTAAAAGTTTTTCCCTGTGAGGTAGCCTCCACCAATAAGATGATCATTTAGGGTATCTTGTTACTTATTACTTTAAGTAATACAGTTAGAACTTTAGCCTGATATTATTCATAATCTATGGAGTGGACTCTAGTAGGAAAAAGGATTTTAATCTTTTATTAGCTAAAAACTTGATATTGGAAACTGCCATGTAGTTTTTCATCTAAGATCAAAGAAGAAAACATAATCCTAAATATAGAGCATGGTAACATAAAAATATAAAAATTTCATTCCAAAACAGACTAGACTTAGCATGTTTATAATTCATTTCTAAGAGTGAATTATAACTAAGTCTTTTTATGCCAGTTTCATAAAATTCACAGAACTTTAGAATTTGAAAAGTTCTTAGAAGTCATCTGGTTTAACATGTTCATTTTGTAGAAGAGGAAGCTGAGGGTCATTGCAATTAAATGATTTTCTTACTTAAAGCTAATATCTTAGGTGTAATTTCTGAAATATAATTCAGAGGGTAAGATAGGAGAATATGGTTTATGTTTAGTATTCAGAGCTGTTTGACATAGTTTTGTGTATAAAAAGCTTTTTGGTCAAGATTCTCCTATTTTTTTCTTTTTTTGGTGAGGATGATTGGTGCTGAGCTAAAATCCATACTAGTCTTTCTCTATTTTCTATGTGGGATGCTGCCACAGCATGGCTTGATGACCAATGTGTACGTCCGCACCTGGGATCTGACCCTGCAAACCCCAGGCTGCCAGACCAGAGCACACAAACTTAACCACTATGCCACTGGGCCAGCCCCATGATTCTCCTTTTTTGAGAAGTTATATAAATCCTCTTGGATCCTCTTGGTTGTTGAAAGGATGGAATTAAAGTTATCCACAGTGTTTTTCCTTTCCTGATTTCTGGATATTTTCCCAAAATTGAATGTTTCTTTGTGTTGCACGTCTGTATATGTCAATGCAGTAAAGCAAAACGGAAGAAGAAAAGGGAGGAAACTGAGAAGCTACCTGAAGTGTCTAAAGAAATGTATTATAACATTGCTACGGATTTAAAAGACATATTCCAAACTACAAAAGATGCCAGTGCAAAGGAGGATGCCGTGCCCTGGAACGAGGACTGTGGTGGGGAGAAGCCTGAGGAAGTCCATGACCCTGCAGCTCTGACCACTGGGGCTGAACAGCCCGGTGGATTCACTTTCTCCTTTTTTGATGCAGACTCTAAAGATGTAAAGGAAGGTACTTTTTAAAAAAATTTTCATTTCAGGCAGTTTGAACTTAATTGACTGAGTTTGCATTAAGTGTAATAATTTAACATTAGCTGAAGGGATTCTGTCTTCAACCTAGATAAACATTATGAGGTTCAGTATTATGTGACGATAAACACATGACTGGAGCTGTGTTTAAAAAGTATTGTTGCATTTAAGGGAGATGTCTAGCTAGCTGCCGTGTGAAGGGAAGCCAGAGAATAACGTGCGGCATCCCTTCTTCTGTTGAGTAGAAATAGTCCTGAAGAAGCATGGAAGTCATATATTTAAATAGCTTCGTATCTTATGCAGTTGGAGATGCTGTGACTTACAGAAAGCCAGTGCTGTGTGGTGGGGCAAGAGATAGGTGCCCCTGGCTTTATATAAATATGCTGTCATCAATATGCCAGTTGTTTCATACTTTATCCTTGGAGATTTGCCAGAACCTAAAGGACAATATAAACACCGTTGTGTACAATTTTGCATTTCCTTTCAGTAGGTTTACTTCTGAAGGCCAACCTGGGCCAAAAGTTAGAAACACCTGTTATCTAGGAGGCTGCTCCTCACCTGGTGTTCACGAGGTGCAGCTTTTCTGGAAGTTCACTGTGAAAAGCAGGATGTGCCTGTATAGCAGAATACATGCACACCTACCACAATGGATTCCACTTTAAAGACTAGCAGTTAAATAGCATCCATTTGTTTAGCTGATTAGTATTAAATGCCAGCTCTTTGGTACTCCAACAGGAGATACAATCTAGTAGTTTTCAAAAATTGTTCTAAAGACAACAGTAGATCCTGTGCTGTGCTCTGCTTTATTCTCTTGCTCTGCTATCCATTTGAGTACTGGAGTCAGTCCTCCACTGTTGAACGAAGTTGGCATGATAACGAATAGTGACTATAATTCATCTCTAACTTTGAGAACCAAGTGTGAGAATTGGCCTTGAAACGAGTGCTAAGACTCCTTGGCAGCCTGGGAGATGAGCTTTAAGTACTTGGGAAACTTGGGGAACTCGTGACGTGATTGTCCACATCTTATAGCAGTAGCTTTTTCAGCAGTTCTAGACAGAGGTTTTGGGAATTGAAAATATAAACATGTTCCTTTTCTTGTTTATGAATAAGCAGGAGGGAAATCAGTTTTCACTGCATTGTGTTATATTTTAGGCTTCTCATGCTAGCAGTAGGTGCGACACTTATTTCGTTTGTTTTAAACTATGTTGCTCATTCATAAACCTTTAGTTTTTATATATTTTTGTAGTATTACTGTATTTCTTATCAGATCACCCTAGGAATGCTAAAAAAAACTCAATTAATATTGAAAAATCTGAAAAGATACTACCTATTTTAAATTAATGATTAAGACATTGGAAATTTAGATAAATGTGTGCATGGTGAACATAATCAAAGGTGTGTGTTCAGAAATACTTGGTGGTTCACAGTCCTGTCATCTTTTGTCGTCATGACAATACAGAGACCTATAGTGTTGAGACACTGAAGCCTGGTAAGATTGCCTGGCAGGGAGCCCCTCGTTTCCAAGACAGCAGTTCAGAAGAGGACAATGTTACTGAAGAAACAGATGAGACAAAGCCCAGCCCTGGGTAAGTAATTTGTTTCTCTGCAGGTATATTTCATAATTTGTAAAATCTGAGTTAGACATGCTTTAGAAATATTATGGAAGTATCCAAGCTTATCTTCTCAAGACAACTTAATTTTCTTCTCTCAGCTCCTTTAGAGAGTTCTCTAGCCTTTTTGTAATGGGGAGCATGTTTCCTTTCCCTTGAGATTCGGAGAGCTCTAGGTGGGGCGTGTAACTGTGCACAAGGAGGAGAGCACCTGACACTGAAGCCCCTGCTCTGGAGAGAGGATGCTGCACTGGCTGGCTGTCCTCACGGGAAACAATGGCAGATGGGGTAGCAGTGGTGGGTGCAAGTAACAGCAGCCAGTCTGGGGAGGATGGAACTTGTACTTAAAGGAGTCTTCGCTACCTGAGCTTCAGGTAGAAGAGGAGAAGGCTGACTAGAGAGAGGGTTGGGGTCACTTTAACTCAGGGCAGAATGAGCAAAGCACAGAGCAGATATATTTAAAGAATAGTTCATTTATGTTTTTAATCTAAACATTTCTTCTTAAATATTGAAGTTAACCAACTAATCTTTCTCTCTCTCTCTCACTTCAGAGAAGTATCATTACCTGAGAAAGAGACTACTAGATTTTTCTTTTTCTCTAAGAATGATGAAAGACTTCACGGTAAGTCCATTTTTTGATTAAGTGGTAGAGAACAGTAATAGTAGGGCTCTCACCACTGCGCATTCTGATACAGCAACATGCGTCCAAGTAAGAACTGTTTGGGGAAACGTCTGACCCTTTGCAGTGTCATGTGGGTTAGCCCCTTTTAGACTGATGCCTGTTGACTTGTAAAGCTCTGGAGGACGGAGAGCTCCCACTTATCCCTCCCTCACCACTCATTATCATCAAGGGCTTGTTCTGTTCCAGGGACTTTCTTAGACGCTACACATACAAAACTCCTAAGTTTTTAGTACCCTGAAAGTTCATGTGAAAACTCTGGGGCTGTTGGTGAACTCTTCATTTCCTAGAGCCTAAGACAAACAGAAACCAAGTTACATAACAGTAAATGGAATATAAACAGTAGAGTCCTAACTGTTGTACATTTTCATTCTGTAAGAAACACATGAAATATTTTTGAAAATTAGAATAATTGGGGGGGGGAAAGGTCTTCACTAGACTTGAAGACCTTGATAATGCCAGCACTAGAATATTGTCTGTTTTGGTAATTTGCTGCCTCATTGTTTTTGATTTTCCCCTGGTAGGTTCTGCCTTATTCTGGAGAGGAGTGGGAAGTAATATTAGCAGTAGTTCTTGGGAGGCCAGAACAAACAACTTGCGTATGGTGAGCAATTTTATCTCCATATTGATTGTCCCCTAAAATAGATATAGTGTTATCTTTGTGTTAATATTTGTGTGGTGTAAGAATATGGGAATAAAGTGTAAAACTCAAGACAGAAAGGATCACAACTGAGAACATGATTTAAACACTCAGAATCATAGTGCTGGAAGGGAACTTAGAGATTGTCTAATTGAACCCGCACATGGTGCAGGTGAGGAGGCTGAAGAGAGACACCACTGAATGACTGGTCCAAGTCCCAGCCATGCTCAGTAAGTAATAGGAAGTCGTGAGATTGAAAGACTGAATTACAGTTTCAATTGTAAACATTTAAAAGCCAAAAGTTGGAGTGTTCCCTGTTCATTCCAAGTGAGTATTTCCAAAATGGCTTCCACAGCCCTGACACTGAATAACCTAAATTTTACTTTATAGATACTTAACACCTTGAAAATGATTTATATTTATTTTAAACAAAGACTTTTTTTTTAAACATTTTATTTTTCCTTTTTCTCCCCAAAGCCCCCTGGTACATAGCTCTGTATTTTTTAGTTGTGGGTCCTTCTAGTTGTGGCATGTAAGAGCTTTTGATATTCTATTTTTCTAGGATTGTCAGAAGAAACATAAAGATGCCAAAAGGAGAGTGAAACCAAAATCCTAAGTGTCAGTATTGATATGGAATGTGAACAACGCTCACCATGGAAATTGAATGATCCAGAAAATTTTAGCTGAGAAAGAACAATCAGAGTGAAGGACTGTTCAGAATCTGGCTGGTGGATACTCCATTCTGGTTGCTGTCTTTTTCTATGGATTTCCTCTGTCTGTCTTCCTAAGCAATTACTTCAAAAAATTAAACTGAACTTTTTTTTAAATGAAGCACAAGATAGTCCCTCAAAATACTTTTGTATATAATCTCTGTGCCTTCCATCCTCAGTTACTAATTGGCATCTTCTGATGCAAGGTTTACATAAAGCCTTTTAAAATATATGGTCAGAGCACTTTTATTTTCCAAGTTATCCTTTGTGTGAATTATAGACTACTTGAAATATTTATTTCTGATTGTACCAAATATACCTCACCTCCATTTTTTCATTTTTGTTTACAAGGTTGAATGTAAGTCAGCCCTAAGTTCCGTACTTGTGTTCTGGTGAAGAGCCAACTGAAATGCAGGACATTTCAGACCAGCATCATAGGTGAATTCTGTGAGGACCAGAAAAGAATGCCAAATGCAGTTTTCCTGTCCTTGGCCTCCAGAAATTGATGGAGGCAGACCTGTCAATCCCAAACTTCTCGTCAGACCAGAGGCCTATGAAAAAAGCCAAGTGTCTGACAGATATGTAGTCACAGTTAGAAGTCAGGACCCTGAGTCCAGATAGGGAAGCAGATTTAATACTTCATTAAATCAACCTGGTTAGGATTCAAGACAGATATATAGCCTCCTATCAGACTGGGCTCTGTACAAAATTGTGTTATACAGACGCAAGGGAATATCATTGAGCTACAATGTGTGTATCTGAAATTATTTATTGATGTACATCTTGATCAAATATAAACTATGAGGGCTGGGATGTCATCTGGTTTCTTAACCAGTTATGTCCCAACTGCCTAGAACTGTGTCTAGCGCACAGTAGGTGCTCAGGACACACATTTTTGAATAAACAGGGTCCAAGGGACTAAGTAACTGAAGAGTCATTTGGGATTTCTGTTTTCAAGACTTCAGGCTTCATGGAGAATGGAACCACTCAGCAGGACAAATAGTCCAAATGTTCCACCTTTTCTTGATGTAGATTACATTTATACCTTCTCATCTGTTGCTGTATAACAAGCCATCCCAGTAACAATCACTTATTTTGCTCACAAATAAGCAGTTTGGTCAGGACTCAGTAGGGTCTGCTCATCTCTACTCCATGTAGTGTCATTGGAGTAGCTCAGCCAGGGCTAGAGAATCCACTTCTTTTTATTTTTTTAATTTTATTTTTTATTGCGGTCACATTGGTTTAGAACATTATATAAACTTCAGCTGTACATCATCATCAAAATTTGACTTTTGTATAGACTGCATCATGTTCACCACCAAAAGTTTAGTCATTATCCATCGCTGTACACATGTGCCCCTTTACTCCTTTCACCCTCTCCCTGCTCCATTCCCCTCTGGTAACCACCAGTCTGTTCTCCGTATCTTTGTGTGTCTTTGTTTATCTTCCACGTGTGAGTGAAATCATACAATTGTCTTGTAATGGCCTTTCTCTGTGTGACTGACTTCACTGAGCATACTACCACCAAGGTCCGTCCACGTTGCAAATGGCAAACTTTCATCTTTTTTATAGCTAAGTAGTATTCTCGTGTGTGTGTATGTATACCACATCTTCATTCATCTGCTGATGGGCACTTAAGTTGCTTCTAAGTCTTGGGGATCCACTTCTTTTTTCTAAAGATTGGCCCTGAGCTAACATCTGTTGCCAGTCTTTCTCTCTTTTTTTTTCTTCTCCCCACACCCCCCTGTACACAGTTGTATATTCTAGTTGCAGTCTTTCTAGTTCTTCTATGTGGGATGCTGCCTCAGCATGGCTTGATGAGCAGTGGCAGGTCCACACCCAGGATCTGAACCAGTGAAACCCTGGGCCACCGAAGCAGAGCGCGCTGACTTAACCACTCGGCCATGGGGCCAGCCGGGAGAACCACTTCTAAGATGGCTTGCTCACTCAGTGCCTGTCCATGGGTTTCCTCACAGCATAGCAACTAGGTTTCATGCTGTCAGTCTCTCACGGCTGAGCCCACCCAGACTCCCAGGGAGCGTACACAGACTCACATCTCAGTCGTGGGAGGAGTGTCAAAGAACTTGTGGCCACCTTTAAATGTCACACCCTTCATCTCCAAAGCAGACAAATAAATGACATCAGGCAACCTTGCCCATCCCCATTCCTGCTCTGCAGATACAATCACCTTCAATAATTCTGTTTCCTCTGATACTTATCTCCATATTTCTACCCAATATGCTTATGCTTGATTTCTTGGTTTTTCACTTTTAGACATTACCTAATGACTTCCTACTGTGAAAATGAGGATCCAGCTCTTTAATCCAACTATATATTTTGACCACATTTAACTTTTCCTAAAATCTCTTCTTTTCACTCCTCAACTTTTTTCTAGATTTAGTCTTCCCATACCTTCCAACAGTACCATAAAATGTTTCTCAGTCCAGTTTTTAAATAATCAGACCTGTCATCTCCACCTTTTTTCCGTGGACACGTGTCTGGGAGCTCTCCTGGTCTACTTTGGACTGTCTGGACAAATGATAAAAGTGAACTACCTGAACAAGGTGGCAACTTGAGGAATGCAAAACTTAAAACACATGCCAAGTACTTCCAGTTAATAAGCTGAAGATACACAACTACTAAATATATGTTCAAGTGAATTAAGTTATTGAATGGAGAGTTACCCCTTAGAAACAGGACATGAAACCCCTTCCTCTAACTCCTGACACTTGTTCCTAGACCATAAATGAGTACTGAATGAATGCACATCTGGAGGGCGCCAGGCAGATACACAGCAGTGCTAAGTAAGCAGATAAATAAGCAAACTAATTTTGTCTTCACTACAGGAAACAGTAATTTTAAAGTGCTTACTCAGCACCTCCTTCGTTTCTCTTTTCTCTCTCCACATGGCCCTTTACCGTACTTTCTGCAGTAAAATCCAGGAGAGCTCCCCGGGTGGCCCTGAAAGACAACGGGAGGCTTCCCCGAGCACCGCCGACCGCGCGCTGCGGCTCCTCTCGGCCGATGTGCAGGGACGGAGCTAGGGCTCTGCAGGTAGGCGGGCGGGAGTCAGCGCGCGGCAGGGCCGCCCGCACGCTGGTACAGCGCCGGTCCAGAGCCCCGCGGTCCTGGCGTGCGGCCCGGGCCTGCCTCCCTGCAGACTCCGGGGTGACGGTCAGGGCCCGCCGCACCGGAAACAGCCCGAGCGTGGGCCACTCCCGGGCCTGTCGCCGAGGAGCGCAGCCGAGGACCGCCCGCTCGCGGCTCCGCAACGTGAGTCCCGGGGCCACGTCGCTAGATTCGACTCAGGCAGGACGCAGCGCCCAGGACACGGAGCGCCGCCACACCTTCGCCGGCCCGGAGCCCCGCGGACGCCTTCCCGGCACGCACCGCGGCACGGCTCGCGGGCGTGGCCGGTACGAGCGGCCAATCGGCACTCTGCTTGTTGGTGGGTGTCGGCGGCGCGTGCTGATTGGCCCGTGCGTCCCGGCACCTCCCTCCTGGCTGCGCGCTGTCAGGGCATTGCATCACTCCCCCGCCGGGACGCGGCGTGGACGCTGCTGTTTCCCACGTGCCACGGTCCGGGAGACCCTCAGGTACGCTCCACCCTGCCTGCAGGGTCCTCGGGTCACCCCGTCCTGACTGCGGTCCCCTGAAGTCACCTCCTCCTTCCCTGGGAGCCTCAGGTCACCCCGTCCTGCCCCCGGGACCCACAGCTCACCCCGTCCTGCCCTCAGGCCCCCCCCCCCGCCCCCGTTATGCCCCGTCCTGCAGCCCTGGAGGTGCCTCAGCTTAGACTGGGGTGGTGGTAGCGCTCGAACCGTGGGCGGTGGTGAGAATCTGGGGTGAGGGAGCCTGTTGGAGAAGCTCAGAAGGTGGGCGGAATTACATGGAAGAACAAACCAGGTCCTAGGCCCGCATGGAGGGGCGCTCTTGCTGGGGCTGGGTTAGCGGAGACTGAGCACGGCCTCGGTCTTCAGCTTGTAGTCTGTCACTGCAGAACGCCAAGTGCACGCCCTGGGAGCCGGAGGATTTGGAGGCTCAGAAGGAGGCTTCTCCGAGCTGTTCTGGTTTGGGACCTAGAAGATGAGTAATGGTGGGGAAGAGCGAGAGAGTCCCGGGGACCAGAGCAAAGCATAGCATGAATTTGTGGGCAAAGAACTAATAATAATGGCTTAAATACATGACACATGGTTGCTGAGAGCTGTGCTAGCCATTATCTCACTTAACGTTAAATTAGCGCTGTGAATGTTTGCGACCTTTATTTTACAGATGACAGAATTGAAATTTAAAGGTTGAGTAACTTTTCCTACAGCTCACATACTAAGTGGTGGCACCAAAACTGTTAAATTCCAAACCAGTCCTCTTAACCATTACCCTGTGCCAGGGGGTGCCCGTGGGGTGGGACGGATTGGAAAGGTGGGTGAGAATAGGAGTGTCACTGGTGGAAACTAAGGATGCGGACAAAAGGGTTTATTCAAACAGAGGTTCTTTAGCACTTACCGTGTGTGATTGAGGTTAGATAGTAAAACGCTTCTGCCAGCAACGAGTTTACAGTTCGATTGGAAAGTGAGTGGGACATACAATACAAATAAGCGACAGTGTGTAGGGAGGGACACCTTAGCTCTGGAAAGAGGGGATTGATGAACACCCCTCGAGGAGAATAGTTTAAGCTAAGTAGCGCTGGAGTATGTGGGGAAAGGGCCTGATAGAGAAATGCAGGTGTTGGAAAGTGGGCCAAGGGTGTGATGTAGCTGGAGTTTGAGTTTTATAAGAGGAAAGGTCAGGAGTAAGAGTAGCAATTTGAGGTAAGATCGTGGTGGCCTTGAGTGCTGCACTGAAAAGTCTGTACAGAATACCTGAATATATATGTATAAGTTGCTATAACTGTGACTTGCTCTTTTCTTTCTCAGTATGTGTAGGTAATGTGTAAATTTGATATATTATGATTGATTGTTTTTAATGCCTCCATAGTATTGATGTACCATAATTTATTTTACTCACCTATTCATGGACATTTGTTTTCAGATGTTTGTCTATAGAAACAATGCTTCAGTTATTATCTTTGCACACATATTTTATACATTTTTGTGTAAGTATATCTGTGGAGACTGTGTTAATAGAATATAACTAAACTGAGAAAAGGCTGGAGTTGGACCCACCTCTGTGGTTAACCATGACTCAGTGTAACAGGTTATGAAGACCTGAGAAGGAAGAAAGAACAAAGGAATAGAATTAGAGGTCAGATGCATGTGACTTGGTGGTCAGTTGGATGTGGGGTCATCTGGTAGCCTTAAGATGACTCAGAAATTCCAGGTGATGGGAAGGAATGGTGTAACTACTAGTACAGTGAAATTAAAAATAGGAACAGGTATGGCAAGGAAGATCATGAGATTTATTTTAAACAAAAATGTTTTTTGAATGCTTTTCCAAGATCTCTTGAGGTAAACACAAGGTCAGAGAGAGTGTCTAGAAATTGCTGAACAGGACGTTGAGGCTAAAGAGGCCTGAAGGAGTCCTGGAATAGGGAAGAGTGGAGGGCCTGGGTTATAGTAAGAGGGAAGAAGAGGAAAACGCTTCCCTGAGGTGAGGTTAATCTCCCACTTCTACACACACGCTCACATACTCACACAGGCCCTGTGGTTACTGGATGCTGTTGTGCACGTACAGCTCTCCAGTGGATGTGAGGGGCCAGAGCAATCCTGTGATGTATGCATGGGGGCTGTTTCTCTTCAGCAGCAACCATAGCCCGGTCACTGATACATAGCTCTTCTTAGAATAGTCAGCACCATTACATTGGATCTTTGGCATAATAATGCAGTGATTCTTAATCTTTGGGAGAGCAGAGGCTCCCCAGAAAATGTTATGAAAGTTACAAGCCATCTTCACAGAAAGCTTAAATCTCATTTTCTCAAAAAAAAAGTTCAGGTAGATATTCCTGAGTAATAGTCACAAGTGTGAGAGTAATGACCTCTCACACTTTGATGTGCATGCTAATCCCCTGGGATCTTGTTAAAAGGTTAGAAGGTCCCGATTTCTCAGTCCGATTTCTCAGTCCGAGCTGGGGCTGGCGAGTCTACTCTAATCGACACCCATTGATGCTGGCGACCATAGGACCAACCTTGAAGGGCATTAGAGGTGACAGAAATAGATGGTTTGATATCTGTTAGTCTTCCAAATGTAACCCTGTAAATTTCAGGTGGCCTCTAATAAGGTAGTCACTGAACCAATAGGATCCCTAATAAATCAGTAAATGCACAGACTGACACCTCTTTCCATCCTTAAAAGGCGGGAGCTTCAGTTCACACAAAAAATGCCTTTTTCACCTTCTATTTAGTTTAACTGTTTAATGGCATAATCTAATCAGAAATGGATAGTTGAAGTAATTAACGGGCCTACCTGTTCTTTTCTTATTTTTTTCCTATAAAAAACACAAAGGCACTCTCACATGTCAAAAATAAATGGAAGGAAAGAAAAGGAGAGACACTGCTTGTAATAAATTTTTTTTTTTTGGTGGCATGGGTTAATTACTGTGCTTCGGCTTTGATGTGTTCAGAATTAGTTGAGGTATATCGGTTTCTTTGCTCCTAGAGTCAGTTACCCCAAACTGTTACAGTTCTTGAGTTCTTAAGGTTTTCTCTCTTCTCTTGTTTTCTCATTATTAGCAATCCTGTCCCCTTCTAATCTGATGTTGGCTTGGAAATCTGGTCACCAACCTTATTTAGAATTATAAAATAAGAATAAATAGGCTTTGAGAAGGAATGGGCTAAAGGATGCTCGCTAATTAAGCCTCGGATTAATCAAGTGTTTCTGCATTAGGCTATTAGCCAAAGTCTTAAAAATTTTATACACTTTAAGACTACAAAAATCATGAATATGAGTCCTAAAAGGGACAAAATGGAAAACTGGATTGAGCTAAGAAGAATTTGAATGTGAGAGTCTCATCTTTTTTAGCTTTAAACATTTTTTAGGTTTTAACTTGTTTCACTCAGAGAGATAAGTTATGTCAACAGAAGTGCTTTCTGTCTGAGTGTAGGTAAGAATTCTTACCTACCTCGAGATTTATTTTTTCAGATAAATGAATTTTTAGTATCATTAGATAGAATTTCCAATATTTTCTTGTTTACTTTTAGAAGCATATTGTCTACAATTACTAAATGTTATACTGTAGTTGAAAAATAAGTAAAGAGTGTAATTTGGACACAAGTTTTGCAATAATTTGAAAAGTACCATGTAGGGGCCAGCCTGGTGGCATAGCGGTTAAGTTCGCATACTTTGCTTCAGCAGCCTGGGGTTTGTGGGTTCAGATCCCAGGCGTGGACCTAGGTACCGCTCATCAAACCATGCTGTGGCGGGCGTCCCACATATAAAATAGAGGAAGATGGGCACAGATGTTGGCTCAGGGCCAGTCTTCCTCAGCAAAAAGAGGAGGATTGGCAGCAGATGTTAGTTCAGGGCTAATCTTCCTCAAAAAAATAAATAAATATAAAAAATAAAACGTACCATGTATCCCTACTTCACACGGTATACAAAAGAACTCAAAATAGATCAGCGACCTAAATATAAAAGCTAAAACTTCGTAACCCTGTTTTAGGTAATGGCTTCTTAGATATGACACTAGAAGCTCAAGTAACAGAACAAAAAATAGATAAACTAGACTTCACCAAAATTAAAAGTGTTTGTGCTTCAGAGAATACTGTGAAGAAAATAAAAAGACAACCCACAGAATGGGAAAAAATTTTTGCAAATCATCTAACTAGTAAGGGACTTGTATTTTGGGTATATAAAGGACTCTTACAACTCAACAATAAAAGACAACCCAATTAAACAATGGGCAAAGGATGAATAGGCATTTCTCCAAACAAAATATACAAATGGCCAATAAGCACCTGAAAAAGTGCTGAACATCACTAATCATTAGGGAAATGCAAATCAAAACCAGAATGCGATACCACTTCACATGCACTGGGATTTCCTGTAATCCAAAGACGGCCAATAAGGAGTGAAGATACAAAGAAACAGGAATCCTCATTCACTGCTGGGAGAATGTAAAATGATGCAGCAGCTTTGGAACATATTTTGGCAGTTTCTCAAAAAGTTAAACACAGAGTTACCATACAACCCAGCAATAATTCCACTCCTAGATATGCTCCCAAGAGAACTGAAAACATACGTTCACACAAAAACTTGTACATGAACATTTATAGCAGCATTGTTCATAATAGCCAAAAAGTGGAAACAATAAAGTATCAGTACATATTACAACATGGATGAACCTTGAAAACATAATTCTTAGTAAAAGAAGTTACACACAGTAAGCTATATATGCATGATTCCATTTATATGAAATGTCCAGAATAGGAAAATCTATAGAGACAGAGAGCAGATTAATGGTTGCCGTGGGACTAGGGAAGGAGGGAATGGAGAATGACTGCTTATGTGTACAGGTTTTTAGAGGGCAGAGGAGGGAACAGTGATGAAAATATTCTGGAATTAGAGAGTGATGATGGTTGCACAATCTTGTGAATATACTAAAAAACCCTGAATTGTACGCTTTAAAAGGGTGAAATTTATGGTATGTGAACTTTACCACAAAAAAGCTGTATTTTCTTTTTAGGTACCATGTAGTATGGGTAGTGATATATACACTTGTTTTAATATATTTTACTGTTATTCCTAGACTTCTCTTTGGAGAATAATAAATTTGATTTCTCTTGCAGCAACAAAATGGTTCAACAAGTTCCAGAAAACATCAATTTTCCTGCTGAAGAAGAGAAAATCTTGCAGTTCTGGTCCGAATTTAATTGTTTTCAGGAATGCTTAAAGCAATCAAAACATAGGCCAAAGTATGTGAGTTTCTTTGGTAAAGGTAGAGTCTTTAAGAATAGTTATTTCTTCGACTGAGTTCCATTAAGGCGGAAACTCTTTATTCGTCTTTGTATTCCCAGAGTCTCCTAGCTCTCTACATAGTGGGCACTCCCAGTAGTAGATACACATTGAGTGAATGAGTTGTTAATTATTCAGGTGGATTCAGGTTCTTTAAGAGGTTTTCTGAATAGAGTTTGTGTATCACCCTCCTCCTGTCCACTTTTCTCATTATCTGCACCCTCATTAAAGTACTTATATCTAGACTAGTAGTAGCCTCCTGTTAGAGTACTTCCTGCCTCTAGTCTCCATTCACCTAAAGACTAGTCCTTTCTTTATTTACCATTTTCATCATGTGTCTCCTCTGCTCAGAAACTTTATGAGATGGGTGTTTTTTGCCCTCTTTTACTGATGAGACAACTCAGGATCAGGATGAATAACTTGCCTTATGTCATGCAGCTAATGAATGAAGAATAGAAGGTCCAATAGAGGTCTCTTCCACTCCTCCGTAACTAGCTCTTTTCAAGGCAGGACCTCCAGTAATTATCTAATCATTATGTCCGCGAAATTTCTGATCTTGCTGCTTTTCTTCTCCCTGAAGACTCCACTGTGACAGGAGCTATCTATAGAAAAATGTCCTAAATTTTTATTGTCTGTTTTAAAGTAACAACATTTTTATTACCTCTGTTAGATATACCTTCTACGATGGGCCTCCTTTTGCAACTGGACTACCTCACTATGGACATATACTTGCAGGGACAATTAAAGATATAGTTACGAGATATGCTCACCAGAGTGGGTTTCATGTTGACAGAAGATTTGGATGGGATTGTCATGGCTTACCTGTGGTATGTTTGAGTCACCAGCCTTCTAATCTTCTGATTTTTTTATAAGCATTAAATTTCATCATATAGTATGTTAAAATATGAAGAATTTTTACTATGGTTAGATTTTTTCTTTTACTTCATCTCTATAATACTATTTATAGTTCATTTTCTCTTTAAATTTTCTGAGAACTAGTTTTTTTAAATCTGTTTTATTTCCTAGAATTGCTGAATTGCATTTGTTTCGTAGGGTAGGAATGTTAACAATCTTATCACAAATTTTCAGGAATATGAAATTGATAAGACACTGGGAATCAGAGGACCAGAGGATGTAGCCAAAATGGGGATTGTAGAGTATAACAATCAGTGCCGAGCAATTGTGATGAGATATTCTACTGAGTGGAAGGTATGTTGGGTTATTTCCAGTAGAATGACTAAAAATTTTAGTTTTTAATTGGGAGTTGAAATGGTTTACAGTCCTTTGTGCTTTTTATGAGATGCGCCCAAAACTGTTGCTGTCCTTGTGAGCCTGTGACATAAGAAGAGTCGACCACCCTCTCTAAAAGAGTGTCTGGCTTCTACCTCTAACCCTATTACTTAAACTGTTAGTTAAACTGAACCCTTTCTTTTCTGATTTCTGTGTGCTTGATTGGTCTTCCAAATTTAATCTCCTACCTAACCATAGTATATGACAGGAATCAAGCTGTCCCAGCAAATAGAAATACCTGAATGTTGCAATAAAAAATTTCAAATGTTAATAACAATTCAAATTTGGACCCGTTGTTGTTTATTAATTTGACTGCCATCTTGCCTGCTGCTTCTCTTAGTAATAGAGCTCCCTCAGCTGGTACTTTTAAGTAACTGTTGAGTGCTGGTAGAGCTCCGTCCCTCTCTCTTTCTTATGAGCTTCGGAACAAAGGTCGTCAACCCCCCTTTCCTCCCTGGCTTTCAGGTTAGTATGTCTGTACAACTTAAAAATATGTCTGGCTTTTGTTTTTTTCCATCTTCTCCATCTTACCACTTTGACTTCTGAAACTTGCTGTTATTTAGAATTCTCTATTCTGCCAATGTTGTGAGTCTTCCAGGCTTCAAACATTAATCCTCATGATCAAATCAAATGCCAAACCTTATCAAATCTTTCTTCTTAGTATCTCCTGTCTAGTCATTTCTTTTCATTTCTACAACCTTTCCCTCCCACCCACTGTCATCTTCATTTCTGAAACAGTCTCCTAATTATCTCTTGCTCATGTTATTTCCACTCAGCTTGCCAAGTTCTCTCTCCCACAAGACTCTGTTCAACTTACTCTTCCCTGTTCAAAACTTTGAGAAGCTTCTCTTCATTGCTGAATAAAAGCGGTTTTCATCAACCTGATAATCAAAGCTCCTCAATTTTTCTCCTAACCAGACCTTCTTTAATCTTCCTTTCTTGCCTGGTCACCAACAGGAAAAAATCCTGATGAACATAATATGCATGTGGGCCTTTTTGTTTCTTAAAAAAAAAAAAATATTTTTTAACTTTTCGTTTTGAAATAATTCAGACTTACTGAAAAATTAAAAAAATAGTGTGAAAAGTTTCCTTATACCCTTCATCCACTTCCTAAATGCTAACACCTTCAATAACCACGGTGTAATTATCAAAAGCAGGAAATTAACATTGATTCAGTACTATAGACCTTATTCAGATTTAACCAGGTGTCCCAGTGATTTTTATTTCTGATCCAAGATCCAGTCTAGGAGCACATACTGCATTTACATAGTTGGCATATCTCCTTAGTCTCCTTCAATCTGGAACATTCCCTCAATCTTTCTTTGTCTTTCATGACCGTGTCACTTTTAGAACACAGACCGCTTATTTTGTAGGAAAACTCTCAATGTCTGTTGTTTCCTCAGGATTCAGTTTAGGTTATGCATATGCATTTTTGCAAGAATGCCTCAGCAGTGACATCGTGCCCTTCTGAGTCTGTCATATCAGAAGGCCTATGATGCTGATATGTCTCATTGTTGATGTTAACTTTGTTCAGTAAAGTGATATCTGTCTGATTTCCCTATTGTAAAATTGCAGTTTTTCCTTTGTAATTAATAAGTATTCTGTGGGGACATTCTTTGCAAATATCCTGTTTCTTATACTTTCACTCATTAATTTTAGCCTCCATTGATGATTCTTGCCAGCAATAGTTGTACCTGTGGTGTTTGCCAAATGGTAGTTTTGGTATACTTTTATAAAGGAATATTAATACTTGTAAATAACAGTATCTGCACATATGATGAATGCCAAGACAACTGGTTCTTTTTTTTTTTTTTCTTTTGAGGAAGATTAGCCCTGAGCTATCTGCTGCCAAGCCTCCTCTTTTGGTGAGGAAGGCTGGCCCTGAGCTAACATCCATACCCATCTTCCTTTACTTTATATGTGGGATGCCTACCACAGCATGGCTTGCCAAGCAGTGCCGTGTCCGCACCTGGGATCTGAACTGGTGAACCCTGGGCTGCCGAAGCAGAATGTGCACACTTAACCACTGCACCACCGGGCTGGCCCCAGAAAACTGGTTCTTAACCTTACAAAGTGTGTTGTTTGCAATATAGCTTCACTTGAACCATTGATTGTTTTGTTTTCCCAAAATCATTGTATGTGGTGATAATGGAAGTAAAACACGTTGGTGTACAATAACAAATATCTTGTCTAATAACTGTGATATTTATATTTTTAAAGTCTATTGTTACCAGACTTGGCCGATGGATTGACTTTGACAATGACTACAAAACTCTGTATCCGCAATTCATGGAATCTGTCTGGTAGGTTTATTTGAAATTGTAAATATAAGGAATATTAGTTATATTGGTTAGTGGAGAGATGCTCTAGTATGAATCACTTTGTTTTCAGGTCCATAATTACTTATCTGAAATTTTCAGGACGGATTTGTTTTGTTTTTGTTTTTAAAGATTTAGTTTTTTTAGAGCATTTTTAAGTTTACAGCAAAATTGAGAGGAAGGTACAGAGATTTCTCATATACCCTGTACCCCTATACCTGCACAGCCTCCCCCATTATCAACATCCCCCAGCAGAGTGGTACATTTTTTACAATTGATGAATCTATATTGACACATCATCACCACCCAAAGTCCATAGTTTACATCAGCGTCCACTCTTGTCATTGAACATTCTATAAGTTTGGAGAAATGTGTAATGACATATATGCATCATTCTAGTATCATCCGGAGTGTTTTCACTGCCCTAAAAATTTTCTATGCTCCACCTATTCATCCCTTCCATGCCTAGGTTTTCTTTTAAATTTAGAAGATTTTGGTTTCTAGAAAGGTAATAGGATATGCATATATTCTGTGGTGTATAATGACCCCAGCATATTGAGCAGCAACCTGTAATCAAATACATTAGTATTTCAGCATCAGAACATATAATTGTTCACATTAAGTAGAATAAATAAAGAATATAAATGGCCTGATGTCACTTAGTTTTTTGGCCAAATTAATTGGTAACAAATTTAGGGGAAATTAGGTTTCAAAAGTGTGTTTTTTTGTTTTAAGGAATTAAGTTTAAGAGATTGTATACTCGAATTTTATACTGAGAGAAGTTGTATAGTTCTCAAGTACAGTTGCAGTCACTGTTCTGCAACAGTTTCAAAAAGAATTTTACTCTTTTTACTATTATAAGTAGCACTGTTGCAGTGCTACTCTTGATGAGTGATTTAACTTGAGAATCCCACAGCAGTCTGAGAATCAGTACTTATCATCAGTGGGCAAACAGCCACCATTATCATGGTTGCAGAATGCACTGTGTACATAGCTCAAGGCTTGAGGAAGTACTACTTGTACTAAATTGTGCATAATTACATGTGAGTTGCAAAGCTGTTTTGTAGGATGCACTTTCTTTGCACTGCGTTGTAGGGACTCGTGGCTCTTACTGCCTTCGCATCTACCTGCTCACGTTTTTGTTAGTCAAGATCTGTTGCACATGCTCAGCCCAAGTCCTTTGCCTTTGGGGAGCTAGACGCCCTGGAGCAGTTCTCAGACTCTGACTCTGACATGCCACTGTGGATCATCTCCAGACACCTGTATCCATGGGTGGAAGCTGATCATAGTCTCCGATATGCCAGAGACTTTGGACAGGGGGCTTCCCATTCACTGAGCAGCTAGAGGGGTTAGAGCTCTAGCTCATGGTTAGGGCATCTAAAAACCAGACATGTTCAACATCTGAAAAAGAAGGTACTCTTTATGCTGTAGATCAGAGCTATTGAGCACTTAAATATGGCTAGTACAGCTGAGAAACTGAATTTCTAATCTTAATGAATTTAAATTTCAATGAGCGCTTGTGGCTAGTGCCTACCATGTTGGACAATTCAGCTCTTTATCATACTTCTTAATTTACATAAAACATACTGGAATCAGGGGAAAACAGATTTTGGAGCCTCTTGGTGTTAGAATGTTAGTTATTCCTGAGGAATGTGTTGGCATATAAATAAGGCACATAGACCTAGGGTGATTATAAAAATTGTAGGAGATATCTTTATAATGATAACATTAATAATGGTGATAATTTAGCTTGAGTCCATGCTTTTGAGTATATAAAGTACTTCCACATGAATTTTCTCAGATGATCCAGAGTCCTGAGGATTGGATTGGGACTCTGAAGTGAAGGAAGTTATTGTGACTTGTCTGAGATTACACAGCTAATTTTATGGCTCTTAGGCTTGAAACTGGGTCTTATGATATCGAATCTAGTACTCTTCCTCTAGCCTCCTGTAAATGTCCTTGCATCAAAGTATATAATTTAAGATTGAGTTTAAACTTGGGAAATTTTTTGTGAAACATCACCTTTTTTTTTTTTTCTGCTGAGAAAGATTTGCACTGAGCTAACATCTGTTGCCAGTCTTCCTCTTTTTTTTTCCCTCCCCAAAGCCCCAGTACATACTTGTATATTTAGCTGTAGGTTCTTCTGGTTCTTCTATGTGAGCCACCACCACAGCATGGCTACTGGCAGACAAGTGGTGTGGTTCCACAGCTGGGAACTGAACCCAGGCTGCCGAAGCAGAGTGCACCAAACTTTAACTGCTAGGCCATAAGGGCTGGCTCAAAACATCACTTTTCAAGCTATATTTAAAGCCTAAGGAATGCCGTGAAAAAATATGCACATTTTTTCATAAAAATATATTTTAGCAAATGGGAGAGAGTTTAATTCATTTATTGTGCCAGGCACGTAGGAATTGCACTATAAAGGTGAATTATATAAAGGCAGAGTTAAGTGAGAGTTCCTCCAACTGGGAGAGGTGAGCAGTCACAGCGGGAGAGCCTGGGATGACTGTGCCATTGACATTTGCAGCATCTTGGTGCATTTCGCTTAAAGCAACATGTTTAAGTGTCTAACAGAAGTTTTTGAATAACTGTAGGAGTGACATTTAATCCTAATCTCCGTGGTTTATACTTTTTAAATTGCCTTTGTAAAACTGCCCATTATAGTGAAATTTTAGCAATACACCAGAAAACTATTAAGAAAAACAAAAACTCTGAAATCCTAACCATTGCTAACGTATTAGTGAAAATCTCTAAAAAATATAAATATATATGCTGATATGTATAGTTTTACATAATTGGCACCTCATTGCAAATATGGTGTCAGTTGCTTTTCTCAGGCAGCGTCATGTCGTGAACATCTTTCCATGTCAAGGGATATTAGCTCTTTTAATGTCTACGTTAGGTCTCATTATACGGAGCCTTTGTAATTAACCAGGTAGTCTCCTCTGTGTTTCCACTTCTGCTGACAGAAACTGACATAAATATTTGCATTTGGGGAAACAGAATTTTGGGTGTGTAATTGTTGTAAAACTTTTCTGCTTGCTAGGTGGGTCTTCAAACAACTCTATGATAAAGGCCTTGTTTACAGAGGTGTGAAGGTCATGCCCTTCTCTACCGCGTGCAACACTCCACTTTCCAACTTCGAATCCCACCAGAATTACAAGGTATGTGAGACACCACTGGTCATTAAATCATGTGTGTGGGAGTTCAGTGCTTCTAGTGATCGTGGTAACTAATCCCAGGCAGGAATGTTAGCCTGGAGAGTGAGTTGATGTGACTCTTTCTTCCTGAGTGCTGGTGATGTTGCTTGTCACTGAACTGAGGCCCTCTTAAGATTAAAAATGAGGGATTTTTTTTTCCCCTATGAGAGTTGTGAATGATGTGTCTTAATGTGATAGGTTTTGCTTGTTTTGACCAGATTTTTATGCCTCTCTTTGATTAACAAGCTCAGCTCTGCCCTATTTCCCTCCAGTCACTGTTTCATAAGAGTTATTGATTTGAGTGATTTTATGCCTCATCTGGACCTCATAATATCATTTATTTGTTAAAAGTATTTGGAAGAAAATCTGATTTGGGATGGGTGGACAGCATTACGATTTTTTCTCTGATGAATGGAATAACTTGCTGTGGTTGCTGTGATGGAAGTGTTTAGATATGTCAGATGTTTACAAAACATCCTACTTTACCTTATCTAGACGTAGCAAAGTCAGTAAGTCTTCTGAAACATGAGCAGTTCCCATGTGTGTATATTCAACAGAGGTTTTCATTTCTGAGAGTTTATCTAACCCTCTTTGTTTTTAAGGATACTGATTTGTTTGGAATTCTTATTTCATGGCTTAGGTTTGGAGATTATGTTATTAAAACTTGCATTTCAAAAGCACTCTTCGTCTTATAGAATGCATTCATACATCCCGTTTGATTTTTGCAAATCCTTATGAGGTCATGTGATGATTCCTGTTGTCTTCCATGTACCCTTCTATGATAGTGCTCATGTTGTATTGTTTACTTTTAATAAAACATTTTAAGCACATAAAAATGTAGAAAATAATATACTAAGCACTTGGGTACCAAAGGCTTAGCTTTGTCAAATCTTAATCTATTGCTGTATTTGCTTACTTTTTAAAAACATGGAGCATTTCAGGCATACACAAAAATAGAATCATGTCATTAATTCCCATGTGCTTGTTACGTATCGCCAACAACTGTTAACCTGTGGCCAGTCTTGCCCCATCTGTACACACTCCCGCTCACTTCTCCCAGACCCTTTTTCAAAGCAAATTTCAGATATAATATTTTGTCAATAAATAATCCATTATATATCTTTAATAGATAGAAATCTTTTTTTATCTTTTTCTTTTAACGATACCATAGTATCATTATCACACCAAAAAGGCATCATCCATCATCTCTAGTATCCTTAACAGTAAATATTCTAGAATTGTTTAATTCCTAGATATCATCAGTGTTTACATTTCTATTTGTCTCACAAATATCATACCCTTTTTTCCCTCGGGTTATTTTTATTTATTTATTTTTTGAATCAGGATCTAAGGTAGGTTCATATGTGGTAATAGCTGTGTTTTATCTCTATTTTAATCTTTACGTCTCCATTTCTCTTCTTATCTTCTTTTCTTTTCTTTCTTTTTTTTTTTTTTTTGAAGAAGATTAGCCCTGAGCTAACTACTGCCAATCCTTCTCTTTTTGCTGAGGAAGACTGGCCCTGAGCTCACATCCATGCCCATCTTCCTCTACTTTATACATGGGACGCCTACCACAGCATGGCTTTTTTGCCAAGCGGTGCCATGTCCACAACCCAGGATCCAAACTGGCAGACCCTGGGCTGCTGAGAAGCAGAATGTGCGAGCTTAACTGCTGCGCCACCGGACCAGCCCCTTTTTTTCTTTTTTCCTTGCAAGTCATTGTTTAGGAGACAGGTTTTGTCTTGTAGCATTTCCCAGAATCTGAATTTTGCTGATTACATCTCTCTGGTCCAATTTAACGTTTTCTCTGTCCTCTGTATTTCATAGAAATCAGTGCTTTGTTTTTGTGGGTTTTTTTTTTCTTCAACATGTATATCATGAATAGAGGTCAGTATTTGTTTATGGTTTGGGGGGAGGGTGGTGCTTAAAATTTATATACAATTAAATTCTCAAATCTTAAGTGTACCATTTGATGGATTCCAATAAATGCATCTTTTTTTAAAAAAATACGTCAAATATTATAGATAACAGTTGATTAGTTTTGCCTGTTTCTGTATTTTGTAGAAATGGAAAGTTCCAGCATGTATTCTTTTGTGTCTGGCTTTTTTTACTCAACATTGTGTTTGGGACAGTCATCTGTGTTTTGTGTAGTTGTGGATCTTTGGTTCTAATTTCTTTGTAGGGAAATATAGCACAATTTATTTATTTATATCACGTTTCTCTTTCCATTTCCCTTCTTACATCCTGACGGGTAACCACTATGTTTCTTTCTCTATGCATATTTTTACACTTTTACTATCTACAGAAGTATCCATAAACAGTATATATCATTTTTCTGCATGTTTTTAAAATCTCACCCACTGTACTTATTCTGTACCTTGCCTTTTATACTAAACATTATGTTTTAAAGATTCTTCACATTGATACATGTAGCTTTAAGTTCATTTTTAACTGCTGTATAGTGTTTCGTATAACAGAGATTACAACTTATTTATTCATTCTTTTGATAGACATTTGAGTTGTTTTGAGGGCATAGTCCTTTTTTTTTTTCAATGGTAGCAAACAGCATTGCTAGGAACATTTTTTAATATAAATCTTAGTGTACTTATGCTGGAATTTTCTTTGGCAACTACAGTTTTACATGTTAGACCCCCATAATAGCTTGCAAGTTCCTAGAGTTTTCAAAGATTTGCTCTTCTATAAATAAACTAATACATTTTTACTGGGAAAGAGGCAAGCTTCTTGCAGAAGTAAATTAAGTTACAGGAGAAGGTTCTTCCACCTGTTCCAAAATGTAAACCAAGTTGTGGTATATAAAATATTTATTTTTTTGTTGTCTAAATTTTTAGTCTTGAGGAGTCTGTTAGATCTGATTGTTTACGGAATTCCATGCTCATTGTGGAAAATTTGGAAACCATAGAACGTATAAAGAAGGAGAAAAAATTTATAATCCCAGTACCCAAAGGCAGTCACTATTAATGTTTTATTTGTTTCCCTTTAGTGGTTTTTTTATTTTTTTACATTCATTCCTGTACATACTAAAATTAATATTTTTCATATCTTAGTACTTGTTGCCTGGTTTAATAAGACAACATTTTTTTGCTCCTCCGTTTACTTGCACAGAGTGCATATATCTGTGAAGCCAACACTCAGATAAAGTAAAAAAGAACCTTATCAACCTATCAAAAGCTCTCCCTTCTCACAGTCCCTTCATGATAGCCACCCCACCCCCCTTACAGTAACCACTGTCCTCACTTCCAACATTCATTTGTTTGCTGATTCTGTGTTGTCTATAAATGGAGTCGTACAGTGAGATCTGTTTGGTGTCTAACTTCTCTGGCTCAAGATTATGTTTGTGAAGGTCATCCATGTTGTGTGTAGTTGTGGATCATCATTTTAATTACCATTTAGTATTTATTCATTCTACTCTTGGTAGGCGTTTGGATAATTTCCAGTTTTTGACTCATCAATAGTGCTACTGTGAACATTCTAGAACTTGTCTTTTAGGGAGCATATATACACATTTTTGTTGGTTACATACCCAGGAGTGGAATTGTTAGGTCACAGGGTATACTTACTGTAAAGGAAAAACTCATCTTTTCTTTCCTATGTAGAGAAAAAACTCAATTCTCCCCTAGTGTGTGTTTCTTTCTTGTGTGTCTTCTTTGCTAGTCACACAGAACACTCACAGTTCTGGTCACAAAATGTATGGAGGTTTTTCTTTATGCCAAGCAATTCTCTGGGACACCAGGTAGGTGTCCTACAATTTAACTCAATTCTGACACTATCTACCCAGAGATAGCATCCAATCTCACAGGTATGGGCTCAGTCCCACAAGACTGCCCCTCCCCCCGACGCACATCAGACACCAGTCACAAGCCCAGGATGTCACCTGAGCTTCTGACCTACAGGCTGTAGATTGGAGGTTCCAACAACCTCCTCCTCGGATTCGATTCATTTGCTAGTGTGGCTCACAGAACTCAAGGAAACACTTACGTTTACCAGTTTATTACAAAAGGTTATGATAAAGGATACAGATGAACAGCCAGTTGGAAGAGGTGCATAGGGCAAGGTCTGTGGGAAGGGGCACAGAGCTTCCATGCCCTCTCCGGCATACCAGTCTCCCAGCATCTCCACATGTTCACCAACCCAGAAGTTCTCTGAACCCCGTACTTTTGGGATTTTATGGAGGCTGGCTTCATCGTGTACACATAATGGGTCATTAACTCCATTTTCAGCCCTTCTCCCTTCTCAAGAGAATAGGGGACAGAGCTGAAAATGCCAAGCTTCTAATAATGGCTTGGTCTTTCTGGTGACCAGCCCCTATCCAGGACCCACTGAGTCACCTCAACAGAACAAAAGACGCTTCTGTTGCCCAGGAAATTACAAGAGTTTCAGGAGCCCCATGTCAGGAGCCAGGGGTAGACCCCAATATTAGGACAAGAGACACTGCTGCTGTTCTTATACGTAGGAAATTACAAGAGTTTCAGGAGCTCTGTACCAGGAACTGGGGGCAGAGACCAGGATATATTTTTTAATATCTTACACTCACAGTTAACTCTAGTACAGAAGTTGGCAAATTCTGTAAAGGGCCCAGTAGTAGATATTTTAGGCTTTGTGGGCCAGATGATCTCTGTTGCAAGTACTCCACTTTATCAAAACTATTCTAGCCCTCAGGCCGTGTAGGAGCTGGTGACGGCCAGATTTGGCCCATGGTCTGTGGTTTGCTGCCTCCCATTCTAATAGGTACTAGCCAAGAGGTCTCCAAAGTGGTTATACTGATTTATACTCCCGCTAGGCAGTACTGATTTCTCTGCATCCTTGCCCACACTTAGCATTTCCTATCTTTTTTCACTTTAGTCATTCTATGATTGTGTATTAAGGTTTTTGGGGGTTTGTTTTTAATTTTTGACATAATTTCAGACTTACTGAAAAGTTGAAAAGAATTCTCATATACCCTTCAATGAAATTCCCTAAATGTTAACCTTTTACCGTATTTGCTTTATCCTTCCCTCTCTTTTTAAGGGGTGGAGGTGGCACGGGACCCTTTGAGAGTAAGTTGCAGACATGATGCCCCTTGTCCTCTAAATACTTAAGTACAGGTTTCTTAAAATCAGGGCCAGCCCGGTGGCGCAGCAGTTAAGTTTGCACGTTCCACTTCTTGTTGGCCTGGGGTTTGCCGGTTTGGATCCTGGGTGGGGACATGGCACTGCTTGGCAAGCCATGCTGTGGTAGGCGTCCCACATATAAAGTAGAGGAAGATGGGCACGGATGTTACCTCAGGGCCATCCTTCCTCAGAAAAAAGAGGAGGATTGGCAGTAGTTGGCTCAGGGCTAATCTTCCTAAAAAAAAAATCAATACTGTTCTCTTAAGTAATTGAAATTAGGGAATCTGCATTGATACAATATTATCACCTAATCTGTAGACCTGATTCTATTAATGGTCCCAATAATGCCCTTTTTAACAAAAGAAAATGCTAGATTATGTGTGTCATTCAGTCTCTGTATCTCCAGTTCCTTTATTTTATTTATTTTATTTTATTTTTATATTTTATATTTTATATTATTATTTTTGCTAAGGAAAATTCACCCCGAGCTAACATCTGTTCCCAGTCTTCCTCTTTTTGCTTGAGGAAGATTCACCCTGAGGTTACATCTGTGCCGGTCTTCCTCTATATTGTATGTGGGTTGCCACCACAACTTGGCCACCGAAGAGTGGTGCAAGTCCACGGCCGGGAACAGAACCTCAGGATCGTGAAGTGGAACGCCCCGAACTTAACCACCAGGCCACTGGGCCAGCCCTCCAGCTCCTGTAAACAGTCCTCAGTTTCTTTACATTTTGTAACACTGACATTTGCAGAGTACAGGCCAGTGCACTTAGAGTGCCCTTCATTTCGGGTTGTCTCACGTTTTGTATGTGAATAAGGCCAAGTTTGTAGAACCCCGTTTTCTCACTTTTATCTAGAATGAAGTAGGTTTGTTTTGGGGAATGAGCTTTTCTACTTTGAAGATATTTAATATTTTTAAATCCCTTATATTTTCATGTTGAAAGATTGCCATAGAGTTGAAGTCACTCTTTTATTTAATGAACTGAATTATTATTGGCATATTAGAATTACAAGTATATAATGTTTCAATATGACTCATTTTTATATTTTGTAGTAGAGAATAACTCCATTTTCCAAATCAGTTATTTTGTTGACCTAACTTTTTAGGGACTTACTATAAAATAAATCATCGTAATAGTGAAACCTCCATTGTGTCTTCCTCTTGATACACTTAAAATGTTTGTGACTACTAAGGTAATGGTTAAAACATTTTTTTTTAAGTATATAGAAAAATGTATTTGGGATTTCTTGCATTGTATTTTCTTTTTGTAAATATGGCAAAAGGTCTTTTAAAAGCTCAGTTTATTCTGAAAATTTATTTATTTTATTCTTTAGGATCAGTTCCTTTTTTCTTCCATGTCTATTATGGATTTTGTAAAAGAATATTTTATCACATTTTATTTCAGGATGTTCAAGATCCTTCAGTATTTGTAACTTTCCCTTTGGAGGAAGATGAAAATATATCTCTAGTTGCTTGGACAACCACGCCCTGGACTCTACCTAGTAACCTTGCCCTGTGTGTCAATCCAGATATGCAATATGTGAAAATTAAAGGTAAGTATGAGCCTGGTTACTTGTGACAGATATGGATGATAATTTTAACATATTTTGGAAAAGAATGAAAGCTTCCATTTCTTGTTAGAGTAAAAATAGAAGTCTTTGAAAAAGCTCTAGACTTAATCAGAAAAATATCCTCTAAAAGAGTTTTTCATTTCTGATTGAAAAAGTAACACACACAAAAATGTAAAAAGTAAAAATTCCGTATAATTTTCAGATTGTAATACATTTTTACACATCATTCCCCTATTACAGATGCAGAACTGGAGCTTTAAAGAGGTGGCATCTTATCATTATTGGAAATCTCAGATATGTGTTTTTTCAACACCAACAAGCAATTAATGCACACACTAAGTATCTGGAGTTAGTATCCAGTCCCGCACGTTAAGGACTCAGCCTAGAAAGACTGCCCCCACCACCACACTACCACCTCAGATGCCGATTGCAAGTCCAGGTTGTCCCTGTGTTTCTCACTGACCCATGACCCCCTCCTTGGGTTCGAGAAACTGGTTTATCATAAAAGAATATAAAGGATACAGATGAACAGCCAGATGAGGAAGTACATAAGGCAAGGCCTGGAAGGGGCCTGGGCACAGGAGCTTCTATCCTCATGGAACGGGGCAGAGGGGGATCACCCTTACAGCACTTTGTTCACTAAGCCAGAAGCCCTCTGAACGGTATCCTTTTGGGTTTTTGTGGAGGCCTTATTACATAGGCATGGTTGATGAGATCATTGGCCATTTGTGATCCGGCACAATCTCCAACCCCTCTCTGCAAAACTGTATTAATATTCCATAATTGTTAGAAAAAATTACACATTCATGTAAGATGTATGTTAGCATATACATTGAAAAATATCTAGAGGAAGAGACATGCAAACGATAGTGCTTGAGGGGGCACGACATTACAAGGGACTTTGTGAGCTTCTTGGTTTGTTAATATTATGGCTTTTAAACATTCACATATATTACCTTTGGTAGGAGAAAATAAAGCTTAATTTACTTAAAATGGATAGAGGTGCAATTAACAACTGATAAGATGCCCAGGTTCCTTTGATGTTTTTGTCTTTTGTGTGTCTGGGAAGCAGTGTGCCCTAGTGCTCTTTGCAGTGTTTCTCTGTGTGTGATAAGCATGCTGGATGCAGGTGATACAGGAGCCCTGCAGGGAAAAGTACACTGAGAGGTGTCTTTAGAGTCATCCAGAGTCTGAATGTGACTGAAGTCCGCTTCTTCTCTTGCTCTCATAGATGTCGTCAGAGGAAAATTACTCATTTTGATGGAAGCCAGATTGTCAGCCCTCTATAAATTGGAGAGTGACTATGAGATCCTTGAAAGGTGAATATGCAAGTCATTGATTTGTGCTTGTGTTTCTGTGTCTTTAGCTTTCAAAAGTGAGAGCTTATTACCCAAAAGTTATATTATTCAAGATTAGTTTTAAGTAGTAAAACGGAGTATGTTGAGGTCACACATTCCAGCACTGACGACTTAGAAACAAGTGAACTAGAAGTGAGTGGTGACTTGATGTGGCTGCAGCCTCCTTTCCTTCGTGATTTTAATCTAACTCTGAGTTTGCCTTTCTCCTTTTCCTAGATTTCCTGGTGCCTATCTCAAAGGCAAGAAATACACGCCCCTGTTTGACTATTTTGTGAAGGTGAGCTCAGGGCCTGTAGACAGGGGCTTTCGGCACCTGTTCTTGGGTAACTGAAGCCACATGATGATAGCTGGGGTGGCACTCGCCAATTGTGGTGCCGTCAGTACGAGGGGCCTGAATTCAGAAGTGCTTCAGTGTTAACGAAATTAAATTCTGTTTGTATTGCCTTCTTGTTTTAGTAATTAAAATCCTATGGGAATTTTTAAAATACTTTTCTCAACTTATGTAAGGAATTACTTTACATTTGATAAGATTTATATGTGTTTATTTTTATTGTTTTTAATTTACTTATCACCCAGGGAATTTATTGAGTTTTTTGGGGTTTTTTTTGAGGAAGATTATCCCTGAGCTAACTGCTGCCAGTCCTCCTCTTTTCGCTGAGGAAGACTGGCCCTGAGCTCACATCCATGCCCATCTTCCTCTACTTTATACATGGGATGCCTACCACAGCATGGCTTGCCAAGCCATGCCATGTCTGCACCCGGGACCTGAACCAGTGAACCCCGGGCCACCAAAGTGAAATGTTTGCCCTTAACCGCTGTGCCACTGGGCCAGCCCCAAGGTTTTTTGTTTTTTTGTTTTTTTTACAAAGATGGTGCTCAGTGTGTAAAAGTAAACAGAATTCATATCAAGGAAATTGATGAGGTGGGTGTTTTAAATCTGAGCACCCAACAGAGCTCATACATTTAGTGTTCTTAAGAGTCATAAAGCTGTTCTATGTAGTTTTCATTTTCTGACAACAGAGAATCCACAGGTATGGTTGCAAAGCCCAGCACCACCACCAACAAAAAACAAGGTCAGCAGGAATTTTCCATTAGTCCTTATTTATAGGTCGTGGAGTAAAGTAATGAGCAGCACCCTCAGACCTGGCTTTACACGCTGTGTGGAAATTATATTCAGCTGGATGTAGCATGAGCCAGCAAAACCTTGCATCACAGGCCGGGATAAAACATGTGCTTGCTTCTCTGTTCTGGTTCAGTGCAGGGGTAGAGTTTGGTTAATGCAGATGACCTCTGCCATTTGGGCTCTCTCCACAGTATCACTCACACCTGTCTCTCCATTGTTATGCACCTGGAGTGTTTTCCCATGTTTCTTGTTTCCTAATTTGTGGCTTTCTTCCTCCTTACTTGTTGCTGCTCACAGATTTCTGTACGCTCTGCCTGGTCGGGTCCCTCCCTATGAGCCTGTAGTCGTTTGCTGGCACATTCCTCATCAGGTGTTCTCCACTTGGCACAAGGCAGACTTGCTTCCTAACCATGTCCCCTAATGGTGCTTCAAACATATCCTTTGCTTCCATCAAACTAGCCCTTTCTTTTCTTCCCTCTCTGCCTTTGTTTTCATTAAGTTTTCGAAAACTCCCATTTAAAAAAAAATCCCTCATCTTGTTTTAATATCATATCTGCTGGAGTTCAACCCACTCTTCACGGCTAGACTCAGATGCTATCTGAAAAATGCATTTTCTGAAATGCTTTGGCTTCTCCCTCTGATAAATGTCATTACTGCATTCTTGTCTTATATATCTTAACATATTTTGTTTTATATTTGTTTTTATTTGTCTTAAAATTCTTCTGCTAGATTAGTGATTCAGCCTTTCTGAATCACAGACTCTGTTGAGAACCCTGTTGAGGAAAGCTCAGCCCTCTCAGAAAATGCACGTGTCCACACTAGATAGGACCTTTGGGTTAAATTGGGGTCTGTCTGGAATATGCACTCAATATGTAGAATTAAGTTGAATAACACCTCTGATAACACCTATCCATTCAGTTAGCTTCCTGAAATTTCTGGGACCTTCGGTGGGTTTTAGACAGATAGTACAAATTTTTTTTTTGAGGAAGATTAGCACTGAGCTAACTGCTGCCAATCCTCTTCATTTTGCTGAGGAAGACTGGCCCTGAGCTAACGTCCATGCCCATCTTCCTCTATTTTATATGTGGGACGCCTACCACAGCATGGCGTGCCAAATGGTGCCATGTCCGCACCTGGGATCCGAACAGGCGAACCCCGGGCTGCCGAAGTGGAATGTGTGCACTTAACCACTATGCCACCGGGCCAGCCCCTACAAATTCTTTGATTTAAGACCAAATCATCTGGTGTATACCTGAAATATGTATGTTCTGAAATATGCAGTAGGAGCTATGAGAGAGTAGGTGCTGCCTGTGGGGACTGCTCACCCGCCTCAGCCGTGGTGGGAACAGGATCCAGAGCCCCAGGACAGGAATGTGGTGTGGGGTTTCTTGGTATTCAGTTAAAAACGGTAATATACGTTTGTACGTCTGATTCTAAGGACACACATATTGTCCCTCCGTATTTACACTATTGAAGACACACCTTTTAGCACCTATCATACCACACCAGAAACATTTCCAGTTGATTTGGGTTAAAGCAATTAAAAATTCATGGTCATCTTCAAGTTTAATGTTGCTGAAAATGACTTTGTATTTGGAACCAGAAGACCTTGTTTCAGGCCCTGGCTTCATCACTGCTAGTTGTGTGATTTGGGCAAACCATTTCATCTTTGTTCTGAGTTTGTTCATCTGTGAAATGCAAATAGAACCAGAACATTTTTAAAATATGGGAATACTAATACCTTTTTCACAGGATTATAGGAATTAAATGTGAAAATCATTTCTGAAAGTAGTTTTTACAAAAGGAAGAGAGATAAGAAAGCAAAGGATCAGTTTCAACCAAACAAAGGGTATTCGGAAAGAAATATTAAGAGATGAAGGCAGAAAAAGTAGGTCTGTAGCCTTATCCCTGTGTTAAGCTGATTTGATTGTTGTTGCAAAAAAAATCAATTGAAAACATTTCCCCTTGGTGTTAGAGTGAGTGCACTACCTGTCAATAGAACTTGTAACCTTGGCTTCTCCATCTTGGTTCTTTCAAGGTTTCCCTTTTGTGACTGAATACTTGAGCTGGACTGAGAGGAACAGGAGGAGCAAGCCTATGCAGTGATTGGAGATAGACCGGGAAGGGAATAGTTTAGGGAGCGCATTTTCTGGGCCTGTGTGCTAAACTGCATGCTGGGGCTGGTGAGGAGGTCATTTATACATGATGAATTGTTTTTCATGGAAAAGATGTGTTGTGTTAGCTTGTTTCTTCTCAGTCTGAATTATTCTGTCTTTTCTCCTTCTGAAAATAATTTTGCATTTCAGATTCTTACCAAAACCTGTTATTAAATTATGATATGGTAGTGTTTCATCCTTTAAGCTTGCTCACCTTCTTTTTCCAGTGTAAAGAGAATGGTGCTTTTACTGTGCTTGTTGACAACTACGTAAGGGAGGAAGAAGGCACTGGCGTTGTACACCAAGCTCCTTACTTCGGTGCTGTGAGTAGTATAATCTTGCAGATGTACTTATGAGAAGTCAACATCAGTGGCCACTGTGCCGTGGCTATGGGTGTGGCTGTGTGTGTGGTGTTCCTTACTCTTGTTTAAACCATGGGGTAGACCTCTTTTCCAGATCACTGCTCCCGAAAATGGCTTATAAAACTTGCATGTGTAATTCCTTTTCACCCTGACCTGGTTTCGGAAAATAGTGGGCTGAATCCTGGGTGTTGCCAGGCATTTAGTCTTTCTGAAAGGCATGCTATGTTTTCATTCATTCACGCTTTACGTCCAGTCCTCTTGCTCTTTATGGTATGCATTCTGTAGAGTCATGCAGTCACCACGACCGTCAGTGCCGAAGGGTTCCCTCACCTCCACTGTGTTCTTGACTAAATTTACTGCATGATCAGAAGGGAGAATCTGACCTCTCCTCAAAACTGTATGGTGTGGTTAAATTGAAATTTTTCCCAGAGTAATTTTTCTAAAGATGTAATCCTTTTAACATAATTGTATGTGAATAAAACAGAAGAGCATAAGGGATTAAGGGCACACATTTCAGAGCAAATCAGACCTCACCTTAAGTCACAGCCCTGCCACTCACAGGCAGCCTCTGAGTCAGTTACTTGGCCTGTCTGGACCTCCTTTTCCTCCTCTGGAACATGGGTGACAGTACATCCTGTCTGGTGACTGTAAGGGTTCAACGAATCACCTGTGAGGAGCGTTGGGCACAGCGCTGACGCTGTAAGGTGTGCACAGTCACGGTGCCAGTGCTGCCCCCACTGGGGACCTACCGCTCCTCTCAGCTCCACTGTCTGTCCTGAGAGGGCTGGTGCTGGCTGTCTCTGTGCTCCTTTTGTCTTTGTACTTAACCTGTACAGGGATTTTTACTAGGAAATCTTCAAACATACACAGGAGTAAAGAAAATACTGTAATAAATTCATATGTTCACATCATCCTGCTGCATTAATTATCAGCATTTTGGGAACTCCATTTTATCTGTTTGTTCCCTCTCCCCTTCTACCACACCTTTTTTATTTTGGCTGGAGGGTTTTGAAGCAAATCCTCAACATCATGTCTTTCATCTGTAAATACTTCACATCTCTGACTGATAAGGACTTATAGTTTTAATATAGCCACCATGCCATTGTTATACTAGATAAAATTAACTGTTCCTTAATATTACCTAATACCTGTCCATATTCAAATTGAGTGGAAGCATTCTTGATAAACTGTTTATTGAGTGTTAGGAACTAGTCAAATTTCAGTTATTCATAGTAGTTTTAGGGTCAACGGTATGGTTGTGCCACTGATGATAAATAATAAAAAGATAACTTCTTGGTTTTGAATTATAGTTTAAGTTTTCTTTTTAAAATGTAAATATCTATCATGTGCTATAGTAATAACTCATATATTGTCCTGAATGACAGGCAGGTTAATGTTGTAGAAGATCAGGTCTTTAAACGGCATTTGGTGACATTTTCCGAGAGACCCTCCATGTGGTAGCTTTGCCATTGCTGCGCTGTGACTTCTCCAGAGTCTGTACCTCTGCATGACTGTCCGCCTGTCATTCTGGCTCTGTTCAGGAATGCTGTTCTTAGCTAGTCTATGTGGGCGTGGCTGTTTGCTCTACACTAAATGGTTCAGATTGCTGGGCTTCGGGGCTTGTCCTGTCTGTGTTGTGCAGGTGTGTTTGGGTCTTCCTTCATGGCCAGGCTGTCACTGCCCTTGCTCTTAGCACATCCACATCACACAGGCAGCCTCTCAGCACAGTGAGACTTGAACACTGGCCCCGGTGGAAGCATATTGGCTTTCCAGTTTGTCTTGGCGTAAAACCAGAGTGTGGTTTCACTGTTCAGCCTGAGACAGTCCCTTTAATTTTAGCTTCAGGCAGCATAGCACAGCAGTGAAGACCTTGGACTCTTAGAGTCCAACAACCTTGGAGCCAGGCATTGCCACTTTGCAGCTGAGCTTTTTCTTTGTGCCTCAGCTTCCTCTTCTGTAAAATGGGGGTAGTTGCTGGTTTGTTCGAGGGGAGCACATAGTTAAAACCTAGTGCACCTGTCTGCCTTCCTCGCAGGATCATCATGGAGATTAAATAAGCTAAGTAATCAAGCGTTCATAGCACATTATACGTGTTTGCTAATTATTGTTAACACTGCTCAAAATGTATTCCTGCAGCATTGTAGTGTGCCTGGGTAAACTACGCTGCCTGGGGCCCGTTGATTTATTTGTAAAGTGAATACTTCGGATTTAGATCAGTGTTGCTATCCTTTCGGCCACTCCTTGGCAGAATGCAAATCCAGGTGCACATCAGGCATCATGCAATATGTGCTAAATAGGTCCTTCCATACGCCCCCATGTGCTTCTGCTCTGTGCATATGTGTATGTGCCTATATGCTGCGATTAGAAATCAGATTTGATTTCGCTTTAATACGTGCATGTGTGTCCTCTCTCTTCTCACTTAGTAGACACTCTGCTGTATGTAGGGGTCTGTGAAGTAACGGCTGGGAAAACTGGGGAGGTGACCTAATCCCCTATCCAACTGTAGGGCTCTGTATCTCTGAGTGGTCCTTGAATTCACTTCAGTTGAGAAGATAACTAAAGGTATTACATTTACATGTCAGAATACTGAAAACTTGTCTTGTAAGTCTGTCACCTCCTGTACACTCCTGTCTGTACACTCCTCGCTCCCTGCACCCACACTTAAACTGTTTTGTTCTGCCCTCCGTCCCCCTTGCCCTTCTCCCCAGGATGACTATCGAGTCTGTATGGACTTCGGCATCATTCAGAAAGACTCTCTCCCTATTTGTCCTGTGGATGCATCAGGCTGTTTCACAGCGGAAGTGACAGATTTCATGGGACAGTATGTAAAGGTCTGTATCTGTGTGACATAGAAAGGTGTCAGTTTTGTCATACTTCTTTCGTTAATCAGTTTTTTATTAAATAGCTTCCATATCTGGGATTTTTTTTTTCCAGGAAGTTGTTTTTGTTTTGTTTCAGCACAGAAAATTAAAAGGACAGACAGATGTTATCTGCTGCATTCTGAGGGTCTAGTACGTTCGAAGGAATCTTGCTGTAGTTTGAAGGGTAGGGATCAGAAAAACTGGGCTCTGATTTGTGGCTCATGAAGCAGCTTTGTGACCTTGGGGTAATCATTGCTGATTGAAAACCTCACTACCTTAAATGGCATGAAATGTACCTAAAGATGTGCAGCGGCTAAAATATAGACCGAATATTTTTATAATACTTTTGTTATTTGTGCGTTTTGTTTATAGAAAAAGTATCAAAATAACAGATTTTAGTAATATACTCAATTATCTTGTGTTACTACATATTGTAGGTTATTTTGATGGCTAGATTTTAATTTTTTAACAGGATGCTGACAAAAATATCATCAGGACCCTGAAGGAACACGGCCGACTCCTTGTTGCCAGCACCTTCACTCACAGCTACCCTTTCTGCTGGAGGTGAGAAGACATGAAGACTGTGTTGTAGCTAGAGCCTCAGACTTTTGGATGCCCTTAATATGTGTGCCCATTCCACCAATTTGTGGTTCCCATCTCATTTGTGTCCTTCAGAGTTAGTGTATGGAAACTGCCTTCTTGTGTGAAGGAGAATTGTGTGGATACATACAGTTACCTCTTTCCTCAGGAGTTGGGCGAGAAATACAGACATATGCAAATAGGTTTTGTATTGGGGCCATATGTGTTTAGCATGCGACATATCTCTAGAATTTTCTAATGGAATTTAGTGAGAAATATAATGTGACATCAAGTTTACTACAAAACCATACTGCTGTGGTGTGGGTGAAAGTGGGGTGCTCCGTGGCATCATGTTCTGTTCCCACGTTTCCTCTGTGTTGAAATTGACATCATTTCTCAGACAGCTGTCACACCAGCAGGACTGTTTTCTTCCTTGTCTTCTATTACTAGCTTTTGCCTTTCTTGGCATTGTGGAGGGAGGTGACCAATACTGAGGACATAGACATTAGTATTTGCAATAAAAGTAAATATTAGCAGAAAGCCGAATAGGTGGTAGTGATGTCAGTCTTACCCTGGGCACCTGCATCCCTCAGTCTCACCAGCCACGTCTGCTTTTTCGATTCCCCAGGTCGGACACTCCCCTCATTTACAAAGCAGTGCCCAGCTGGTTCGTGCGAGTGGAGCACATGGTGGACCAGCTGCTGAGGAACAATGACCTGTGTTACTGGTGAGCAGTAAGATGTGTGTCTTCGTTGTGTCCTTTGTCACGTAGTAAGTATTGGTTATACTTCCCCCCAACTGTAATAATTTTAATAGCTAACTTTTATTGTATATTGTGATAATAACTTTTTTATTCTGTATTTTCAGGAACACAAAATAATTTAAATAATATTATGTAGTAGAAGTAGCATCCTTCTTATGGTAAAGCTTATAAGGGAGCGTTTTTCTTTTTTAAAACCCAGTGGAAATAAGAAACTGCCATTTATTTGATTTGCAGAATGGAATAACTTTGGGGAAAAATCTGGCCGTACTCTTGGAGTTCCTTAGCCTTAAGTAATAATCATTATCAGGATAAGCATTTATGTTTGGAGTACCTACAGAGGCCCTTTACGCTTCCACACTGGACACTAGTTGAGTCTCTAGAGGACAGTGGCATCTTGTGCACCCCCACTTTGTGGATGAGCCTGCAGGGACGAGAGCCTCACTTTCCTCAGCTGCTGTCTGACCCACGGAGGGATGTTACTCAGCCGCTGAGTGCAGAAGCAAAATAAGGCTGAATGTGTGTGTTCCAGGAGAATGTTTTTCACTGGGAGTTCTGAGGGTGATCACTATGTCTTACTTCCCACAGAACCCAACTCAACTTAAAAACTGCATTTGATTTTGGAAGAATGAGGAGAATCTCAGAACAGTAAAAAGAAATGGTTATAAACTAGAGCTTTCTGTATTTCCTAGAAAAATGACCCTGATTTCTCAAGAAAAAGTAGTTTTTCTGCTTTTGTACCAAGGAAGCTCTTTAGTTCCCCTAACGTGTGAAGTGCTGGCTGTGGAATATTAGTGTGCTGGCCTCGTGTGGGTGCAGGCCTGTAAACTGACCCTTATCATACTGTATGGTAACCACGGTGCCTGAGAGAACAGGGTCTTTGGGAGCCTGGGGGCCCCTGACTCAGTGTTAAGCTTGGGAAGGTTTCATGCAAAGCCAAGCCTCAAAGGATAAGGAGCCATTTACCAAGTGGAGGCAGTGGAATCCTGGGGGCGGGTGGCAGAGGGAAGGAGGGCTGTGGGCACAGGCAAAGGCATTAGGTGAAGAGCTGCCTTCTCAGGAATTTGCCTCACTGCTGGAGCCTAAAGTGCCATGCCAGGGGGACCTCAGATGAGCCTGCGGAGGCGGCTACCTACCAGCTACAAGCAACATGACCTGTGTGGATTCTTAATTAGTAGATGACGGGGAGCCCTTGCTAGTGAGTTTCAGTAGAAACTGTTGTGTGGCAGATGGCCTGAAGACCAGATCTGAGTGGGACCAGGCTAGCCAGCATCATGGTGACTGGTTAGAGGACTGTGGCAGTCCTGTGGTGGAGAGCGGGACAGGGAAGCTGTGGACTGTGGGGTTTCCCATTACAGAGTGTCTTCACTGGGATGAATTCACAGCACATACAGCCACTGTGGGTCGTCTGGTGCTGTCCATGCAGAAGACGTTCTCCCAGGAGCGAGCTCAGCACTTCCAGAACGTTAGGTCCACAAAGCATTATACAAAGGCTTATGCCGACCTAATTAAAAGTTTACTTACTCATATTCTTACGTGATCACTTATCTGACCTGTTTATTGCAGGGTCCCGGAGTTCGTGCGAGAAAAGCGATTTGGAAATTGGCTAAAAGATGCACGTGACTGGGCGGTTTCCAGAAACAGATACTGGGGCACCCCTATCCCACTGTGGGTCAGCGATGACTTGGAGGAGGTGAGGCAGGGAGGTGCTTCCTGGGGTTGGTTTTTGCTGAAGCACTTCATTTGTGCATCTGAGTATGAGGTAAAAGAATATGATTTCTTTTTTCTCTATCCCTTTCTTATTTCGTCTGTTTTTTTCCTCTTTATTCTTTCCTAGAATCATGACATAAATAAGAATATGTTTTTAATTAATTTTTACTTTACTTTTACTTATAAATACTGTTTTTAAAATTTCCCTCTGTATAAAAGTGAAGAATGCAGTTTTTGTCAGGTAAATCCACACAGTAAATTGTTTGTGTTATGTTGCTCTGATCTTTTTCTCCTTGTGAGCTATTATGGAAAAAACAGAGACTCCAACCCTGCACTGAGTCTTAGAGTGTTAAACCAACTGTATAGTGATGAAAAAGGAAGACTTAAAAATAAATTACCACAGCATTGCAGACCTTTAATCTGTAAAATCCAGCGGACGTGTGAGTGTCTGTATAAATATATATACAGGAGTAAAGATGTATTCCCACAACAGAGCCTCTGTCCAGCGCTGAGAGCGTTAGAGCAGTCGTGAGCCACAGCAGCTCAAGGAGCTTGGTAAATCCCCAGGAGGGACCGGAAAGGCAACAGTAAAGTAGCTGAATCAGAAGACTTTTCAGTACTGAACAGGAGGGGCCTAGAAAGAGGCCGTGGGTGTTCACCAGGCAGCAGGAACCCCCTGGGTGAGAACCCCCAGCAACTCCTGCTGGTGCAGTCAGGCTGCATGGGCCTGTCAGAGGGCTCCCCTGTTCCAAGTGCCCCAGCTGGGCCATCTCTCAGCCTTCTTACCTGGACATCAGCCTAATGTCTTGTGATCGGATTACTTTGATCTGGTCCATACAGTAATCTAGTTCATGCTTTGAATTGGAAAGAGTCCAGCTTAAATAGCCAAATTCAAGTGCCAGGAAGAAACTAAGATGCCTTAGAGTAATAATCTAGGCGTTTCACCTTTGCTGGTTGTTTTTGGCAGAAATTTGGACGTAGTAAACCCTCAAGAAATACTTGTTGGCATGATGGCCATGAAATCCTCTCCATGTAGGGACTCTGTGTGATATAGGGCAGGTAACAAAGTAGAGAAGTCTGCTCCCCTCCTCAGATAGCAACGTGCAGTCTCTGGTGAGTGTGAGCCAGGTTGGTGATAACTATCCTCCAGCCCAGGCTGGTATACGAATGAGCTTCTAAAGAAGATCAAAAGTTTCTAAAACTAAACAAGAATGCTGCAGAAATTAACTCTGTGTGATGTTTGTATCTGAGGCACTCCCACTTTCTAACTTTGTTTTAACAGGTAGTTTGCGTTGGCTCAATGGCAGAACTTGAAGAACTGTCAGGAGCAAAGATCTCAGATCTGCACAGAGAGAGGTCAGTTTGTGAGGGATTCACTTCAGTTCTTTCCTTCAGAGAGTGTTGGGCTAGGTCCTGGCCATTAAAGCATGGTCTCTGGAGCAGATCATGGAGCTACACGTAGAAGTCAGACGCTAGTTTGCTGAATTACTTTGTTGATGACTCATGTCATATGGAGGAAAGGTGGCCCCTGTCTGTAAGTTACTTGTCAGGACACTTTGGTGTATAACCTTCCAGGCCAAGCACTCAAGGTGCCTTCTTTTTTTAAAAAAAAAGATTTTATGGGGCTGGCCCCGTGGCCGAGTGGTTAAGTTCGCGCGCTCCGCTGCAGGCGGCCCAGTGTTTCGTCAGTTCGAATCCTGGGCGCGGACATGGCACTGCTCATCAGACCACGCTGGGGCAGCGTCCCACATGCCACAACTAGAAGAACCCACAATGAAGAATACACAACTATGTACAGGGGGGCTTTGGGGAGAAAAAGGAAAAAATAAAATCTTTAAAAAAAAAAAAAAAAAGATTTTATTTTTCCTTTTTCTCCCCAAAGCCCCCCAGTACATAGTTGTATATATTTTAGTTGTGGGTCCTTCTAGTTGTGGTACGTGGGATGCCGCCTCAGCATGGCCTGATGACTGGTGCCATGTCCACACCCAGGATTCTAACCTGTGAAACCCTGGGCTGCCAAAGCAGAGCACGCGAACTTAACCACTTCAGCCCTGGGGCCAACCCCATCAAGGTGCCTTCTGAAAGCCTGTGACAGCCACCGATACTTCTGTTTGCAGGGGCATACCATAGAGCTTGTCAGGGCGTTCTGTTTCCTACTGGCAGTTAGACCAGTAGGTTCTGTTGTGCTTATAATTAAGAGAAATGGCTACTTCTCTGTTTATTAGCATCGACCATCTGACTATTCCTTCCCGTTGTGGGAAGGGGTCGTTGCATCGCATCTCTGAGGTGTTTGACTGCTGGTTTGAGAGCGGCAGCATGCCCTATGCCCAAGTTCATTACCCGTTTGAAAGCAAGAGGGAGTTCGAGGAGGCATTTCCTGCAGACTTCATTGCTGAAGGCATCGACCAGACCAGAGGATGGTAAGTTCCTTGTTCTTGCGAATGTTCTCTTGATTTTGTTTTACGCAGCAGGTTTTTTTTTTTTTTTATTCTGATTTTTTTATTTTATTTTTTATTTATTTTTTTATTGAGTTATTGATAGGTTACAATCTTGTGAAATTTCAATTGTACATTAATGTTTGTCAGTCATGTTGTAGGTGCACCACTTCACCCTTTGTGCCCACCCCCCACCCCACCTTTCCCCTGGTATCCACTAAACTGTTCTTGGTCCATAGTTTTAAATTCCTCATATGAGTGGAGTCATACACAGATTATCTTTCTCTCGCTGGCTTATTTCACTTAACATAATTCTCTCAAGGTCCATCCATGTTATTGCAAATGGAATGATTTTGTTCTGTTTTGCAGCTGAGTAGTATTCCATTGTATATATGTACCACATCTTCTTTATCCATTTGTCTGTTGATGGGCACTTAGGTTGCTTCCACGTCTTGGCTGTTGTAAACAGTGCTGCAATAAACATTGGGGTGCACAGGACTTTGGGGATTGCTGACTTCAGGCTCTTTGGATAAATACCCAGTAGTGGGATGGCTGGATCGTATAGTGGTTCTATTTTTAGTTTTTTGAGGAATCTCCATACTGTTTTCCATAGTGGCTGCACCAGTTTGCATTCCCACCAGCAGTGTATGAGGGTTCCTTTTTCTCCGCAACCTCTCCAACATTTGTTGCTATTAGTTTTAGATATTTTTGTCATTCTAACAGGTGTAAGGTGATATCTTAGTGTAGTTTTGATTGCATTTCCCTGATGATCAGCGATGATGAGCATCTTTTCATGTGCCTATTGGCCATCAGTATATCTTCTTTGGAGAAATGTCTGTTCATGTCTCCAGCCCATTTTTTGATTCTTTATCAAAGAATCAAAGAGAGTTCTTTATATATTAAGGATATTAAGCCTTTGTCAGATATATGACTTGCAAATATTTTTTCCCAGTTAGTGGGTTGTTTTTTTGTTTCAATCCTGTTTTCATTTGCCTTGAAGAAGCTCTTTAATCTGACGAAGTCCCATTTGTTTATTCTTTCTATTGTTTCCCTTCTCTGAGAAGGCATGGTGTCCGAAAAGATCCTTTTAATACTGATGTCAAAGAGTGTACTGCCTACGTTTTCTTCCAGAAGCCTTATGGTTTCAGGTCTCACCTTTAGGTCTTTAATCCATTTTGAGTTTATTTTGGTGAATGGTGAAAAAGAATGGTCAATTTTCATTCTTTTGCATGTGGCTTTCCAGTTTTCCCAGCACCATTTGTTGAAAAGACTTTCTTTTCTCCATTGTATGCCCTCAGCTCCTTTGTCAAAGATAAGCTGTCCATAGATATGTGGTTTTATTTCTGGGCTTTCAATTCTGTTCCATTGATCTGTGCACCTGTTTTTGTACAAGTACCATGTTTACGCAGCAGGTATTTTACTGAGCACCTAGCATCTATCAGATGGGTGCTGGGGAGATTGTCAGACAAGACAGGCTCGCTCCTACCCTCTGCTCCTCACCACCAAACATCTCATTGAAGTGTCTTTGGAGTAGGAATTTTTCACTGGAGTAGGACAGTAGTTTTAGAGTTTGAATTATTTCACTTACATTTTGGAATATAGAGATTTGTTTTACTGGAAGATTAAGTGATACAAAACACAATATGTGTTCTTAGCTTGTTTACTTCAAATAATTTACTCAAATGTTTAATGAGTATTTACATACAAGATAATGAGTTGGGTGCTACAGATTTGAGGAATAGTTGGGAATGTGCTCAGATGTTAAAGCTAGCCTCATAAAATTAACATTCTAAAAAAACGCAGATTTTAAAAAAGGGGGGAGATTGTGGTATTGGTTTTATCTGGTGACTTATTTAAAGCAGTACTTTCATCCTCTTAATTAGAAAAAGGTGAGTTACCGTCTCTTCATGGATAAGCTTGGCCAACCCGGGTTCCAATTTTGCTTTCATTAGTAATGTGCCTGCAGGAGTGTTTAAGGAACGCTGGGGTCCTTTTCTGCTTTTGCAACTTGCGTTCATCACAAACTGATTGAATTCCAGCCTTAATGCTCTGAAGTGTTCTATATTCAGCTTCTAATCCATTCATCTGTAGAAACAGCTACCAGGCACAAACCCTTGTTCTTAGAGAGGCCACATGACTCACCAGTAGGTTGTTTCTCGGAGGAGCGGCGGCATCTGGCAGCTGTTGAAAGCCCTCCTATGGGTCCCTGTGTGCACACTGCCTCCTTCCCCTTCCCTCAGCCATGGGCTGCCTCGCTTAGGCACTTGCGTCCTCCTCACCTACCTTTGGAGGAAGGGATGTCTGGTCTCCATCTTCATCAATTCACATCACATAATGTTCTTGGGGTGCAAAATCAGGTTGGAGGTGACACAAGCAAGCTTCCTGAGACAGCTTGCAGGGCTGTGATGGACCTCTCTTAGGGAACAAGTTGGCAAGTAAAGTAAACAATATACATGCTCTCTGACAGAAGGAAAATGCATTCCTGTTGCTGTAGTCTACCTTGAACTTTGGGATGAGAGTGCTCTTTGCATCTTTTGTCATCAGACTGTCCCATATGACCTTGTGCTAAAGGCAACACACATCCTTGGATTTTCAGCCCAGAATTTGTGGGAGGTCCTGGGAGGCCATCTGGGCCTGCCCTGCCTTGTGGCTGCCCAACTGGTTCCCCAAGGAGGGCAACAGTACTGTCCTCAACTTCTGGGAGTCAGCCTCTCACTCCAGGCCTTTATTTGCTTTAAATAAAGCACATTTTGTTTTTTCTGATCAGAAGCTCTAATGTGATTGATCTGCAGTGGGTCTGCCTATGCGTAATTTTCCAGCACTCCCCAGGTGATTCTAACGTGTCACCACAATTAACGACCATTGCTTTAAGGGAATTATCAAAAAGTGTAACTGATCTAAAATAGAAATTCAGTCCGATAAGTAAACCAGTGTTTTTTCGATGCTTGGACTCCTTTTCTGTTTTTATTGAACTATTTCTTGGTGGTTTTTTCCAGGTTTTACACCCTGCTGGTGCTGGCCACGGCTCTCTTTGGACAGCCACCTTTCAAGAATGTGATTGTGAACGGACTCGTCCTGGCCAGGCAGGTCACGCCCTTGTGTAGTTGTGAGTTCAGTTGCTGATCCCTTGGTTCTTGCAGCCATGTCCTGGCTGGATCTAACCACTCCTTGTGACAAGAGGAGTTTAGCAACACCCCAGCTCATCCCTATTCTTTCTTCCCTCTGCTTTTATATTTCTGCTGCTCTTCCTTTTCATCCAGCTCCTGTCCCGTGCACTTCTCCATCTTCAGCATTCCGTCCTCCCATACTCTGCTATCTCAGGGAGAAGGGCTGCTCTGAGAGCTGAGCCTGATGGAGGAGGAAGGGGAGCACATGTGTCCCAAGACACTGCTAATGATAACTAACAGTCGTCATTTAGAGTTTTATGAAGTGTTTTGCTTATAGCTCGTATTTAATCTGTATGCTGGTCCTTTAATTGTAGATTTTTGGTGTCCTCTTTTCAACCTGAGAAAACTATGGGTTCTAGAGGTTTCTAGTAGTGTAGGGGAGTCTTATTTTTCCTTTGCTTCTGTTGCCTCTAGTCATTAAAAGTAAAAACATAAGTATATAAAAATAAGAAAATAAGACAAAATGTTTACACAGATACCCTTCTCTGTGTGCCGAGCGAGGAGGAGGATGTCACTGATGCCATGCCAGGCCCTGCGGGGAGCATTCACACATCTTCACTCATTTAATCCCCAGAACTGTTTGAGATGGGTCTTTTACTTGTCCTATTTTGACAAGTGAGAAATTTGAGGCACAGAAAAATTGAGTAACTTGCCCAAAGTGACACGGCAAATGAGTGGTGAATTCAAGTTCTATACCCAGGCAGTCTGGCTCTACAGTCTCTGCTTTTTTTTTAACTGAAAAATTTATTGAATTGTAGATTTGCATGCAGTTGTAAGACATACTAGAGACCTCCTGTGCACTTTGTCCCGCTTCCCCTAGTGGTCACGTTTTCGAAACTGGAGTCCGTTATCACAGCCAGGCATTGATGCAGCCCATCAGTCTCCCTCCGATTTCCCCAGTTGTGCGTGTGCTCCTTGCTCTGTGTAGTTAGTTGCATGCAGCATATCATGTGTGTGGCTTCCTGTATCCAACAGCATCGTCCAGATCCTAGACCATTTCAAGATCCCAGGATCCCTCTGTGCCCTTTTATATCCACACCCACACCCTCCCACTCTTCCACCCTCATCCCCAACCCCTGGAAAGCACTACTCTGTTCTCCATTTCTGAAATTGTGTCACTTCGAGTATGTTATATAAATGGAACCATACTGCATGTAGCCTTTGGGGATTGGCTTTTTCGCCCACCATAACTCCCTGGAGAGCCTTCAGGTGGTTGAGCGTATCCATGGTTCTTTCCTTTTCAGTGCTGAGCAGTGCTCCTTGCGTGGGTGACCTGCAGTTTGACCATTCACCTGCTGAAGGACATTGGGGTTTTTTCCAGTGTTTGCTGACTGAATAAAGCTATGAGCTTTCATTATAGGTTTTGTGTGAATTTAAGTTCTCATTTCTCTAGGATGAATGCCGAGCCTGTGTTTTTAACTGTTAACAGTGGTGTCTTCCTGCTTCCAACTTCCTGAAGCTTCTCCATTGATTCACCACAGTATTCAGAAAGCTTACAGATATTACAAAACAACCTTATTGTGCCTTAACACTAGCTTGTATCCCCTTTGCATTTATGTATTTCAATTTGCAAATAATCTGTAACCATATATAAACTGTGATGTTGACTTTGTTCATTGGCATCTCCCTTTTGTTTTTCAAGTGATGGCCAAAAAATGAGCAAACGGAAAAAGAATTATCCAGATCCACTTTCAGTCATCCATAAATATGGTGCTGACGCCCTCAGGTACAAACCACTGCTGTGCCTTGTGTGTATTTGTCATTTTTTATCTAAGCATCTCTCATCCTTTTACTCATGTTCCTTAGATTTGGTTTATAATTAGTTTTTCAAAAATATGTCTCTGTTATATGGAGAGTTACGTTGGTATGGTGTTGACTTTAAACCCCCAAGGTGGTTTTCTAAATAATAAAGCCATCTTCAAATCTGGAGATGTTTTGGAGGACAAGACCTATATTGGATCTCCTTGAGCAGCCCAGGTTTTCCTTGCTAGTTGCTGGTGCCTCCGCCTCACTCCCTCGCCAGGTTCCCCATCTTGTTGGTGTTAGGGTTCTCTTGCATCATTTATTTCAGTTTTGCATTTACTCCTCAAAAGAGCCATAGGAGGTATATTTATAGTAGAGCAAATAAAAAATTAATATTGAAAAGTTTTTAAAGAAATGTGAGCCACTGCTTGAAATAGTCATAGTCGTTGAACATTGATCACAGTGTCCGGTTAAAAGGAGCCAGAGAGATCTTGTTCAGCATCTTCCTGTTGTGGACCTGGAGATGCCTGAGGGCTGAGGCCAAGGCCAAGCACATTCACAGTCACCTTGTTGCCCAGGAGCAGTTAGCGGTGGGTCCCACGACCCCCAGTTATCTGGGAGACTCACCTTGGCATTGCTGACAACTTAGGCCGAATAATTTGTTGTGGTGGGGGCTGTCTTGTAGGGTGTTTAGCAACATCCCTGGCCTCTGCCCTGCCTGCAACCCCTCTGAGCCAGCCGACAGAGCACACGTGGCGGCTCCTTGTGAACCCTGGTGTCTGCTTCTGGTGTCCTTGGAGAAGGCATCCTGGCCCCCTTCCTCTTGGTGCTGCTGCACTGAGACTGCACAGGGTGTGCATCTAGGTTGGTCCAGTGCCGAATTTTGGTGTGGGGTTACAGCTCCCCTTTATACTTTGCTAGGTCTCTTATACAAAGTACAAGCTTGGCAGTTTCAAATTGACCGTTAGGAGAGTATTTATAATTCACCCATTTTATAGAAAAGAGTCTACTTTTGGTGTTGCCCTTCAGCGTGTCAAGTGATAATATTTGGTTTGCTGTCTACATTCCTGTTCGGTGTGATTTTTCTCCTCTTCCAGATTATATCTGATCAACTCCCCTGTGGTGAGAGCAGAAAACCTCCGCTTTAAGGAGGAAGGTGTGCGTGATGTTCTGAAGGACGTGCTGCTCCCGTGGTACAACGCCTATCGCTTCTTCATCCAGAACATCTTGAGGCTGCAGAAGGTGTGGGCTGCGGTGCTGTGTGGGGTGGGGTGGGGTGGGGAGATGGACAAGCAAGCCCTGTGGGTGGGGGTTCAGAGCCCTTGCGGAGGCTACAGATGAAGATGCAGCCGGCATCTGGGGTCTGTGCTGGGCCTGGAACATGAGGCCTCAGCTACACGGTCTGGGCAGGCACTCACTTCTGGAGGACAAAGGAGCCTCCTTTGAAGAGCGGAAGACTTGCACTGATGATTCACGCAGTCAGCCACTTCCCCGCCTGTGGAGCCAGTGGGGGTGGGGCACGGGGGAGCTACTCTCAGAGGGGGACCTGGGAAAGGCTGCCGTAGACCTGGTCAGGGAAAGCCTCTCCGTGGGCACATTTGGGCTGAGACTCTGAAGGTGAAAGAGAGTCTCAGTGGGTTGTTAGGATGAAAAATTGTGATTGTGATGATGTGAAAGTGCCTTCAGAGCAGTCAGCTGCTCTGCTCTGGACACAGGCTCCAGCTCAGGCTCTTAGATCGATCGGGCGAGTCAGCTCTGCCACACCCTGCCAGCCTTGTGGGGATGCTGCCGGAGGGGTTGGGTGAAGTGGGCCTTCAGGATCAAGGAGAAGTTTGCAAAGGAAGAAGAAGGGGTAGGATAGAGCATTCTGTGTAAAACGAATATTATAAGCAGAGGCATTAATTCCTAGTGCTCATGTTCAGTTTATAGACAATTGTCCAATCCTAGCCAGTTTTACTGTCCTTCCTTCCTCAGGTTTAAAGTAACTAAACTTGTTACTTATTGACAAGATTTGGACTATTTCTCAATTTATAATCACTCTGGTGCAGAAGAACAATTTTTTTCAAATTCTCTTTAGTTCGCCCCAAAATGTAATTTATTAATTTAGGTTTTAATGTCCCAAGTTTAGAGCTTATCTGGAAAATATCACTGAGAATCAGAAATTTTGATTGCCAACGGGATCTGGGGTTTTTTTGGTTGACTACTTTCAGTTTAAATGATTGAAAGAGTTCATTTGTCTGCAGTGACTTCCCCCAGGCATGCAGAATGTTTTCGATATTTGTCACTTCCTAGGAGGAAGAAATGGAATTCCTCTACAATGAGAACACAGTTAAAGAAAGTGCCAACATCACAGACCGGTGGGTCCTGTCCTTCATGCAGTCGCTTGTTGAGTTCTTCAAGGCCGAAATGGCAGGTGTGTCTCTCTTGGGCCGTCCTCCCAGGAATAAGGACTCTTCTCTTTTTAATTGCCCTTTCGATATTTAACTGTTTTTCTTTGTAAACATAGAAGAATTCTATAGAAATTTTGAGAGATACAGGTACAGAGCGGTAGACAGTTGTTTCCTTTAACACCAAATATAACTTTGCTAAGCTTGTTAGTTGTAGAAATGTGCTGTTCCAAGGCGTGGGGAATTGTCTTGGGAGAATGTCCAGTGGCCTCACCCCTCCACAGATACCACATGCCTTGGTCCTGGATGGCTGTGGCTTCAAAACCCACTCTACCACTTGTTCCATGGGAGAGGCATTACCTAAAGTCTAGGAGCCTCAGTTTCTTTCCCTGAAAAGTGCCTGGTAGAGTTATTATAAGGCTCATGTCCATAAAGCAGCTGGCAGTTAATAGCAACTGAAAAAGTACTACTTGTTATTAATACCTTTTTATTTATTTTTAGATCTACTTTATTAAATAAGCAGTCCCTGTTCAGTCTAGAAAACTTAGGAAATACAGGAAAGTAATAATGAAGTAGGCATTTCCCCATATTTCTATTACCAAACGACAACAAATTTGGTGTTAGAGCTTGGAAAAGTAGGTTATGTTGATTTCCTTGAGGTTGGAGATGGAACAGCCATAAGTTAAGGTGAGAAATACCAGAAACTATTGACTAGGATACTCGAGATAGGTCTGATAAGGTCGGTGGCAGAGGAGAAGAGTCAGCCTCCTGGTGCCACCCTGGTGAGGCTGAGCCGCCTCCCCGCGCCCTGTGGTGCTGTTGTGCAGGTGCAGCACTCCTGTGGACTCGAGCCGCCAGAGCAGCCCATGGTGGAGCAGGCCTGCCGCTCCTCAGCCAGTGCAGTGCTCTTCCTGGAGTAGCTGCTGCTTCTGCACTTGGCACAGTCGGACGGTTAGTCCAGGAAATTTTGCACATTTATCAGTCATCCTGAAGGGCTCTGTCCACCCTGTTAAACATGCACAGTAAGGATCATGTGACTGTCAGGCTGTTGGACAGATTGATATAAATGAAGATGGAAATGAGTGTGCGAGGCTGGACTCCTGTGCTGGGAGCCCGCCGTGCTCCCTGGGACATCTCTCAGCCATGTCCACTTTTCCTCCTGAGTGATATGAATGGGTGGGAAGTGGTGCTGGGGATGGTTGCCCTGGGCCCCTGCCATCTTTAGGCACAGCTGCCGTGACCTCCTGAGAGCGTACACCTTTGCCGGGGCCTGTTCTGCCCTGTCTGCTTGGGAACTAGAGGTTAGGCGGCAGTTGTGCACACCAGCTGAGGGGTGAGGACCAGGCATTGTGCCTGGAGCCGATGGGATGGGCTCCAGACACAGACTGCTCAATGTAGTTTCCGCCCCACCTGTCAGCTTCATCCCCTCAGCTCCCCCATCAACATGGAGTCCGAGGACTCGATAGTGGCATCCTTGAAGAGTCTGCAGTTACTATTAGTGATCTCAGCAGTAGCTGCTGCTGGCTGCTCCTGTGTATTGTCTGCTCGTTGTATGTGGACTTTGTTTACTCTCTAAGAACTGAAACCTCAACACAGGGAACTCTGGTTTCCTAGACTGTGAAGAGTGTAGTGACCCCTAGAAATAACTTAGGCCTCTTTCTTTACAGAATAGGCCTCCAATCACAGAAACTGCCCGTCCAGGAATATGCGACCCAAAGGACAGGCCTGGGTCTTGGCCCGCCAGCACCTCAGCCTGGTCCTTGTGAACTGAGAGCTACTCTGCCCGTGCAACTTTTCACCATGTTGGCTTAGACCAGGAGCCTCATTAACACTAACATTAATATAAATTAACATTCACTAATATAAAATGAATTAACATTCATTAATATAAATTGTGTTTATAATTTTTGGTCTTACTCTCCTTGTTTTTCGTGTTTGTTTTTGTGCTACAGAGAGTATCAGTTAAAGGGGAGGCCTGTGCCTCAACTAAGACTGGCTGGGTGCCCTTCCCTGCCTGCTGCCTCAGGGCAGCCTTCTAATCCTTCTAGTTCCTCAAGGTTTTTCCCTCCTTCCCCTGCCTCCTCTAGCTTTCTTCCCTTGGCTGTTTTAACCTTCAGGAAGCCAGTTCTGCTTTATTCAGAGCTCGTGCCCGAGTTTCTCAGTGGCAGTGTACTGGCAGTTTGGGCCGGCTCGTCCTCTGTGGTCAGGGCTGGACTGTGCATTGTAGGATATTGAGCAACATCCCTGGGGTCCACCAGCCAGATGCCAGGAGCACCCACCTCACCACTTGTGACCACCAGATTGTCTCTCCGTACATTGCCGATGTCCCCTGAAGGGCGGAGTTTCTCTGGTGGGCAAAGAAGCACTGGCCTAGGCTGTGCCTCCTGGCATCTACTTAGAGCTTTTGTCATATCTTTCTTAGTTGAGGTACAGGGTAGCACAGTGGGAGGAGGTCAGGATTTTGTGGTGCTGCCACTCTGCATGGCTCAGGTACACGGTGCCTCATGAAGTTGGGTGGTGGGCACCCGCAGCCTCTCAGCCACCATGTGGGGTTTCTGCTTTTCTCACTGATGATGGGAGTTTGCGTGTGGCTCACAGGGTGGTCTGTGTGCCCCAAGACACCTTGATGGCTGTGTGGTACAGCCTCGGGCAGTGAGCCCTCAGGACTGCTTCCCTTTGCTTCCTCTTGTCTCCTTAAGAAGCGTGGTGGCCCTTGGATGGCAGGAGGTCTTGTTTTCTTGTATCCAGCCTCCCCCATGCCTTCAGGTGCTTGGTGTGTGCTTGCTGCTGATTGATTGTCTTACTTTAGCTTACAGGCTCTATACTGTGGTGCCTCGCCTGGTCAAGTTTGTGGATGTTCTGACCAACTGGTATGTCAGAATGAACCGCAGAAGATTAAAGGTAAGCGCAGGCTGCTCTTGGGAAGGGCCAAAAGTGCAGTACCTGTGAGAGTCGAGGAGAAATGAGCACAGCCAACAGGAAAAGGAGCATTTTCCAATGCTCTCAGCTTTGGAAGCTATCTTTTTCTTTTACGTTGCATATTAGATGGATGGAGACCTAGGATCTAAAAGTCATCTTGTGTATTTTCAAAACACAGTTATGAACGTGTTACATTGGAGGGAAGGCCTCAGGTCCATATAAGACTAAGCTGAGTAGACTCTCAAAATCCATAATAAATTCACACAAATATTTTGCAAATGTTGGCAGGTACGGCTACAATCTTGAGAGGGGCACCTCCCTCTAGAGGGTCAGTTATTTATTGAGAGAACTCTTCCTTAAGCCTCTTGGGGACTTAGGACGAGTAAAGCATGGGTCCCGCCTCAGGGCTTAAGCCAGGCGTAAACAAAATGGTACAAGACAGGGAGTGAGAGAGTGATGGAGGCTCCTGTGCCCATTGGCCTACCTTCAGATGTGTTAATGATAAAAGCATAACAAAACAGTAATTTCATTTTTGTGAAAATATATTATACACACATTTACATGTATGTGTGTATATACACATACATCTAAGAGATATACCCTAAAATGTTTACAGTAGTTATCTCTGGGTCATTTAATTATGGTTGGGTTTTCTTCTTTTATTATCTTTATGTTTCCCCTGTAATAAATTAGTGTAATTACTTTTTAAATACACAGTATAGACTTTTTTTAAAAATAAGAAATCTTAACCTAAAAGTACTTTGAATTTTTCTATTAGCACCTGTTTCTGTCTGTTGCATGCGAATCCCATGCTCAGCCTTCAGGTCCTCCGGTCTGTCTTTACCTCACCGTTACAGAGCCACTCTTCATCAGCACGGCCTCAGAGATGGGAGAGAGTAAGGGGGACCCCATCCTGGCCTCCTGCATTGATCCCAGACCACTGGTAGTTGTGGTCACTTGTCCTAGCTCTGTCTGTCTTGTCTGTGCACTGTGTGCTCTCTGTGGCTTGCCTTTTTTAAAATAATCTTACTCAGTTCTAACAGTTTAATGTGTGTTTTTTTTTCACTCACTAGGGTGAAAATGGGATGGAGGATTGTGTTCTGGCCCTGGAGACGTTGTTTAGTGTTTTGCTTTCTCTGTGCAGACTTATGGTAAGATGCTTGGCCCTGTTCTCAAACTCCAGCCCTGTTGGCTGCTGTGGTGCCCGGTTGCTGCAGCGTCCTCAGTCTGTATCTCTTCTGTTTTTGTTCCACCAGATACCGAAATAAAAGTTTTAAAACAACTTAAATCTCTAGTTCCTTTTCAGAAATATTGTTAGCTTATATATGTCAAGCAAGGACTAAAAAACATTAGCTTCAAAAGCTAGATTCTTCCTTTTTACCACTGGCAGTACATTTCAGGTCAAGGTCCTTGCATCTAGACTGAATTGCCACAGTTCCCTTTGAATAATATACCTCATCTTAATGTGGCTTCCTGTAATTGTCTGTGAGTAACAGGGAAGTTCTTGAACTAATGTCTAGCCAAATAAATATATCACAGATAATATTTTACTTAAAACATGTTTCTACCAATTTAAATATTAATGATATACAAGTGAAAATTCCAGTTTTAATTCTTTGTATCCTATTTCTGCTACTCCGGTATAATGTTATAATTATAAGCCTATATTTATTTCCTGAACATACATGGAGTGAGAACCTGCTTTGTACCAGGTCCTGTGCCTGGTGCCTCACGTCTGACCTCATTCACCTCTGTCCTGTGAAGCAGGTGGTGTTCCTCCAGTGTACAGATGAGGTTTCTGAGGGTCAGGGACAGACATTCTGTCGTACTGACTTAGCCGGCACGTGGTCAGGGGCTTCTGCTTTTATTATGGATGTCCTCCAGGATATTTGGATCCTCTGGCTATAGCCCTGCTGTGCCTCACAGGTGTCTGTCTTAACAGGTTCAAGTGAGGTCATTTCTCGTCAGAGGGCAGGGTTAGGAACCTCATGCCTACTCTATGCGTACTCCTGTGTCATTCTCTAAGATCTTTAGTTGCTGTTTTTTACTCTGATTGAGCTCAGTTCATGATGGCTGCACATGCATGACGTGGTGTCCTCTGTCCTCATACAGGCCCCCTACACACCTTTTCTTACTGAAATGATGTACCAGAATCTAAAGATGCTGATTGACCCTGTTTCTGTCCAGGACAAGGACACACTCAGCATCCACTACCTCATGCTGCCCCATGTTCGGTAAGAATTAAATACACGTAAGCCTTCGCCCAAGCCATGGGAAGGGGAGTTGCCAGAGACGTGCTCATGGGGGCCCCAGCTCTCTGCTCCATTTCCTCCATGCCCTGCCTCCCATCTGAGCTGCTCCTCAGGCTACAGAATGGGTGGGAGGGATGCTCAATATGGAACCCTGTGTTGTGCTGTGGCAGGTGGGGCAGGGGCAGGCCTGTTGGGGTTGCCTTGGGGAGCTACTGGGCACTAAGCAGCAGACTCAGGTTTGCTGCCTGCTTCTCACTGTGTGCTTCCCAAGGCTGGCACACACTGTCCTTCCCCAGGTGCCTCACCGGGAGGACTAGCCACACCGTCACATCTCTAGCCTGACCCTCTTCCTCACTTAAGCATGCCTGTTGTTTGGGATTTTTCTACTTTTAAATCTAATCTCTTTCACATCCCTATCTCTACCATTCAGAGAGGAACTGATTGACAAGAAGACCGAGAGTGCAGTGTCTAGAATGCAGTCCGTGATTGAACTTGGGCGAGTGATTCGAGACCGTAAAACTATTCCAATAAAGGTTTGAGATTTTATTTGTATTTTACATTGCACAGACCTAGATAATTATGTTTTATTGTATTAATATAGAGAGCTTCCAGCAATGGCATAAATTGTTTTTTCTGCAGTAAGAGTAGTAGTTGAGCTTGATTAGTCTGAAGCCTGAGATTCAGATAAAACATACAATCTCCCATTTTTCTGCAGTTTAGAGGACTGGCTGCTGAGTGAACTTTCCCTTCCCTTTCCTCCTAGTACCCTTTGAAGGAAATTGTGGTCATCCATCAAGATCCGGAGGCTCTTAATGATATCAAGTCCTTGGAGAAGTATATCATTGAGGTGAGACAGCTGATTTGTCTGTTTAGTCCAGACAGACGTCTTTCCTGCAGAAGATTACTTTGATTAGTACTCCTCAGTGAACTACACTTTAAGTGAATAATTTATCTTTTTTCTTTTGTATGTCAGTATATACATAAATTTAACCATCCATGAAATTTTACACTTTGCTTAGAATCATCATAAATTTTTACAATGTAGTTGTAATTCTTTAAAAATGATTTCAAGATCAATGAATTGCTTTACTTAGTTGGATCATTTATTACCTGCATCCACTTCTCTTCTCCAAAGTACTTTTTGATTATTTAACAAAAGAAGTTTGTTCCTTCAGTTACAAGTAACAAGTGAGCTTACGTTGGTCGTAGGCAGGCACTCGCACTAGCCTGGAGTCCCAGGTGAGTCCCTTCCCACCCCAGCCACACCAGGCAGTGTCATCCCTCCTGGGGTGTTCACTAGGATATCTCCTGCCAGGGTTGTTCCTAGCATTTTACACACGTATACACACATTTATGCATTCAGACACACACATGCACATGCCATTGGCTTTGTTTGTGCACAGAGAGGATCGTGTATATATATATGTACTTTTTAATGTTCTTTTTTCACTTTATAGTGTTTCTTTTGTTTTTTCCTTTGGTGAGGACGATTGGCCCTGAGCTAACATCTGTGCCAATCTTCCCCTATTTTGTATATGTGATGCCACCACAGCATGGCTTGATGAGCAGTGTGTAGGTCTGTGCCTGGGATCTAAACCCGTGAGCCCTGGGCTGCTGAAGCAGAGCACATGAACTTAACCACTATGCTACCGGGCCGGCCCCTGTAGTGTTTCTTAAAGGGAATCCCATGTCAGAACATGGAGATTACTGTATTCTTTTTAACAGCTGTATGGTGTTCACTTTCTGGCTGCATCATAATGTATTTAATTGCTCTCCTATTATTGGAAATTTATGTTTCTGATTACAAACAAAAGGTGCATCTGTACCTTTGTGCGTATGTCAGTGTATGGACATTGAATAGATTCCTAGAAGTTGAGTTTGGGGCTCAAAAGTTTAAACTATAGTGTCAGTTATCCTCTCAAAAAGCTTTATTCCATAATATTTTAAAAACAAATATACTTTTCATTTCATTTTTATTCCTTTCACAGGTAATATTAAATCTGTTATTGTAGAAAATATTAATTTCTATGTTTGATTTTGAATTGCTTGAGAATTCCAGATAAATATTAGAAACTAAAGAGTTAGATTATAAATTCTGTAGTTAATGCTTGCAGATATGGATAAAAATGGAATATATTTAAATAGAATATCTTAATCACTATAATGAGATCAAATAATACGGTTAAGTTTAATGGCACAACTAGACATTTCCATACAATTTGCTTTATCACGACAGTTCCGTGATATCTCATTTTAATATTTCCTACTATGATGTCACCATTTCCTGCTGCATTATAACCCTTAACTAGCATGATGGAGGCATGAAATGTTATGGTTAGCTGATTCTTCTCGTTAAGTGATAGTTAACCTTGTGGTGCTCTGAAGTTGCTTGAGCTATGGTTACCCCTGAGAGGTGAAGCTCATATTTCTAATTCTAGAGTCCTCTGTAGTTGAGTTATGCTCAGCTATCTTGATTGATTTGGACAACCAGTCCTTTCTGAAAAAAGAAAGGTTTTTTCATACCATATAATTCAATGATTTTTGGTATTATTTATAGAGTTGTATAACTGTCACCACAATTTTCTAACATTCTCATCACCCCAAGAACAAACCCAGTATCCATTAGTTTTTACATACCGTTTCTCTTCAAGATCCCAGCATCCCCTGGCAACCATAAATCTGTTTTCTGTCTCTGGATGTGCCTACTCTGGACATTTCATATAAATGGAATCATACAGTATGTGGCCTTTTGTATCTGACTTCTCTCACTTAGCTCCAAGGGTCGTTCATGATACAGCATGCATCAGCGCTTCATTCCTTTATATTACTAAATAATAGTCCATTGTTTGGATAAGCCACATTTTATTTATCCACTCACAGTTGATGGACTTTTGGGTTGTTTCCACTTTTTGTGAATAATGTTGCTATGAACGTTTGTGTGCATGTTTTTGTGGACATATGTTTTTATTTCCCTCAGTTTTGTTTCATCTTGTCCACCAACTATAGGAACTGAATGTTCGAAAAGTTACATTGTCTACGGATAAAAGCAAGTATGGCATTCGACTAAGAGCAGAACCGGATCACATGGTTCTGGGGAAGCGTCTGAAGGGAGCCTTCAAGGTGGTGATGACAGCCATCAAGCAGCTGAGCAGTGAGGAGCTAGAGCAATTCCAGCGGAGAGGTGGGTGTTGCCGTTTGTGGCCTCAGCCTGACAGGTGTCTCATAGTTAGGCTCCTGTTTGACTTTTACTGTCACAGCCTTTTCTTAAATGAAAACTTTTTTTTCTGGTCATAAAAATGTTTAATAAGAATTCTGATAATTTACAAAAAATTAAAGAAGACAACAAAAATGACCTTTAAGCCTTAAAGTAGATTGAGTGCCTGCTCTCGGCTGTTTAATATGTTAGTGCTGAGACACTATTAAAATTCTGATTTATTTCCTTCTAGTTACATAGTCATAATTGCAACCTTACAAATGGAGATCACACTGTAATTTTAAATTTCATGTTTTTCACTCATATTTTTACATTTTATGTTATATTTGTTTTTATTCACCTTTTTATTTTGTGTTTTCACTTTACATTATAAATGTTTCTCTGTTATTAGGCTTTAAAATGCTATTTCAGTAACTGCATAATTGCCCTTCATATGGATACCTGATAATGTTTTTAACCCGTCTTTTATTGCTGGTGCTTTAAGTTATTTCCATTCTTTTAATATTATGAATAATATTGAAGTGCATATTTTTACATGTAAATATTTTATGGAATTGATTCCCTTTGGCTAAATTTCTAGATAGAAATAACTGAATAGGATGAGTGGACTTTAGGTTACCACTGAATTCTACAAATGCTAATGTGGGCCTAGAAAATCTACCCAAATAAGAAAGAGCAGAACCCCCTAGGGCTTCATTACCAGCCGGTGGCATAGATGTCACTGTTATCAGATGTGGCTTGTGGAGAAAAAAGGTGGTGACGACTTTGGGAGGTGTCAGAATAAAGATTGGAAAATATTCAAAAGAAAAGATTAAAGTATTTTTAGAGAAAGGATTTAGCATTGAGCTTTGGAGCTTCTTGCAAAGGGGAACTGGGTCAGAACTTATCACAGTTTCTCTAAAGTACCTAGAAGCCACATTTTGGTCTCTTAATTGGGCAAGACTGGATACATTCATTAAGCAAATATTTTTTAAAGTGCTTCCGTTTAGCTGGCACTGGGGCTATAGAGTTGAATAAGACAGACATTGTCCTTCCCCTCGTGGTGCTGGCAGACTTTGAAGATTTATGGAAATAATCATGGTTTTGATAAGTGCTCTAAAGGAAACATAGGATGATAATATGAGGAGGTAGGAAATGGGACTCAGCTGCCTCCCTCCTCTCCTTTAGAGAGCCTTCCAGGGTGCCCAGGAGTTCTCAGCTCTGCCATGATTAGAGTCTCACGTGGTCTTACTATGGCTGCCTGGCGTCCTTCAGCTATCCTAGGGCAGAAGGTGTTTGTTAGGACTCCATCTGAAGTTGAAAATCATAAGCACAGAGGTGTCATGAGAAGAGATTTAAAGACTCAGAAATCAGATGAGCAGTTATAGAAATTGGGGGCAGTGTCCCTAAGATTCTCCCAATTTTTATATGATATTTGTAAAACATAAGAGGCTAACAACTAAAAGTTGATTCGTTACTAATTTAACTTGATATGTTAAATTAAAGTCTGATCAACCTTCAAGTCACAAATCTAAGTTGTTTCACCAGATAGCCAAAATATAAAAAATTCCTGTAATAAACCTTATTTGCAACCAAAAGCCTAGTTTCTCAAGTGTAGATTCTGAATGAACTGTTCTATACTGATGGAAAATGAAATAGTTTTCAGAACATGGTGACATAAAGTGAAGATGGCAGCCCAGTGCTCAGAGATCAAGATCATTGTGGGTGACCACAGCAGGCTTCCCTGAAGATGGGGATTGCCATCCTCAGGTGCCTGCCGTGTATAGGCTTGATGCTCAGACCTTCACACTGTCCACCTCATTGCACCCTCACTGCACCCTGCTCTGCAGATCATAGAACACTATGATGCTACAACCAGTGAGTGGTGGGCCTAAGTCCACTTTGACTCTACAGACTGCTTTCTTCATTACGTTGTGCTGCTCTGGGTATAAGGTAGATTCATCACCTCCTGGTGCATCTTTGGACCTGGGAGTTTATATGCAACCGTCGACATTGGTGGTGATTTAACTGTCCTTGAGGCAGCACAGTGCAGTCTAAAGAAAGTTTGTCACATCCGTGACTGCAACGATGACATGAGTCAGGAGGACATGATCTCTTGAAGACTCTGCAGTGGTACGATATCCTAGTAGCTGGGTGGCTTCAGGAGGAGGAGGGACTGACTCATTAACAGTGGCAGTTGCTTCTCCAATAGGGACCATTGTTGTAGAGGGCCACGAACTGCATGAAGAGGACATCCGCCTCATGTGCACCTTTGACCAGGCGGCCAGTGGGACGGCGCAATTTGAAGCGCACTCAGATGCTCAGGTATTTCTCTGTTCCCTAGAACATTTCTTGACCAAAAGATAAGAACAACAAGAGGAGAAAGTATTTACCTATGCCTTTCCTGGCAGTGTTGACAGCTTGTCTCAGGGTAAAATAAACCAGTTATTCATTTTAGATTGGCTTTACCAAACTCAACTATTATATGCCCTTAACATATTTATTTCTTTAATGAATACCTAAACAGACATTTTGTGACTTCTGCATGCAAGTAATTGTCCTAAGTGTTGGGTTGTACAAAAAGAATAAGATGTAATCCCAGCCTTTAAGGAATGAGTCAGTCATAGAGACAGGAAAGTAAGCCAATTCTTATTGTTCTGCCTGAGAAGTTATCTTGGAGAAATAAGTACAGAGAAGGGCTCCTATCTGAAGTCGGGTGAGGTGGAGGTGGTTAGGGAAGTGGATCCTCTTCAAGGGTTAGGCTCCTTGAAGAGGATATACAGGCAGTTTTGGGTTCTGGAGTCAGCATTCTTTGTTGTGATGGATCAGAGCTTCTCTCCTCACTCCTGATCAGATTTCTCTGGGCAGATAGGTTGTCAGATCTCCAGTGTTGGAGTTGGGGGCTTGCTGGAGACCCTCTGTGCCTAACATGCCACATGCAGGGACAGGTGGGGAGTGCCTCATGAGACAGGCCGACCTCCTCAAGACTTTACAGAGGGGCTTAAACTGGATGTAGTCAGAACTCCATGTGGACAGACAGTGGTAAGGAGCCAAAGGTAAGGAAGCTAGGGAAGAAAGTGGGGCAGCAGGGAGGTTTATTAACAGTGAGAGGGTGCACTCCTTCCTGACTACAGCCAGTGGAAAGGAGGGCCTAAAGACGTCGTCCACACTTAAGGAGGTGTTGCTTGTGATACCTCTGAGTTTCTTGACACGGTTTGTGTATTGTGGGCCATGGTGGCCCTGCTCTGACTCATCATCTGTGTTCAGTTCTACCTGCTGTGCCTTCATGAAGCTTGTTAGCTTCTCTGAGTGAGTTTCCTCAAAGGTAAATGGGGATGGTGCCTAATTTACAAGTACACCCCCTCTATAATGGAAGTGACGCCATTGTTATTACCACATCATCATCGACACCTTCAGAACACAGGAGATGGAAAAGCAGACAAAGTTGACAAGAAGATGGCAACTTAAACTAAATCACATAAGAAGTATTGTGGTCCATTGTAGAGAAACCGTGTCTTGAAACAGACCAACAAACCAAAGGATAAAAAGGGTCATGGTTTAAGAAAATAATGGAGTTGGGGGCCTGCCCAGTGGTGCAGGGGTTAAGTGCTCACGTTCCGCTTCAGCAGCCTGGGGTTCACCAGTTCGGATCCCGGGTGCAGACATGGCACCGCTTGGCAAGCCACGCTGTGGTAGGCATGCCACCTATAAAGTGGAGGAAGATGGGCACGGATGTGAGCTCAGGGCCAGTCTTCCTCAGCAAAAAGAGGAGGATTGGCGGCAGATGTTAGCTCAGGGCTAACTTCCTCAAGGAAAAAAAAAGGAAAGAAAAGAATGGAGTTGGCTGCTTTGAGGCCTTCAGTCCACTAGTTTGTGGTGGGTCCATTGTGAAAAGTTGTGCTGCTGTAAGGGTTTCATGATTGTTGATCTTATTTATTAGAAGCATTGATATTATTTATTAGATAGACAAAAAGTGAAATTACATGAGAGACTCACAAAAGCCAATCTTAGGGTGTCTCCTGTGAGTAGCACCCTACAGAAGGAAAAGGGACAGCTACGCCTCTCTCCAGAGATGAAGGACTCACTGGTTACAAAGAAGGACCCAAACTATAAAGAAACTGGATTTGACTTTGTTTCCTTCGCTCAGTTGCATGAATAAATAGTGCATCATAATAGACTTCTCAGAATTTAGTTTTAAATAGCATTTTGCTGAGTTTGAAAGAACTGTTTTTCTTATTTGACTGTCATGTCGTGCACTGTTCGTTCCTATAGGCTTTGGTTCTCTTGGACGTCACCCCTGACCAGTCAATGGTGGATGAAGGAATGGCTCGGGAAGTCATCAATCGCATCCAGAAACTTCGCAAAAAGGTCAGTTTGTCAGGTTAAGAACAAGCTGCTGTTGGGGCGTTTGGTTTTTTTGTTTGGCTTTTTATTTTGTTTTTTGGGGAGGACAGGAGAGGCAGGTGATTTGAACCATAGTAATCAATTAATGATAATTAGTCAGTGATCTTCAGTCCATTCAGATTGTACTCTGCAGGAAAGGTAGGCCTCTTCCCCTCCCTGCTTGTTCACCCCCAAGCTGGACGTGGCTCTTTGGTTTCTCTGATCAGGAGCTGTCAGCCAACCTGTGCCCCTTGTCCTCCTTTTTCAGTTCCCTAGGGCTTCTACAAAATCATCTTCTGGATAGATAGTTCTCCTAACTGGTGCAGAGGTCACCAGAGCTGACAGTCGCTGTCTGAGGAAGGGAAGAGGTGCAGTCAGTTTGGAAGGGCTCCTGGCTCAGGAGAGAGAGTCTTGGATCTGAACAGCGCGGGGTGGTTCTTTCTCATTCAAGAGCTGGGAGCCGGACCAGGCACAGAGAGCCCTTTGCCTGCCCTCAGCAGGCAAGAGAGCCAGGGAGCTCCTACCTGAGGAGGCCTCCAGCAGTCCTCGTCATCAGGCCTGGTGTCTGAGACCTGTGGGCTGGGATCTGAGGAGGCCACTCCAGCAGATAATGGGGCGCTTGCGAGCTCTGTTTCAGGTCAGAGGTTTGTGAGGAGGTTCTTGCTCGGTGACTCCTTTATTTCATGGGGAGGATGGGACAGGAGACTGTGCCCTTCCCTGATGACCCCGCATGGGACCGTCAGCCCTTTTCAACAGCACCTTATGTTTTGATTAACAGATGTGCTTCCCTCTTTAAATTTTCTGTATGTGCTTTCAGTGCAATCTAGTTCCAACTGATGAAATAACAGTTTATTATAAAGCAAAGTCTGAAGGAGAGTATCTGAACAATGTTATCGAAAGCCACACAGAGTTCATATTTGCCACCATAAAGGCTCCCTTGAAACCATATCCAGTTCCTACAGCAGATAAGATCCTTATTCAAGAAAAAACACAGGTGAGTTCTGTTGAACTATTAGGAGATTTAGGATTAGATTTTATGTTAAGTTTATGTACTCACATCTTGATATTCTGGCCCCTAGTAGCAATTGGTGTAGTCCTCGGTCCTGAAGTGTTGCTCTGGAGTGAGAGGGTCAGCAAAAGGGTGTCCAGAAGGAGAGAGAGGGAGGGAAAGTAGAGCTGTCCTCACGGCAGTTCTCTGGGGAGAGGGAGCCAGGAAGTACGTAAGAATTGTCAGGCGATCAGATGGCATATGGGCCTGTTTTCTCTAAAACTTAGGAAGTCAGCATTGTGGATTCTGGGAATTACTGTTAAAGTAAACAGCAATTGACTTGAAAAGCAGTTAACTTTTATGAGAGAAAGTTGTACATAAAGGTACAATTTCGCCTCCTGTTGGCCCATTTTAGATGTAACTATGAAAATCTGATACCCACACATGGAAGACCTTGGCCCATAATTCAGAAGTGGATCATTTGTAACAGGGGAATCAATCCTTTTCTGTGTCAGTCAGTCATTCATTCAGTCATTTGTTCCTTGTTCCTACTTTATATGGGACAAATAGGATAGAGGAGCAGGGGCTGAAAGTGACTGGGGCAAGTTACAAGATGGTTTCATTTTCTATTTTGCTTATTTTTTTTTAATTTTTTACTTTTCCTCCCCAAAGCCCCAGTACGTAGTTGTTTATTCTAGTTGTAGGTCCTAGTTCTTCTACGTGAGCTGCTGCCACAGCATGGCTACTGACAGACAGGTGGTCTAGTTCCGTGCCTGGGAACCAAACCTTGGCCACTGAAGTGGAGCATGCCAAACTTTAATCCCTAGGCCATCAGAGCTGGCTCTCTATTTTGCATATTTTTAAACTGTTTGACTTTTTAAAAAATGACCATATATTGCTTATATAATCAAAAATTTACATTTTTAAAAGAACAAGGTAAAAAGAAAAAAATGAGGGGAAAAATTGTAGTTCTGGACTTTTTTGGTAATGATACTGAATGTGCTATCAGAATTGTACAGAGCTCTGATTCTTACTGAGAAGAAATAGTTTCTGTGTTGTTTGGTGACACTGTGGTCAGGTGCTACAGTGGCTCACTCATATATTCCCCTCTTCTCAGTTGAAGGGGTCTGACCTGGAAATTACACTCACTAGAGGATCATCTGTGCCTGGCCCTGCTTGCGCATATGTCAATCTTAATATTTGTACAAATGGCAGTGAGCAAGGTAAGAGCGTAAATGAATTCCATGGTTTGTATTTTGTGTTTTAGTTAAACCTGTGAATGTCTTTAAAGCTTTTATAAGAGAATTGGTAAAACTGGATAACTTTTTCTATCTAATTGTCATCAAAATGAATCCTTGAAAGTAAATGATTGGACTTGCACTTCTAGGAAGATGGACTAGATGTAGTTTTCCCTGTTCCTCCCACAAAGTACAGCTGAACACTCTGGAGATGGTATGTAAAGACCACTACAAGAAGACTCTTGGGGCCGGCCCCATGGCCGAGTGGTTGAGTTCACACACTCTGCTTCAGCAGCCCAGGGTTTCTCTGCTTCAGATCCTGGGTGCAGACATGGCACTGCTTGTCAGGCTATGCTGAGGCGGCATCCCACATGCCACAACTAGAAGGACCCACACACACACACGCAAAAAAAAAGGCAGCAGTTGTTAGCTCAGGTGCCAATCTTTAAAACAAAAAAAAAACTCTTAAAGGTGGAGGGAAGACAGACCAGCTAGGGACCTTGGAACCAAGCAACAAAATAGTGGAGAGTTCTCAGGGTTTTCTTTTTGCCTCATGTACCGCAGCCTTGGAGCTGAAGAAGCCAGCAACCTGGAAATGCCAACAAGCATGCACAAAATTGCCCCAACAAAATCTTTCTCTCTCTAGATGAAGGACCAGAAGAGGGGCAGCCTAGCAAGACAGAAAACTTGTAGATAATAACTGCTCTACTCCAGCCAAATGCAAGAGAAGAAACTGTGGCCCCACTGCCACTCACACCAGCAGAGGCCAAGTGGAGAGCTTAGACCTTTGCCAGGCTGAGGAGCCTCAAGCCCCCACCGCCACGCTACTATCAGAGAAGACTAAGTAGTGAGCCGGGACTTTCCTCCCACCCAGGCAGTTATGAACCCCTCTGCCTAGCAGTGTCAGGGTAGAGCATGTGGAGAGCCTGGATGTCCGTCCCCACAGGCAGCAGCAGGGCATCCCTCCCTCTCACCACCGCCCGGTGGGAACGAGGCTGCATATCCCTGCTGCCTGCCGAGGCATCAGTGAAGGCCACATGGGGAGCAGTAAGCAGGCACTCCCACTCTTCACTGCCACGGAGGCAGCAGTGGAGGCCTGGAGGAGAGTGGAAACTCCCTCCTCGCCCCCTCCCAGCAGTAGCAAGGAATCCTGACCTTAGTGTCAGTGGAGACTGAACAGGGAACCCATACTTCCCTTCCCACCCTCCCAGCAGGCAGTAACAAAGCAGTGTCCCCTCTCCCCTGGCGGTGTGATGTCAGACAAAGCCAGCTAAAATAGAAGGTTTAAATAAGAACCAGAGTCTCCTAATACCTAACATGTCTAGGTTTTAATTAAAGATTACTCATCATACCAAGAACAGGGAAGATCTTAAACTGAATGAAAAAAGGCAATCAATACCTATAAACACCAAGATGACAAAAATGTTAAAATTATCTGAAAAATGTAATGCAGCCAGAATAAAAATGCTTCACACACCAATTATAAACACAGTAGAAACAAATGAAAAGTAGCCTCAACAAAGAAACAGAAGATATAAAGAATCAAGTAAAAATTTTAGAACTGAGAAATACAATAACTAAAATACAAAAACTCAGTGGATGGGCTCAACAACAGAATAGAAGAGACAGGAAAGAATCTGTGAACTGGAAGGTAGAACAATCAAAAGTACCCATTCTGAACAACAGTTTTTTTTAAAAATCTGAAAAAAATGAACAGAGCCTCAAAGATCTGTGGGATAATAACAAAAGTTTAATATTCTTGTGATTGAATTCTGAGAGAAAGAGAAGAAAAAGACAGGACAGAAAAAGTATTCAAAGAAATAATAGCTGAAAACTTACTAAATTTGACGAAACACAAAATCTACATATTCAAGAAGCTAAGGAAATCCCTTACAGGATAACCCCAAAAGAATCTGCATCGAGATGTAGCATAGGCAAACTTCTGAACTTAAGGCCAAGAAAACATCTTGAAAGCAATGAGAGAGAGATGTGCAACACCTAACTTAAAGGAGAAGAGCAATTTGAATGATACTGGATTTCTCATCAGGAACCTTGGAGGCCGGAAGGTAAAAGGACAACATTTCTCAAACACTAAAATGTAAGTGCTGTCTACCCAGAATTCTGTATCAAGCAGAAATATCTTCAGATGAAGAGACTATCAAGACAGTCTCAAATGAAGGAAAACTGAGAGAACTTGTCGCTAGCAAGACTTAACCCAAAAGAATAGCTAGAGGAAATTCTTAAAACAGAAAGAAAATGATAAAAGAGGGAATCTAGGGACATCAGTATGGAAGAAATAACAATGGAAAGAGTCAAAATACAGGTGAATTGAACAGACTTTCCTTCTTGAATTTTCTAACTTATGTTTGTGGTTACAGCAAAAACTGTAACATCTCAATGCATATGTAAGAAATATTTAAGACATAAAATATATAAATGGGGAATAGCCAAGGGATGTAAAAGGAAGTAAGGTTCTTACATTTCTGTCAAACTGGTAAACACTGACACCAGTAGACTAGTAGTTATGTATATATAATGTACAACCTAGTGCAACCACTACAAAAGTCTGTACTAAGCAATACGTACAAAAACACTAGACAGAGAAAAATGGAATCCTAAGGTGTATTCAGGTAACCCACAGGACGCTTGGGAAAAGAAAACAGAATAGAAATCAGAAAATAAAATGGAAGGCTTAAGCTTAACATCAATAATTACACTAAATATAGATGGTCTAAATACATCAATTAATAGAGATTGACAGAGTGATGAAAACACATTATCCAGCTATATGTTATAGCTATATAAGTCTTTAAATATAACAATATAGGTAGCTTGAAAGTAAAAGAATAGAAAAAGATATATTGTGCAAACATAAAGAAAGCAGGAATGCCTATGTTCATTTCCATAAAGTAGACTTCCTAGCAAAGAAAATTACCTATGACATTGAATAATATATGTCAATCCACAAGGAAAGCATAATGATCCTCAATGTGTATGTACCTAACAACAGAGCTGCAGAACACATGAAACAAAAACTGATAGACCTTAAAGGAGAATTAGAAAATCCATAATTATAGTTTGAGAATTGCCTATACCTCTTTGAACAATTAATACAACAGCTACACAGAAATCAGAATCTAATCAACATTTATGAAACACCCTACCGAATAGCGGCAGAATGCACATTCTATTCAAACTCCCAGAGAACATTTACCAAGATAGATTACAGCCTGGGCCATAAAACAAAACTCAGTTTAAGAGTTGGAATCATATAGAGTATGTTCTCTGACCACAATGGAATCAAACTATAAATCAGTTACAGATAAAAGCAAAATCTTCACACACTTCAAAAGTAAACAACGTACTTCCAAATAATCCATGATCAGGGAAAACATGTCAAGGAAAACATACGTAAAACTGAGTGAAAAGGAAAATACAACATATCAGAATATCTGGGAAGCAGCTAATTGATATCTCCAAAGACTAAAATTAGAAAAGAAGAAAGGTTTCAAATCAATAATGTAAGGTCCAACCTCAAGAAACTAAAAAAAGCAGAACAAAAATAAAATGAACCCTAAGTAAACAGAAGGAAAATAAAAATGAGCAAAAATCAACACAATTGAAAACAGAAAAACAATAGAGAAGATCAGTGAAACAAAAATGTAGTTCTTCAAAAAAAAATAAAATCAATAAACCTCTAGTGAGACTGATATAGAACAAAAGAAGATACTAATTACCAATATCACGAATGAAACAAGATATCAATACAGACTGCAGAAATCAAAAAGATAAGCAGATACCATGAACAACTCTCCACACGTGAATTTGACAACTTGCATGAAATGAACCAGTTTCTCAAAAAGCACAAACTAAGCCCAGAAATAAACCCACACATCTATGGACAGCTAATCTTCAACAAAGGTGCTAAGAACATACAATTGAGAAAGGAAAGTCTCTTCGATACATGGTGTTGGGAAAACTGGACAGCCACGTGCGAAAGAATGAAAGTATACCATTATCTTACACCATACACAATAAGTTAACTCAAAATGAATCAGAGACTTGAAGGTAAGACCGGAAACCATAAAACTCCTACAAGAAAATATAGGTAGTGCACTCTTTGACATTCGTTTTAGAAGGATCTTTTCGAATACCATGTCCCCTCAGACAAGGGAAACAAAAGAAAAAATAAACAAGTGGGACTTAATCAGACTAGAGAGCTTCTGCAAGGCAAAGGAAACCAGGAACAAAACAAAAAGACAGCCCACCAACTGGGAGAAAATATTCACAAATCATATATCCAACAAGGGGTTAATCTCCAGAATATATAAAGAGCTCACACAACTGAACAACATAAAAACAAAAAACCCAATGAAAAAATGGGCAGAGGATATGAACAGACTTTTCTCCAAAGAAGATATACACATGGCCAGTAAGCACATGAAAAGATGTTCAACATCACAAATAATCAGGGAAATGCAAATCAAAACTACACTAAGATAACCCATTAAAATGGCTATAGTCACCAAGACAAAAAATAACAAACGCTGGAGAGGATGTAGAGAAAAGGGAACCCTTGTACACTGCTGGTGGGAATGCACACTGGTGCAGCCACTATGGAAAACACTATGGAGATTCCTCAAAAAATTAAAAATAGAAATACCATATGACTCAGCTATCCCACTACTGGGTATTTATCTAAAGAACTTGCAGTCAACAATTCAAAGAGACTTATGGACCTGTATGTTCATTGCAGCATTATTCACAATAGCCAAGAAATGGAAGCTACCCAAGTGCCCATCATCTGATGATTGGATAAAGAGGATGTGGTATATATGTACAATGGAATACTACTCAGCCATAAAAAGAGACAAAATCATCCCACTTGCAACAATATGGTTAGACCTTGAGGGTATTATATTAAGTGAAATGAGCCAGACAGAGAAAGAAAAACACCATATGATTTCACTCATATGTGGAAGGTAAACTAACAAATGGACAAAGAGAACAGTTGAGTGGTTACCAGAGGGGAAGAGGGTTGAGGGGTAGGCACAAGGGGTGAAGGGGCACATATAATGGTGACTGACAATAATGTACAACTGAAATTTCACAATATTATAAACTATTATGATTTCAATAAAATTTTAAAACTACTTCAACTCACCCAGTATGAAATAGATCATTTCAGTACCCCTATTGCTAATAAGGAGATTGAATTCGTAATTTTAAAACTCTCAAGAAATCTCCATATCCAAATGGTTTTGCTAGAGAATTCAACTAGACTTTAAAAAAATGAATGTCAATTCTACACTGATTCTTCCAGAAAATAGAAGGAACACTCACAACTCACTTTAGTAAGATATTAGACACCAAAACCAGATGCAGACAACACACAAGAAAAGAAAACTATAGACCAGTATCCCTCATGAATATCAATGTAAAATTCTTACCAAAATATCATGAAATGAAATATAGCTATATATACAAAGAATTATATATTATGATAAGTAGGGTTTATTCTAAGAATGTAAGGCTGGTTCAGTATCCCAAAACCAATCAGTGTAGTCTACCATATTAACAGGCTAAAAGATTACCCGATTATACCATTTGTTACAGAAAAAGCATTTGACAAAATTCAACAACCATTCCTGATAAAAAACTCAGAAAAACAGGGAGAAGAACTTTGTAAACTTGATAATAAGCATCTACAAAAAACCTACAGCTAACATTATACTTAATGGGAAGAGATTGAATGTTTTCTGCCTAAAATAAGGACCAAGGCAAGGATGCCTATCTTCACTACTTTTATTCAGCATTGTACTGGAAATTCTTGCCAGTAGAATAAGGCAAGAAAAGAAAAGAAAAGGCTTACCGATCAGAAGAGAAGAAATAAAACTATCCCTATTTGAAGATGACATGATTGTCTACATAGAAAATCCCAAGGAATCTACAGTGTGTCCTGAGACCTCTCCATTGGTTGGCCCACCAGCATTGTCACCAGCTGTTCCCAGGATGGTCGTGTGTTCATTTGGACCTGTGATGATGCCTCAGGTGAAACATGGTCCCCTGAACTGCTGCACAAGTTCAGTGGTGTGTGGCATGTGGGCTGGCCCATCACTGCTGACATCCTGGCTTGTCTCGGGGAGAGGCAGTGAGAGGACCCTGTGGAAGCAGTCAGTCCGAGGGGCAGTGGATGTACATCAGTGATGTCAGCAAGGCCAGGGTTCTGTGTCAGCTTCAGTCGGGGCCACCAGAATGAGAAGTGACAAGACAGATGGGGCCTAGCTCCCTCCTCTGCTGACTCCAGTACTGTCCCTTTCTGGGCCAGCTGACCAAATAATTGGGAAGAAGAGCTCCCAACTCCAACAAGGTTACTCTCCTAGGAGTAGTTACCAATGGAGCCACAGATTGATCATCTGCTTTAACGTGATTTGATATGGTTTGTTATTTCCTGTCTGGCTGACACCACTCATGTTACGAGGAAAAACCTACAAATGACCTTTAAATTTATTAAAGTATTTTTGGCCAGTTTTCTATACCTTTTGGGTTCAAGCATTAATTGAGGGGTTTTATCTTCAAAATAGTTGAATAAAATCACATTGCTTATAAAAAGCAAAAGAAAAAACTTTCATCAAATACACAGGCTATAAGATAAACATACAAAAATCAATTTAATTTTTGTATACTAGCAGTGGACACATGGAGAATGAAATTTAAAATACAGTACCATTTACAATTGCTCAAAAAAAGGACACTGTAAATCTAAAAACACATGTATAAAATTTTATGCCAAAACTATAAAATACTGATAAAAAAATCAAAGAACTAAATAAATAGACATCATGTTCATGGATTGGAAGATTCAATATAGTAAACATGTCACTTCTCCCCAAATTAATATACAGGTTAAACTTGATTCCTATCAAATCTCAGCAATATTGTTTTGTAGATATAGACAAAATTACTCTAAAATTTATCTGGAAAGAGAAAGGAAATAAAATAGCTAAAGTAATTTAGGAACATAAGAATATAGTGGGAGAAATCAGTTTACCCAATTTCAAGACTCATCTGAAGACTGTGGCATGAGTACAGAACAGACACATAGATTAGCGTTCCAGACAGAGAACCTGAAATAGACCACACAGTGTGGCCAAATGCTTTTGTTGAAAAGAACAAAAGCAATTCAGTTGAGGCGTCTTTTCATTATATGGTGCTAGAGCAATTAGATATCCATACGTAGAAAAAAATCCCAGACCTAAGTCTTATACCTTTTATAAAAATTAACCGAAAATGGATCACAGACTCAAAAGTAAAACTATAAAACATTTAGGAAAAAAACATAAAATCTTTAGAGTTCAGGAGTAAGCAAAGAGTTTTTAAGACCTGATACCAAAAGCCCAAGCCATAAAAGGAAAAACTGATAAATTGAATCTCATCAAAATTTAAAACTCTGCTTTGCAAAAGATCCTGTGAAAAGGATGAAAAAACAAGCCACAGACTGGGAGAAGATCTTTGCAGACCACATAGCTAACAAAGGAGGTATCTAGAATATATAAAGAATTCTCAGAACTCAGCAGTTAAAAAGTTCAATTAGAAAATGGGAAAAGAGAGGAGCAGATGTTTACAAGAGAAAATATACAGATGACAGATAAGCACATGAAAATGTACAACATCATTAGTCGTTATAGAAATACAAATTAAAATCATAAGGAGATATCACTACACACCTATTGAAATAGTAAAAAAAAAAAAATAGTGACAATACCAAATGCTGGTGAGGTTGTAGAGAAACTGGGTCTCTCATGTATTGCTGGTAGGAGTTTTAAGATGGTACAGCCACTCTGAAAAACATGTAGCAGTTTCTTAAAAAACTAAATGTTCACTTTCCACAATCATCCAGCAATTACACTTCTGGGTATTTTGATTCCAGAGAAATGAAAGTTTATGTTCACCAAAAAACCTCTACTCAAGTGTTTATAGTAGCTGTACTCTACGTAATAGCCAAAAGGTGGAAACAACCCAAGCGTTCTTCATAGGTGGTGGCTGAACGACCTCTCGTCCATCCAAACCATAGAAAACGACTCAGCAATAAAAAGGAACAAGCTATTGATTAATGCAGCATCCTGGATGAATCTTTAAAGATTTATGCTGAGTGAAAAAAGTCAATCCCAAAGGTTATGTCTCATGTGATTCCCTTTATATAGCATTCTTGAAATGACAAAATTATAGAAATGGAGAATAGATTGTTTGCCAGAGGTTAATTAGGGAGTAGAGGGAGGCGGGAAATAGGTGTAGATTTTAAAGAGCAAGATGAGGGATTCTTGTGGTGATGGAGTTGTTCTGTATCTTGACTGTGTCAATGTCAGTATCCTGGTCATAATATTGTGCTATAGTTTCAAAGTTGTTAATTGGGACAAACTAGGTAAAGAGCCCATGATATCTCTACTGTTCTTCTAACCTCACATGCCTCTATGGTTATCTCAAAATAAAATGTTCAAACAAGTCAGCGAAGTAAATATCTGGAGTTGAATCTAGAGTATAGGATAGATCAACATCAGGGGCCACTTGAGGATGTTATTTTTACGTCAGATAGTATTTTTTAGCACTCTGAGCCCTAGGGATTTATAAATGGCACAAAACGAAAAATGCAGATCATAGAGACAAGTTTGAATCTAGAAAAAGATGAGCAGATTGCCTGATGGAGTTCCATCCCTGAAACATGTCTACCAAAGATTGCCAAAGCACATGTTAAGAGTGTATATAGTATATACTTAAAGGGAAATTAGAGCTTGAGCCCCCTTGTCTCCTTTGACTTTTCATTCAAATTTAATGTGTTTTCTTCAGTTTTACTTATATTTGTGGCTTTTTAGGTGGAGTATTGCTTCTGGAAAATCCAAAAGGTGATAATAGGTTGGACCTTCTAAAGCTGAAGAGTGTTGTTACTAGCATTTTTGGTGTAAAAACTACAAGGCTGGCTGTCTTCCATGGTGAAACAGGTACGTGGAAAGTTGAAAGGTATCCATGTGCTTTGACATGAGGTGGACCCATGGAGATGATTGCTTCATACCAGTTATGCATGTAGCCTTTGCCCTCTTCCTGACTCTGTCAGTCAGGACGGGCTCTCAGCAGTGCCTGCCACAGTGTTTCTGGTGCTCCTTACTGTGTGATAGGGCTAAGGAACACTGGACTTGCTAGAGATGACAGTTTTAACTCAACCTCTTGCCTGTTAGCCATGTGATGGACTCTGGGCTTCAGAGACTTCCCTGGTGAGTTTTAACTTCATTAAACATACTGCCTGCATCTTGCTAAATCCAGATTCTCAGTAAGACAAGCCTAAATAAAATTTTGAAGAATTATAAGTACATTCTCTCCCACTGTCATGTGTTGAATTGTGACCCCCACCCCGGCAAAAAAAAAAAGATGTTGAATGAAGTCCTTACCCAGTAACACTGAATGTGATCTTGTTTGGAAATAGGGTCGTTGCAGTTGTAATTAGTTAAGATGAGGTCGTACCGGAGTAGGGTGGGCCCTACTCCAATGTGCGTGGTGTCCTTAGAAGAAGAGAGCCATGTGAAGACACAGACACGGGGAGAACTCCATGTGATGACAAAGGCAGAGACTGGGATTACACAGCTGCAAGCCGAGGAGCGCCAGGGGTTGCAGGAGCCTCCAGAAGCCAGGAGGAGGAGGGCAGGATCCCGACAGGTCCGGGTTAGCACAGCCCTGCTATCACATTGATTCCAGACTTCTCAACTCCAGAGCTGTGGGACAAGTGTCTGTTGCTTTAAGCCTCCCAGTTTATGATTCTTAGGGCAGCTGTAGGAAACTAGTACACTCACTCCATGAATCTGAATGCTCATTTTCAGAAACTTTTAAATAGCTTAAAAGAGTAAATATCATGACCAAGAAATAAAGGGAAAACTGCTAAACCTCGGATAAAAACCACAATGAGGTACTATTACATGCCACCAGATTGGCAAAAACTAGAAAAATTACGGGGTCCAGTGTTGTCTGGGAAGCTGTGTAATAGGAACTGTCCTTCACGGCTGGATTGTCAATTGATAGAACCACTGTGGAAGACCATTTACCATTGTGTCATTTAAGGGAAGCAAAAGTAATGTGGGAGAAATTGGGAAAGTAAAGGTCTGGAAGACTGGTTGGTTGGAGGATCTAAGAAAAAATCTCTGCCCAGGATCCACCCAGGGAAGCTGGTAAGCCAGTGGACAGCTTGAGTCTACCTGAAAACACTGTAGGATGAGAAGCAGGGAAGAGCAAGGGCAGACCGGAACCCACATCTGTCTGGCCACGTTGAACACCAACTGTCAGGGGACCTGCAGAAGAAGCTTTGCCAGAGAAGTGCTCGTCTGCTTGGCCCAGAAGTTGGAAGAGCACAGGAAGAGTGTGGCTGTCCACTCTGACCCAGCAAGCAGCAGCCCATGAAAGCTGAATGGTGCCTGGGCCCAACGTTGACCTTTCAAACAAAGTGGCTGTAACTAAACTCCTCCCTTCCAAACCCTGTGCACCTTTCTCTGTGGTCAGCCCCAACCCAGACCAGGCCAGGCGGAGAGTTCTGGGAAGCAGTTTTAGCTTAGCTGAGTTGACACAGGGTGAAACCACCCACAGTCCACCCCTTAGGATTCTGGCATCTACACATGGCTCTGTAAACCATATCTCACTTCCAGATAAGACCATCATAAATTAAAAGTCACATGTTCAACTATCCCTTGTACAACTGAAAATATGCTAACCATCTCACCCAATACCGCTTAGAAAGTCACCTTATCTGTGGCGATGTTGGTTTCTCTTCTAGCTTGAGGCACCTTTCCCCTTTGACTTGACATATAAAGTTAAATTCTGTTAATATACTTTATGTTATATGATAGGAAAGTAGGAGAGTGGAAAAAATAAGAATTGGTTAATATGTACACAAATATATTCTTATATAAATAAGAAAGAATTCATAACATTACAGTCTCAGTTCTGTAACTGACAATGGGTCAAAGCTTTCATCTTCACATGCCATATGTGAGTCTCTGATTTTGAGCAGGGGTCAGCAAACTTCTTCTCAAAAGGCAGAAAGTAAATATTTTAGACTAGGAGCTAGAACTCTGCCATTATAATGCACAAGCAGCCATGATCATATGTGAAAGAGGGGCAAGGCTGTGTTTTATTAAAACTGTGTTTACGTAAACGGACAGGCAGCCAGCCAGGGGCCATAGTCTGCCTGTCCCTGATTTAGAGCATGAAGGGCATCGTGAAGGACATTACCCCAGCCCTTCAAGGTGTTGCCACCCAGGTGGTCCTGAAACTGAGTCTTCAAAAGGCCATTCTACTGTTTTTCAAGACCAGCTGTTTCGTGATGATGGGGAACGTGGTATGGCCAGTGAATTTCCTGAACGTGCGTGCCTTACCACACTTTGCTGAAAAATCAGTTTCTTGGTCAGAAGCAATGCTGTGTGAGATGCATATTGTGAATAATAAGACAGTCCATGGAGTTTGACGGAAGCATTGCAGGCAGCAAAGCTAATCCATTTCCAAAAGAAGTGTCTGTTTCAGTAGAAATAGGCACTGCCTCTTCCATGGTGGAAGTGGCCCAGTAGCCAGCCTGCCGTCAGGAGCCCTCCTCAACTCCCCTGGCAATAATATGATGCTGGGAGCTAGTGATGGCCTCTGCTGTTGGCGGGTGAGAAACACTGTAGCAAAATCAGCCTCGGGAGTGGAGGTCATGTTGCTGAGCCCATCTGTAACACCATTCCCAGCCAGGATGGCCTCTTCATTCATCAGTCCATTGGGCAAGGACAGGAGTGACTGGGAAAGACCAGCTGACTTCCACAGAATGGGTCGTATTATCCACCTAGTTTCTAGGATCCTCATTCACACAGTCTGCCCATTTGGAGTGATCTGTCCACATACCTCTTGCCCTGACTTCCTTGCAAACCACTTCTGTTTTTTCCAATCCCTAACCATTCCTGTTCAGTCAAACTGTTAGTCACTGCCCGTGAATTAGTATAGATCCATTCCTCTGGCAATCTCTCCTGATCAAAATGAACAACCAGCTGCTCTAAATGAAGTGGTACCCCCTGGGAGGATTCCCGTCCACCACTGTTCTTCAGGGCCACCCAGAATCAAAGCAGGCTGTAGGACTGCAGTCGTCCACTCTCCATGGGGCAGCATGTCATGCAGAACCGTCCACACAGCAGGCTTGAAATAATTTCTATCAACTGGTCCTACAGGAGTTTCCATGAAGTGACAGGTGCGGCTTGAGAGAAAACCCCCGGCCCCGGGCTGGGCATGGGCATCCATCCACTAGGTGGGGCAGGTCCCTTTTTCCTTGAGGATCCGCCCCAGCCCGGTGTCAGACATGCTACTTCTCCTGTCCCCGGTCACAGCCACTACCAGTCGTTCACCTGTGTTTGCATCCCTAATACTGTTTAATTTTATATAAATTATGCTACATGTGTTCTGTGTGTCTTGCTATTTTCCACATGTTGTTGAATCAAATAACTTGTTTTATCTTCTGACTATAATTATCATTTTTTATTATAAAGCTTCTTTTCATGGTGAATTTTGGGATTCTAATATAGGAGGATATATTAAGAGGAGCTGTAATATACAGAGAAAATGGTAAAAGGGGAGTAAACAATTTTCCTTATATTTTAAGTTATGAATATTATGCTATTTATTTTGCAACACTACTTTCCTACTATTTGCACATCGTTAAAGCCTGATTTTATAGAAAAGATAGTGTCCTTTGATAAACAGAAATAAATGGAAAGCCTTACTTTAAGGATAGATGATAGATTAATTAAATAGGAAAAAGTGAATGACTTCAGCTCTGATCTCTCTACCCCTGAAAGAATGATTGTTGTTGTTATTTTTAGAAATACAAAACCAAACCGATTTACTGAGTCTTAGTGGAAAAACACTGTGTGTGACTGCAGGATCGGCCCCCTCTCTGATCGACAGTCCCAGTGCTCTCCTCTGTCAGTATGTCAACCTACAGCTTCTGGACGCGGACCCACAAGGTGTGTGCCTCCCCCAACTGCGAGCACCCTCACCTGGCAATGTGGGCACTGTTTCTTTTAACATTCAACCTCTCGGACTTGCATGGACTTTTCAAGGCAGCTTCAGTGTAGTGATTAAAGTGGAGACTCCCACACGGCCTTGGGGAGTGCACAAGGCTTGTTTCTTTTAGTGTATTTATGTAGAAACACCCTCATCCATCTGACGTGGTCAGGAAATGACATGCATTAGTTAGGTAAAAATTACAGCTAAATGAAGCTAAATTGTTAAAGTGCCAAAACGTTTTAGCTTTTTTTTTTTTTTTTTTTTTTGAGGAAGATTAGCCCTGAGCTAACTGCTGCCAATCCTCCTCTTTCTGCTGAGGAAGACTGGCCCTGAGCTAACATCCGTGCCCATCTTCCTCTGCTTTATATGTGGGATGCCTGCCACAGCGTGGCTTGGCATGTGGTGCGTAGGTCCATGCCTGGGATCCAAATCGGCAAACCTGGGCCTCCAATGTGGACCATGCAGACTCAACCGCTGTGCCACCAGTCTGACCCCACCAAAACATTTTAATTTTGCCTTGTTTTTTTTCCTTGGAAAGTGTTCTGAAAACTGTTGTATGTAAGTCATGTCTTGATCAACAGACTAGGTTGACTTTATGTTTTCTGGGTATTTTGGGGTCTTCGTTTGCACTTTGTTGCTGAAACCTTCGGGCTCTTCATTTGACTGCTTGCTGAATATCTCTTCCCCAAGCTGCTGGACTTTTATACTAGTTGGTTCTTCTTTTTCCCCTTCCCCTTTCCCTCTGTGGGTTGTTTAAGGCTGCATCTGCTGACTGTACAGCTGCCCCACTCGTGCTCCTGTTTCCGCGGCTGGCTTTCAAAGCCTTTAGCTCTGCCATTAGTGCTGTCTGCAGCCCTGCCTAGGGATCCAATAGCTAGGGGGTGAACTCTAGGATTTAATCCAGTTTGTTCTTTCTTCTGTAGAGTGTTTAATGGGAACAGTGGGCACTCTCCTGCTTGAAAACCCACTTGGGCAGAGTGGACTCACCCACCAGGGTCTTCTGTATGAAGCAGCCAAGGTGTTTGGCCTTCGGAGCAGGAAATTAAAGCTGTTTCTGAATGAGACTCAAACGGATGGTGAGGAGATTATAAAACATACTAAATTTTTTTCATTTTGTTTTTCTTTTGTTGAAATTTCAATTTGATACCATTGACCAACTGTAGATTATGTGTGTGAGAGAGTACTACTGTTTTTTTGTTTGTTTGCTCTTCAGAAATTGGCCATACTGTAATGTTAAAAAAATAATAATAATTAAAAAGATGGTTACTTTTTGCTTTGGAAATAACCTAAGAATTATGTTGGTATGTTGCTATGTTGTTCTAGGTAAATTAGCATATTTGCTGATCCTAAAATTGTTCTCTTCCCCAAGAATCAAAATAATCACAGTATTGCAAAATAATAGCTTGAAGGGAACTTATAAATGACATTGTACCTCCTCCTTTACAGCTTATAAAGCATGCTCACATGCATTGCCTCAATGAGTTACATAAGAATGTGAAGCGCCAGGTCATCGGTCAGCATATGCCCCATTTCATAATCCAGAAAGCAGAGACTCAAAACTCTGACCCAGGACCTTGCCAAGGCACAGGCTGGTGTCTGCAAGGACCTGTTTTCTCCTTCTCTCGGCCTTCCCTTTCCATCATCCACTCTGCAACGTCAGCTTCTGTGGCTCTTCTCACAGCTTCTCTCTGACATCTTAGCCCTCCCCTCTGCATTCTGTTCTATCCTGTAAAGATATCACACGTGTTCACTTTAATATTGCTGCCATTGCAACCCCTCCCCAAACAGCGGCCCTTGGTGAGATCTGCATTTTCTGTTTATAGCCGTCCTTCTTGTCATCCCCACTGGAAACATTTTACCATCCCATCCTTTTATTTATAGTCTCACAGCCTGAGATGTATTGGACTTTCTGAACCAGGATTTGTGTCTTCCAGCACGGGTGGAAAATTGCTGGATGTTATCTTTTCCAAATTTACGTCTTATCTTGATTTTCTGCAGTTTGACTATGATAAGCCTAGGCATAGATTTTTTTATATAAGGCATTCTTCATTTCTGTTACAGTGTCTTGATTTCTAGCATTTCCTTTTAATTCTTTCTTAGAGTTTCCATCTTTCTGCCTAATTACCCATCTGTTTTTGCATGTTGTCCACTCTTCCGTTAGAGCCCTTAGGGTATTAACACTAGTTATTTTAAATTCCTGGTCCGTAATTCCAACATCTCTGTCATATGAGTCTGCATCTGATGTTTGCTTTGTCTCTTCCTACTGTGTTTTTTGCCTTTTAGAATACCTTGTAATTTTTTGCTGATAGCCAGACATGATGTATTGAGGAGAAGAACTGGGGTGACCAGGCCTTTATTGTGAGGTTTATGTTATCTGGCAGTAGTCAGGCTGTGTTTGTTGTTGGCTGTAGCTGTGGGTGTCAGAGGCCACAATCTCCTCTGGAGCCCTTGTTTCTGCCTCCTCTGTTGTCTTGTGGTTTCCCTAGGGAATTTTTTTAAATACTGTCAGAGCTGCGCCTGTTCTTTCGGCTGTAATCCCTGTCACCCGTCGTAGAGGGGGCCGTCCGGCGCTGTGGTAAGCTACAGGCTGAAGGAAGCAGGAAGTGTTAGAGAGTTTACGCTTAGTTCTCCGTCTCCGTGAGCCTGGCCCTGGGCTGTGGCCTTCACAGGTGTTTCTCAGCCTTTTCTCTTTCCTCCTGATGTGGGAAAGGAAGGCTAGAGGGGGCTCGAGTTGGGTGTTTCCTTTCCCTCAGGTGCTTTAGGCTCTGGTTAAAAAAAGGTAATGACTGATGAGGAAGGAGTGCCGCCGTTTTGCTGGGATTTTCTCTGTCAGTCTTATGCCTTTTTTGCCCCTCATTTCCTTCATCCACTGCCACCCTTGTGTCTAGTTGACTTTTTTGTAGTGTGCTGTTTTGATTCTCATCTCATTTCCTTTTGTGGTTTTTTTTTTTTTTTTTTAGATATTAGTGTGTACCACGAGGGTTACAATTAACATCCTAAATTTATAACAATCTAGTTTGAATTGATACCAATTTAACTTTAATAGCATATAAAACTCTGCTCCTATACAGCTCTTCCTCTACTGATATTCTTGTTAGATTTTACGTCTTCATACGGTTTGCCCAAAACCATAAATTTTTAATTGTTTTGTATATTATCTTTTTAAAAAATCATGTAGAAAACAAAAAGTGGAGTTACAAACCAAAAATGCAACACCCATACAGCTGTGAATCACTGTGTAGTGTCCTTGCGTTTCAACCTGAAGGGTCCCTTCAGCACTTCTTGGAGAGCAGGCCTAGTGGCAGTGTGCTCCCTCAGCTTGTGTTTGTTTGGGAATGTCTTAATTACTCCTTAGTTTTTGGAGAATAGTTTTGCCAGATAGAGAATTCTTGTTGATAGCTGTTCCTTTTAGCACTTTAAATATGTTATCCCACTGCCCCTGGCTTCCTCGGTTTCAATTAGAAAGTGGCTGTTAATCTTACTGATTTCCTTAGTATGTTTCTTCTCTCTTGCTGCTTTCAAGATTGTCATTTAATCTTCCAGTATTCTTTCTGGCCCTTTCTTTCTTCTCCTTCTGAAACTCCCGTCACACGCATGTTGGTCCACTTGACGTGTGGTCCGCAGGGCCGGTAGGCTCTATCCACTATTCTTCATTCTTTTTTCTTTCTGTTCCTTCAGGTGGATGATTTCAGATGTCCTGTCTGCGAGTTCACTGGTTCTTCCGCCTGCTCCAATATGCTGTATAGTCCCTCTAGTGACTTTTTTTCAGTTATTTTACTTTTCAGCTCCAGAATTTCTATTTGGTTCCTTTTTATAATTTCTCTTTATTGACATTCTCATTTTGTTGATAAATTGTTTTCTCGGTTTCTTTTGGTTCTTTGTCCCTGGTTTCTGTTGGCATTTCCAGGGGTCTGTGGTTTTCCATTTAAGACAGTTGATTTAGAGTCTTTGTCTAGTAAGTTCTAGTGTTTACATTTCTTCAGGGACAGATTCTATTTATTTTTTCCTGTGAATGGGCTATACTTTCCTGTTTCTTTGTATGCCTGGTGATTTTTTTGGTTGAAAACTAGACATTTGAATACTACAATGTGGTAACTCTGGAAATCAGGTTCTCCCCCTCCCAGGGTTTGCTGTTTTTGATTGTCAAAGGCTGTAATCGTCCATTTGTTTTATGACTTTTCCAAACTACTTTTGCAAAGACTCTATTCCTGGTTGTGTGTAGTCACTGAACTCTCTGTTCCTTTAGCTTGTGCTCAGCTACTGTTTTGACAGAGATTTTCCTTGACCTCCAGGAGCTAAAAGTTTGAAAACAGAATACCCCCTCCCCAGGTTTTGCAGGGGCTCTGTGCTGGGCGCTCCCTGGGCACAGCCGGGCTATTCACAGCTCTGCCTCAGCCTTCACCTCCTATTTGCACCAAGCCTGGAGATCAGCCAAATCTGATCAGAATAGCTTTTTCCCTTTTTCAGAAGCGAAAGCTTGGGGTCTTCTCAGGTCTTGTCTGTGTATGCACCCTGCCCTGGGCATGCGTGTGGCTCGTTAATTGTCCAGTATATATGGCCCCTTTTTAATGCCCTAACTGTCCACAGAGACTCCTCTGCTTTGCCTCTCAGACCTTGAGCTGTCTATGGTGTATTTCAGCCATAACCTTTGCCCCAGGCAGCTGTAGCTTTCTGTTTGCCTTACAGTGTTTTCAAGCAAAGCCCACTGCTTTTTCACCCCGAGTGAGTTCTGTGTTAGGCAAAACAGAGACAAGCACCTTCTGTAAGCCCTCAGGGAGCCCCCAGGTTAGAAGAGACATAGACCAGGGTCCCTCACCAGGAACATGGGCTGCTGTCTTCAAGCCCACCGCCAAGCTGGGGGCCTGGGCCAGGTGCAAGTGAGAATGCTACAGATCTGTCCTACCCTTTTCAAGTCACCTTTTCCTTGATTCACATTCACTCGTTGCCATAAACCTTTGACTGTTTTCTGGAGTTCTGACAGTGTTGATTCTGACCGTTTGTTTTGTGATGTTCCTGTTGAATCTCAGTTTAAAGGAGCATTTCTCTAGTTCTTTGGGGACACTGTCAACCCAGGCCCCATTTAAACTCAATTATTTTGGGCTACAGAGAGAGTGCTGAGAAAGTTCTGGCCCCAGTCATGTGTGAGCACCAGAATTCTCCTGGGGACACGTGCTGTTTACCTCTACTCAAAACAAGGCTGAGTGAGGCAAGTCCTCTTCCTGGTTTACTGTGGCTGGCACTGTGGATCTCCATACACTGAGGGGCCTGAGATCACAGGCACGCGTTCTCTCACGTTTCTGAGGTCAGAGTGGAACCAGGGCATCAACAGGGCCGTATCCGCTCTGAAGGCTCTAGGGAGGATCCGTTCTTGGCCTCTTCCAGCTTCTGGTGGCTCCAGCGCTCCTTGACTCGTGGCTGCATCACTCTGCTCTCTGCCTCTGGTCACGTTGCCTCCTACTCTTCTGTCCTCGTGCCATTTTTCCAGAAAAGGTCACAGTCACAGTTTCCAGGAATTAGAATGTGGGCAGCATGTCTCTTGGAAGGCCAATGTCAAACCCCCTACGCTCTCTTAACTGTTCTTCTCTGTAGTGAAGGATCTTTTTGAAATTTACCCTTTGCCATGGTTCCTAAGGCCCCAGTTTTTTGAGGGGGTTTTGTCAGGCTTCCCAGTTCGGGTAGACCCTAGGCTTTTTCTTATCTTGCTAGCCTTTTAGTGCTAATAAGTTTAAGCCACCAGGACCACCAGAAAATCTTAATGTTCAGGTAACTCTTGAGATTCATAACTTTTGGCCTCTATGGATTTCCCTCATTTTCTTCCCTTGCTTAGCTATGTATTTTTTTTTACAAATTAATGTTTTATTGTACGTTAAAACTTTCTGCTATATTGTTGAAAACTAAAGCCTGCTTTCCACTTGGGTTCCTCTCTGTAATGAGACACAACCACAGTGCTCAGGTTTCTTCTCAGTGACTCCCCCTTGTCTCCTTACCCTCACTGGTTTGGGGCTTCATTGTCTGTCGAAACAGCCTGTCTGCAGCCCATATTCCTCCACCGTAACTGTCTTCATGAACATTCCCTTCATGATCTTCCCCTGCCAGGACCCCCAGGGCTCCCCATTCTCTAATACTTCAGACTCTTTAGCTTCACACACAAGATCCTTCCTGTCCCAGTCCTTAGCTTTCTTTCCAGGTGTGTCCACGAAGCTTTCATTCTATCAGAAGGCTTTTTTCACTCTCCCTCCATCACACTTGGCTGTTTCGTTGTGGTTTGGTAGTAAAGCTCAACTGTATACATAGCTTCCTGTTTTGATAAGATTGTATAACACTTGAAAGACATTCTTAAGTCCTCTTTCTTATCCCTCAAATCTGCTGGTCACCAAGTGCAGGAGAGCAGTGGAAGTGAAGAACTGTTACCGTCTCTCACCTGTTCTGTGCGGGTGCAGGCACCTGGTTGAAACTGATCAGGGGTAGAATCACGTTTGTATGAGTTGATGTTAGTAATACTACCTATGATTCACAAAGCAGCCTTATCTGCACTGTCTCATTACCTCTGACTGCTCTGAGGCTGACTGTGCAAAAATTTAGTAGGTAAGAGGTTTGAAGGTTAAGTCAGTCACCCAGGATTACCAAGAAGCCAATCCAGTATCATTTCCCAATCTGGTATTTCTAGCCTCATTTTCATTGTATTTTTCCTCTCAAAATTGTGTTTCATAAAATATTAATAATTTGGTAAGTTAGAAGGATCACATAATGCTTACAGTTTTAGAAACTCACTGACGCCTTCTTGTTTGTTCCACTAGATTCTTAATGTCATCTCAGATTCTGTAGTCATCTGTTAAGGAGGCAGCTTTGAGGGTATTTTCACATCCAGGACTCCTGCTAGGACAAGAGCCATTTTTAGAGAAAGTTGTTCCCTTCCCTTTGAATTCAGATCTGGCTAGAAGCAAGATGCCCCACAGTAGGCAAAGAACTTTTTAAATTTTTCTTTTCTCATTCTTTGTCTCTCTTTCTTTTTGAGCTTTTTATGTATTCAGTGTGGTTTAATCAGTCGCATTTGTGTTATACTTTTGAACGCTCAAATCTTTTATCTTTGGCCATATTGGCTCCTGTGTTCTTCAACACGGGCATTCAGCCTTTGATAACTTCTTGCTTTCTGGCATAGCAACGTGTCCTGGGCTTATCCAGACCTGGGAATGGCCGTCCTTCCTCTCAAGGGAGTTAATATTAGAAACCACAAAGCTGGGCCCATGGCTTCTAGGTCTTTTCCATAGACATAGAAAATATTTGTTTGGGGCAGGGTCTGGGGACATCTTGGACAGTACCCAGAGTTAGTTAGGTTGAGGACACAGTCCTCCAGAAGTCTGCCCAAGACTTCTAACCCCAGTTGTAAGGAGTTAGGGTCCAACTACAAACTCAGAGGGAAGAGTCTGAACAAGACCACTGTCCTTCTAGCAACTGCAAGTTCAGAGGGTTTCCCAAAACCACCCTCAGGTTTGAAAATTTGCTAGCAGGACCTCCAGAACTCACTGAAAGCTATTAAACTCACAACTACAATGATTATAGGGAAAGGATATAACCTAGAACCAGGCAAAGGAAGAGATGCACAGAGTGAATCTGGGAGGAGTACCAATGCAGAGCTTCAGGTTGTCCTCTCCCCAAGGAGTCATGGACAGTGTCACCTCCTCCTGGTCCTGAGAGTGTGTACAGCGTATTTCCAACTGGGGAAGCTCACCTGAGCCTTGGTGTCCAGAGTTTTGTGTTGAGGCCTCATTACGTAGGCATGACTGATTCATTGCCCACGTGGCTGGTTTCAATCTCAGATGATACTGCATGACCCAAAGCTCCCACCCTGAGTCATATGGTTGGTCTTTCTGGTGTGACAGGCCCCACCCTGAGTCATCTCATTAGCATAAACTATCACGTGTGTTGAGGTGAGAATAACAAACGACACTCAGATCACCCAGGAAATCCCAAGGGTTTCGAGGTTCCCCAAGGAGCTGGGACAAAGGTCAGACCTCTCTTAGGGTGAGGCCAAATTCCTTAGTACACAGGCAGTTAACATTTTTTAAATATTCATCCAGAATAGGTAGAAAATTGGTTTTCTAAAAACTTCTTCTTTCCATTCTAGAAATTACAGAAGAAATTCCCATGAAGACCTTGAACATGAAGACTGTGTATGTTTCTGTATTACCAACGACAGCAGACTTCTAACATTCAGTTATCAGTGTGGCTCAGTCAGCCTTCACCTGGTGTATATTTGCCCCCTACACGCACACGCACACACACACACACACACGGAGACACAGTGAAGAAATTTCCTTCAGGTGCATGTATTATATGCTGCTTTTGGTCTAAAATTGAAATGTGATTAATTCATCAAGTGACTTGAGACCTCACAGAAATATTCACACTTAACCTTAAATACTTAGGCAGTCATGTTGGGGGACAGTTACAATGTTACCGCAGCACGACAGAGTTTATTTCTATACTTGAATTCTTAAGTATAGAAGGTAGAAGTGATTTAAATGGCATGGTATATATATATATCATTCTATGGCCTTGTAAAACTTATTTGGGACCTCTTGAAGGAATGGACAATGTTATATATTCTGCTATCTGGATTTTCCTGGTAATTTGATGGAATATTTTAAGTTTCAGTAAATCAGAACAATAAACAAACTTTCTCTCAGATAATAAACGTGTTAGAAGTAATTTGTTCTCCCATAGTTAATGAAACTTGAAATTTGTAATCTTTAAAGAACACAAAAACTTAATAGTGACTTCTGTATTAAGACAGTAAACTAAACATCTAATTTCACTTCTTCCCAAAATCCTGTGTGTCAAAGAAGCAAATGCCAAGCTGCAGTTAGATGTGCAAGAACTTACTGGAGGAAACATACGTGAAGGGTAAAGGGAGAGGGAGCAGCGTAGGTGGCGGGAGCCTGCAGGCTGCCCTTGAGGTCTGACACCTGAACTTCCCTGTGCAGAGAGAAGAGGAAGGAAGGATGACTATTAGAAAAAGCCTAGAAAGAGTACAGAGTTGGGCAGATATGACCTGGCTTTGTACTCCTGCCTTGCTCGGTCTGGCTGTGAGCAGCCGAGGGGGAGTGTGGCCTGGGCACAAAGGCCTCTGGATCTGAAGTGCAGGAGCTGGAGACTGTCAACCAACTATGCTGCTTGCATCAGACTCTCCTGGGGGAGATCTAAATGGTGCGTCTCTGGCTGCTGCGATAAATGCATTCAAATCCAACCCACAAAGTCAGAGGAAACAAAACAGAAGATAACAAGCGTTGACAAGGATGTGGAAAAATTGGAACCTTGTGCCTGTTAGTGGGAATGTAAAATATTACAGTTACTATGGAAAACAGTATGGAGCATCCTCAAAATATTAAAAACAGAATTACCACATGATCCAGCAATCCATTTCTGGGTATATATCCAAAAGGATTGAAAGCAGGGTGTTGAAGAGAGATTTGCACACCTAGGTGCATTGTGGCATTGTTCACAATAGCCAAGAGAGGAGTAACCCAGATGTCCATCAAGGGAAGAATGGATAAAGAAAATGTGGTCTATATGTACAAATGAAAATTACTCAGTCTTTTTTTTTTGTTTTTTTTTTTTTTTTAAAGATTGGCACCTGGACTAACAACTGTTGCCAATCTTTTTTTTTTTTTTTTTTCTGCTTTATCTCCCCAAACCCTCCCTGTACATAGTTGTATATCTTAGTTGCAGGTCCTTCTAGTTGTGGGATGTGGGATGTGCCTCAACGTGGCCTGATGAGCAGTGCCATGTCCACGCCCAGGATCTGAACCCTGGGCCGCCGCAGCAGAGTGCGTGAACTTAACCACTCGGCCACGGAGCTGGCCCCTTGAAAATTACTCAGTCTTTAAAAAGAAGGATGAACCTTGAGGGCATTATGCTAAGTGAAGTGAGCCAGTTACAGAAAGACAAATGCTGTGCGATTCTGCTTCCGTGAGATACCTGGAATAGTCAGACTCATGGAAGCAGAAGGTACCATGGTGGCTGCCAGGGCTGCAGGGAGGGAGAAAGCGGGGGTTGTTCAATGGAAATAGTTTCAGTTTTGCAAGAGGAAAACGTTCTAGGAGTCTTTTGCACAATGACCTGAATATAGTTAACACTACTAAACTGTATCCTTAAAAATGGGTAAGTTGATAAGTTTTATATATTTTTTTCAGAATTAAAAAAAATTTTAAATGTCAAAGAGACTTATCAAAGGGACAGAAGCCAACCTGAAAAATCTCCCAGTGGCCAAAGCTGGAGAATTTGAACAAAATAATTTTTTCTGGGGCTAGCCTCGTGGCACAGCGGTTAAGTTTGCACATTCCACTTCCGTGGCCCAGGGCTCACTGGTTGGGATCCCGGGTGCAGACATGGCACCGCTTGACAAGCCACACTGTGGCAGGCATCCTACATATACAGTAGAAGAAGATGGTTCAGGGCCAATCTTACTCAGGAAAAAGAGGAGGATTGGCAGCAGATGTTAGCTCAGGGCTAGTCTTCCTCCAAAAAAAAAAAAGTAATTTTTTTTATTATTATAGTATTGGATTAAAATCCAAAGTATAAAATATATTTTTATAAGTCCATACTGGTATAAATGATTGAATAAATAAGCAAATGAGAGAGAAGAGACAAATCTCCTGTACAGAATTCCAATTAATTTATGTAGATACTCCCCATCAAGGTGATGTACCTTAATTCCCCCCACCTTGAGAGTGGGCTGTACTTAATTAACGACTTACTTCCAAAGAGTAGAGAGAAGAAGGGGCAAAAAGTGGCTTCACAGTTTAGAAAGCTGGCAACACTGCCTCAGACAGGGGAAAGTTAACGTCAGTCACGATTTGGTGTACTCACCATACAACGTGAGGAGGATGGTGCTCTGCCTCCGGTCCTCCCATAACCCCAGTCCAACCACAAAAACCTCAGACAGACCCAAAGTGAGAGACATTCTACAAAATACCTGACTCCTCAAAACTGCCGGTCATCAAAAACAAGGAATGTCTGAGAAGCTGTCACAGACCAGAGGGGACAAACAGACATAAAAACTAAATGTGGCATCCTGGTGTGATCCAAGAACAGAAAAATGTCTTTAGGGAAAACCTCGTGATGCCCACATAAAGTATGGAGTTTCATTAACAATATTGTACCATGGTTGGCTCAATAGTTGTGAAAAATGTGCCATGATAATGTAAGATGTTAGCAATAAGGTAAACTGGGTTTGGGGTATATGGGAACTCTGTACTATCTTTGCATCTTTTCTATAAATCTGAAACTATTCTAAAAAAAGTTTAATAAGTGCAAGGAAATGAAATTTAAAATCTATTTGTAATAGCATCAAAAATGTGAAATAGGGATAAATTTGACCAAAGATATGCAGCACTCATAACTGAAAATTATAAAATAGTGCTTAGAGATACTAAAGAAAGCCTGCATGAGTCAAAGAGCTGTATCATGTTTATGTTGGTCAGCTAGGGCCCCATAAAAAATTCCACAGACAGGGGCTTAAACAGCCAAAATTTACCTTCTCACAGTTCTGGAGCTGGAAGTCCAAGGTCACTGTGTCTGCAGGTTTGCTTTCCCCAAGGGCTCTCTCCTTGGCATTATTGGGAGATGACTGCCTTCTCACCATGTCCTCACATCGCCTCTTCCCTGCATGTGCACTCCTGGTGTCTCTTCCTCTTCCTGCCTGGACTCTAGTTCTACTGGATTAGGGCCCCACTCTTATGACCTCATTTAACCTTCATTACTTTTATAAAGGCTCTATCCCCACATACACATGGGGGTTAGGGCTTAAGTATATGAATTTTGAGGGAACAATTCATGACGTTCAGAAGTTTGAAGACTCAGTATTAAGCTCACAGTTCTTCCAAATTGATCTATAGAGTCAATGTAATCCCAATCAAAATGCCAGCAGGATTTTTTTTCATAGACATTAACTAGCTAATTTTAAATTTTATATGGAAATGCAAAGGATTTGAAAGCAAAATTCAAAATAGAAATGCCATATGATCCAGCTATTCCACCTCTGAGTATTTATCCAAAGAACATGAAAACACTAGTCAAAAAGATATATGCACCCCTATGTTTGTTGCAGCATTATTCGCAATAGCTGAGTCGGAAGCAACGTAAGTCCCCATCAATGGATGAATGGATAAAGAAGATGTGGTGTGTGTATATATATATATATATATATATACACACACACACACACACACAGTGGAATACTACTACTCAGCCATAAAAGATGAAATCTTGTCATTTGCAACAACATGGATGGACCTTGAGGGTATTATGCTAAACAAAATAAGTGAGAGAGAGAAAGACAATTACCATATGGCCTCGCTCGTATGTGGAAGACAAACACACATAGATACGGAAATCAGATTGATGGTTACCAGAGGGGAAGGGGGTCGGCAGAGCGAGCGCAAAAGGGGTAAAGGGGCACATGTGTACAATGACAGATAGCACTTGGTGGTGGACAAAATGCAGTCTGTACAGAAGTCAAAATATAATGATGTACACTTGAAATTTATATAGGGTTATAAACCAATGTGACCTCAATAAAAAAATAATTAAAAAGCCAAATAACTTTCAAAGAGAAGTACAAAGTTGGAGGACTTAACCTTATTACAAGACTTATAAAACTACAATAATTAAGACTATGGAATTGGCATAAAGATAGCAAATAGATGATTAGGACAGAATAGAGAATTGACAAATAGACCCACATATATATTTTCAATTGACTTTTTTTAAGGATGCCATGGATGTCAATGGGAAAAGGATAATCTTTTCCCCAAAATAGTGCTGGAACAAGTGCATTGTCATAGATAAACACGCACATACACACACAGAACCTTGACCTATTCCTCTCTATATAAAAATTAACTCAAAATATAAACATAACAAATATAACAATATGTGTATTTTACCACTATATATATGTAAAACAGAGAACTAAACGTAAGAGTTAAAATTATAAAACTTCTAGAAGAAAACAAAGGAGAAAACGTTAGTGAGCTTGTGTGGTAGGTAGAATAGCACCCCCACCTTCCCCTGTGTATAGACGTCCACACCTTAATCCCTGGAAACTATAAATATATTAAATGCTAAAGAGACTTTGCAGATGTGATCATGGTTATAGGCTTTAAGATTGAAGGCTGGCCCGATGGTGTAGTGGTTAAGTTTGTGTGCTCCACTTCAGCAGCCCAGGGTTCATAGGTTCAGATCCAGGGTGTGGACCTAGAACCACTCGTCAAGCCACACTGTGGCAGCATCCCACATAAAATAGAGGAAGATTGACACAGATGTTAGCTCAGTGACAATCTTCCTCAAGCAAAAAGAGGAAGATTGGCCACAGATGTTAGCTCAGGGCCAGTCTTCCTCACACACAAAAAAAAAGATTGAAGAAATTATCCTGGCTTATCTGGGTGGGCCATGGACCCAATCTATCACAGGAATCTTTAAAAGCAGAGAACTTTCTCTGGCTGGAGGCAAGAGAAATTGGTGGAAGGGGGATAACAAACTCCAAACATGAAGGTTTGCTATGCCAATGCTGGCTCTGTGACGTAGGGGTCTAAGTGCAAGAACTGGAGAGAGGGCTCTAGGAGCTAAGGTTGGCCCTAGATGACAGCCAGCAAGGAAACAGGGACCTCAGTCCTACAACAGAAAACTAG